AGGAGAGTGAGGCCGATGCGAAACCACCAAATAAGAGGGCGAGGATTAGCTACGGGCCCAGGGAGTGACGATGGGGAGAGGAACGCTGTAATGAAGCTATGGACCTGGGGCTGGGTAAAGCGCAGAAGCTGACACGGGTTCTATCGTCTTTGGCCAAGCAAGGTGTACGGACTTGAGAACATCTTCACAGCACCACTAGCCGGCATGCTCTAAGACTCATGCTTAGAGGACTAATGTGTATCAGGCGCTCGGGGGTCAAGTACGTGATTTCTCCTTCAACCTTGAGCAAATAATTCGGATTGGCTAATTTCAGGACAGTCTCTAAGCAGACGGGGCAAAGACCTCTCCAATTTCATCGATCCCCACGTCTCCTCTCCTTGCACGCGTGCCACGCCGAGCCTCGCGAACCCGGTAAGACTGATATCCCAAGACTAGGACCGGGAGATTTAGACAGAAAGTCGGGATGCACAACTCTCATATTCACCAACCCACTGACTACAGTAATCATCGCAGAAGTCCAATCTCGGCCGAACGGGCACGGGTCTCCATCAGCGCATGCGACCGAATAGAGCACGGCTCTTCGCTTGAAAATACTGAGCACGGCGGCTATAGCGGTGTGCTTGCAACGAAGAACCAAGGCTTGAGATGCATGTCGCTCGGACGGAGTGGAAGCTCCTCGTCCCTGGTACGTTCAAAAAGCCAGGGAGGATGGTGTTGGGGAGATCTCCGAGCAAGATGGGGAAACATATTTCATATTCAACTCTCGGTTGTCAGATGATGAACCAAGAAGAGCTTTACACCCTCCCAACTTAGTCCGTAATGCCAAATTAGATCTCGGCCCGTAAAGGCGATATTCTCTTCTAATCGATAACCTCGATCAACGAACTCGGCGAGTCGACGCGGAGCAATTCCAGGAACAAGTAAGTTATCATCCACGCTCCTCCAATGAATTCGCTCAGCTGGCTCCAAAACAACCCCGTTCCCTCTATTCACCAATCCTCGTGCCTCGTGAAGCGATTGAACCCCTGCCGAGTAGGTGGGTAGTCGCGGAGGTCGGTTGCTTCACAGAATTCTCTCTTGCAGTCTCTTACCTTTGCTTCTGCCGTCCTCTTCCTCTTACTATGCAGAAGCCCGTCCATGATTTTCACAACCTCACAATCCATCAGTACGGACACATTTCGGCTGGAGTCCAATAGGACAGCTATTTCCTGGGCTTCGGCCACTCTTTTGCCGGAAGTTGAAGATGCCACCGCCGCTGCCCGGCCTTAACACTGGAAGCTGGACGCGAAATGCCAGTCCGCTCATCATCATGGATTAGGGCAGGGGAAGGTACCCAATCTAGTGTCGCTCCGATGGGTGAGTAGATGTTGAGCTCCATGCTCTTGGTGGACGTAGGTTTGACTGGGAGTAACGTGAGCGTCATCCACTTAGTGTTTTCCCCTTCCTGTCCCTGGAGTCATCTTGAAAGCCACTATCTCGAGGACGTAGGGCAACGTGTCCGGGGCAGTGCCAGCAATATCACGGCTTCTGCTGGGGCGACTGCAGCGGTCTTCGTGAAAGAAGTTCTCCATTCTTAACATTCGCACCATGTCCTGCAGACTTCAATAGTAAGCGTTGCCTTCGCATTCTCCTCTCATCCCCAGCGAGGTCCCAGCTGGAGCCCGTCTTGCCTTTCTGTCTTCTCCAGCGTCACTGTCCACCTCATCACCGCTGCTTTGCTCTTCTCGTAAGTCTTCATCAACATCTATCGGGGCCCTCATCCTCGCTAGAACATCCTCTCCAAGCAATTTCGGGGTCCAAGCGCTGAGATTACTGCCGAACGCTTCCCTTCCACTCGGCATCATACTAGCCACCAGCGCGGCATGATCCGGCACAATCTGCACGTTCATTGTATCATTCTGCTTGGTCCACTTCCTTTCCAGCCATTCCAGAACCCTTCCTTCCTCCGTCTTACCCGCATCAGCACCCCATTCCGCCGTCTTTCCCTTCTCCATCTTTCTGTCCTCCCTCTTCTCAACCCAGGACGACTTCAGTTTTCCAAAGCTCATCTTTTCCCCTCCATCCTTCTGGATATCCATACCCAGCTCTGTCATCCCGGCTCTCAACCACGCTATACCTTCTCCAGTCTTCCCAGATGCTTCGGCATCAACACCCAAGAACCGACAAGCCTTCGCTCTGCTCACCCTCCTCAGGTCCTCACAATATGCAACTAAGTCCTTCGCCAGCCCTCTGTTCCCTTCTCCCTCTGCACAACCACCCCGCCCTGCTGCTGCTGCCCTCCCAGCATGCTCTGCCGCCCCCAGAGACAATCTCGCAAAAAGATGAGCCCTCACCCGTGGTATATCCGGCGCTTTGACCATCCACTCCCTATCATTCTTATCGCGGCTTTGCTGCAGAAGTGCCGGATAAGCGTCATCTTTCAGCACGAAGAGTAGCGTTGCTTCTGCCAGGCTCAGCTCCGCGAGGCATGATTGCGTCGAGAAATGGATGTCAACTGCTTCCTTGGGGAATGAGGGGGGGCCATCGGCGCTGGTGTGCGTGAGGTGCAGAAGGTGCGTGTGGATGGAGTGGGCGGTAAGAAGGTGCTTGGTCGCGTTTTGGATTGATGCGGTTCGCGCTTCCGGCGTTAGAGCAGTGTGGGTGGGTGACGAGGGCACGTAGAGCCTAAGTAACGAGGAGCGGGCGAGCAGAGCGTGCACTGCAGAGAGTGTGTGTAGGGTGTTGTAGATTTCGTAGTCAAGACCTTTGCCCTTGACCCGAGGTGGTTCGCACCCGGGCAGAGGGCTTGCGAGGAGAGTTGGACGCCATTCTACCTCTACCTCTTTCAAGAGCGTTATGTCGATATCTTCCCCAGACACAGGTTTGCCACTGAGGCCAGCGTCAAGAGCCAGGAGGTACGGCGTATACTCGCTCAAGATGGTGAGTATGTGAGGAAGATTGGCGCTTTGCGAAGCAGAAAGAAGGCGTTTATGCGTCTTAAGGGCAGCGCGAAGGCTGTTCCGGGCTGTAGTCACGGTGGCAGGAAGGGATGGGTGCGTGAGCGATGTCAGGTGGGTTTGGAAGGTAAGGTGCGACGTCGTAGGCAGCGCGAAGGGGTATGGCATTGTTGAAGCATGGAATATTTATAGGGCACAGGGAGGTATGTAAGGAAGCGACTTTCGCAGTCGCCTTTTGGATGTGGTCAAACTTCAGACTTTTCCTGATTCATTAAGCACAGGATACACAATGTATGTACCTGGTGGTTGCCATGATACGGGGCACTCTGGAACATCGAGTCCATCTCGTCTTGCAGATCCAAGGACATCATCATCAGGAGGCGGCGTGCTTGGCAGACCTCATCGTCTCCTGAACTGCCAAGACCATGCATTAGGAAATCGAGGATTCTACGCCGAATGCTCAATCTATCTTGCATTCCAAGAGCGCCAGACTACATTTTCTCAGTGAATCTAGCGATACTACATCCGAGCGGGCAACCTGACTGTGATTGCATCCATCAATGTCGTTATTGGGTTCCAAAAGGTTCAAGAAAAATCAAGGATTCCGAAAGACTTCATGAAGATAACTACTAGTATGAAGCACCGAGGCAGGCACTTTTTGATTGTGGCCTGTTTCAGGACTGCTATCATTGGATCTGAAGATCTGTAGAATAATTCGAGACCTTAAGACGACAACAAAGGCATAAAACCAAGCCACGGTGGCTCTCTAGATACCTCACCGTCGCCACTATGTTGCAAAATGCTTGTTGTGCGATCCTCGAGGGCTGAAGCCCTAAGTAGCGCAACGATGATCTACTAAAAACCTAAAACATGGAGGCCAAAGCGTGAAAAGAGATGAAAAATGCTACCGAGCTTCGTGTTAACGCATTTTATTGTGATAGCAAGAACTATAAACTTCTATCATCTTTTCAACTTTTTTTAATTTCCAACACCATTTTTTGCATATCCTGATCTTGTCAACAATTGAGCTCCAGCATTGCTCAATCAGTAATGTGTAGCAATCTTCCATCTGTTCCATGCAAAAAAAAAATGACATCGCATCCATCCTTCATCCACATGTAGGTCGGTAATCATATCAGTGGCAAAGTACTGCTCAGTGGCAAGGTACGCTCAGCGGCAAGGTACTGCTCAGCGGCAAGGTACTGCTCAGCGGCAAGGTACTGCTCAGCGGCAAAGTACTGCTCAGCGGCAGTTGGTCTCGATCTTGGTGGCGCAGGGACAGACCAAGTCAGCGAATCGGGTGCACAGCTTGCTGCATTCGCACAGCTCCCAGCAGATGCACATTCTGCATTCGTGATATTCCTCAATGGTCATATGTCCTTCGAAGTAGCGGTATTTGCCAACAGCAGTGCCCTGGAGTCTGGCCATTGTGCATTCATGATGAGCTTCACGGCGAAGGAACTCGGCGCTGGGAGAACGCTTGATGTTTGCTGCTTCCTCCGTTTTGGTGCTGGCATAGCTGATGCAGCGACCAATATCGGAATCAGCTGGGGCGGTAGCGGGGGTGTATTCGGTGGTTTCGAAATGAGGACAGGTATGCAAGTCTTTGTGGAGAATGAGATTGTTGAGGTGGGAAGCCTGGCCAAAGTAGGTAGATACTTTCGGAGCATTCAGTTTCTTGGCTGTGAGATTACATCAGAATGGTGAAAAGAGAATGGTTCTAGGTAGACAAACCGCGTTCAGCCTGCTCAAAGGTTCTCATGCCCTGGAATTGGCCGGAAAACCCTTTGGCTTCACCACAGATACGAGGTAGAATGTGATCATCAGGGACAGGCTCAGCAACAACAACGTCCGCGTCCTCAGGTTGGGTGAGCAGGCTGTAAGTTGATGGACGTAGATCGACGAAGACTTCATCATCGTCCTTGCCGGAGGCAATGCGGGCTTTCTTGGTGTAGAGATATTGGACATCATCTTCTGCTACGGGTTAGGACGGCATCGGCCAAATCATCATTCTGGCTTACCATTGTTTCCCTCTTCGTGGGTTGACTTGGTGGCAAAGGAGCTGCGGGCGCGACGCTTCTTGCCTGCAACATGTCAGAATGAGATGGGAAGTGAGGTCAAGTGAAGACTTACAAAGTGAGGAGGTCTCGGAGCCGTCTTCATCGCCAGTAAGGTCAATAACAACGGGGGATTCCTGGACGACGGTGGCATTGGTGATTGCAGCAGCTTGCTTGGCCTTTCTGGCTTGGGCACGGCTGGCAAGGCCAAAGATATCATTGTCGGATTTGATCTCTGGCTGTGACGCTTTAGCGGCCGCAGCCTCTTCGCGGGCGATCTCATCATCAATATGCTTCCAAAGCTCAGGAAAGTCTTCAGCGTCTTCGCGAATATCACCAAAGCCAGTGTCACCGTCAAGCAAGGGAATGTGGTAAGGGCTTGGAGACTCTTCGACAGAACCGTTGAAGAAGACGTTGGTCACTTGGGCCTTGACAGGGTCAAGTGGTTCGTTGACAGAGTTTGAAGCCGCAGTTTTAGAGCTAAGTGCAAGAATGTGATTCTCGATTACAGCTGCGTATGGTCAATAAGGGAGTTTAAAAATCTGCTAGCAGCTTGCACTTACGAGTAGTCGCGGTTGGAATTGCATTGAGCAAGAAAGCATCCGGTTGCACAGCTGACATGTCGAGGCCAGTGAGTTCGAGAGCTTGATTGACGACATATGCACGTGGTTGGTGGTTCAGCCGACCGACTTGAGGAGTAGATGGCCCAACAACTTCTGGAACAGCATCGTCCTCATCGTCGACCATGTCATCTGGGACTGCAATAATGTAAGCCGATGTGAGATTGCTCAAAAAGGCGCTAGAGTACTTACGAAGAGAGTCATCATCTTCATCATCAGGGATTGTGATTGCCTCAGTCTCATTGGCATCGGCAAACATGTAGTCAAAGGCAACACCCTTAACGCGGTTGACATTTTGAGACTTCCAGCCATTGTCATGAGGCATTTCAACATCTTCGAGAATCACCTTGGTGTTGTCGAAACCTGGGGTAGGGGGTAATGGTTTGGAGAGGTTCAACGGCGTAGTCTTAGGAGAGACATAAGTGATGGGTCGACCATTGAAGCTCAAGCGACCATGCTTATCGTAGCAGATGACATTGTCTGGAACAGCAGCGACTAGTCGTGGTCAGTGTACGCAGAGATACGAGGTGAAGGAGATAAGACTTACGGTCCTCGACAGTCATGGTCTCTTCGGCGTAGTACCAGTTAGCACCAGTGGAGTCGCTGAAACGCTCCGTCTTGCCGTTGATGTCGAATAGAGTACGTTCGCCAGCGTACTCACGAGCCTTGAAGGTTTGGTGCTCGAAACCGTCGTCGTCGCCGACTTCATCCCTGTACCACTTACCGAAGTCTGAGAAGTCAAGACCCATTGCAGCTTAGTCCGGCCTTACTCAGACGATACTTGGTCTCATGTAAGGGGATGAAGAGGAGGAGGATGTTCACAGTGGATATAAGAAAGCAGTCGATAGCACAAGGGTAAGTAGAATGACGAGAAACGTTGATTTGGTCAGCGTTCAGTATGAAGTTGTCAGAAGTATTGTTGTGCGAGGGTGACTCGAAACTTGAGGAACGAGATATTTGAAGGTGAGACTGCGCACAGTGGGAGCATAGTGTGGCTTAGCGCAATTGAAAATTTGAGAATTGCTAGATGTAGTAATTTTGGGGTGATGGTGGTGACAATGGTGACAATAGTGACAATAGCCACAGTAGCCCTTTTGCCTTGAGCGTGCGGTGTTTGGCTGTGGACTTGGGAAAGCCGCTCCTGGTGCCCCAAGCGCAAACACCAGACTCCCTCCTGAACACAACTGATGGCCATTCGCAGGCAGGCGACCTTCTACCTAACTTTACCAACGAACCCATTCCTCCTCAATTTTCCAATCCCCGTCAATATTCTGAATGATGCTTCAAGCATACCATGAGTGACAATGGCAGCCAGATGTGCCAAGAAGGGGTCAGGGGGTACCTCAGCCTTGGCACAATATCCGACTTACTACCAGAGTAGCCATTTCTCATGAATTTCTACCAGAGCTCCTGATTCCCTAGCAAATCGCCCTAGTCTCCGGAGACACGGGTGCATCTTGCTGCAGTGAATAACAATCAGTATGCAGGGTATGGAAGTGGGTCAGGTGCGAGCTGGGGAACTCAAGATCCGTACAAAGGAACAATGGTGAGAGCGCGATAGCACAACAGTCAAGGGTGTAACTTAACTTGTTGTACACTTTGGGAACGAATACACTGAAGTACTGCTTCTCCCAACACATCGCTGCTAAAGATTGAGAGCATTGTCCATAACCTGGAGATACTTCTTCTTGACCGTTGCGTTCCCGTACCTGTAGCAACCTCGCTTCTCCATGTATTCGGCAACTTGTTTCCAGGGCACTTTGGCTGCCTTCCTTTGAGCTTCAGTGCAATACCTCTCTCCCATACCATGGCCGTCTGTGTAATGCTGAAGATGACGGTCGACAGCTTCGAGCAGGATCTGTACCTACATACGTGTTAGTTAAAACTGCTAGGTGGGCAAAGGCTTCTCACGTCTTTTTGCTGCCACTCCGGTTTTCTGACTCGTAAATGCTTTGGCTTTGTAAGTGTCCGGTAACGTCCTCTCAGGGTTGATTCTGCTTCATTGAATCCACCGCGAGCTTTGATCTCTTTATATGACAGACCTTGTTTCTTCCATCGTATTAGTTCGCGATCTTTGATAGTTGCTCGGTGATGGGTCTTTGAACCACCTCTTCGCCCTACCGCAGTAGAATCAATGTCAGGACTCAGACCATCAAACAAAATAGATCTAGTAGTGGAAGCTGCACTCTCTGAAGACGATGACAGTGTCGTGTCACAGTTGTTATTTGAGACCATCAAATTTGTGTCGGTAAGAGAATTGGTTTGATGGAAGGCATCTGAGGACAAGGACTGGGGAGTATTCGTGTAATTTAGCTGATTGAGAATAGAATCACTCCACAGGCTTTGTTGATTCTGAACATTAGGGCGAGTCGTATTATGCATCGGGACTGGCTTTGGGTGCTCCGAACAGTTGTCAAAGAGCGGCTGATTAGCACAACTATGATGGAAAGAGTCCAAGACCGGAACAAAAGGGTCTGGCTGAAAGAGCTTCGCAAACTCCTCATCCGACCATGTTGGCTCAGGCAAGATGTATTGCGACGTAGGCGGGAGCGTTAAGTCTGGATTCTGTAACAAAGGTTCACCTAAAAGACTGCTCGAGTCATTCAACCCAATTGATGGCGCGTTATGCATGTCTGGCCCATGGCCGCCCAATACCTCGTCAGCTAATCTCGCATCCTCGGCCCGAATCGAACAAAGAGGAGTCGGAGGAAACTTGTATGGCTCTGAACCGGCAGTGAAAATTGACGGGAAAGCAACGGTATTGTTTAGACCTTGCGCAGTTGCTTCCCGTTCTAAGTGTTGAAGATCCACCTGATGCCCATCGCCATGCGTTGGACTAGCCAACCAGCTATCGAAGCCATGGGTAAGTGTCTGTCCCTGCACGCTGGGGAATTCATGATCGAACTGCTCCTCAGAGTATAGCGGATGTGGTTCGGGTAGGGTGAAGGCTTGTTGCTGATAGTAGTTGTGCGAAACGAGGGATGAGTCCGGCCACTCTGTACTACTCAAAGGATGTGCCGATTGTTCTCGCTTCTCAAGTTCACCTTGTTGTCGACAACCTGGTAACTGAGACAGGTGTAGCATGGCCATTAGGGGCGTAGGCTGGCAACAGGCCCAGGCGGTAGGACAGTCTGGGCGCTTCCTCACGGGAATATGTGATCTGTGATTTGTATGACAACAATAGAAGCTTTGTTGGGATGAAGAAGGGACTGTCTCTCGCGATACCCACAAAACCGAGCTTCCCGTGAAGGATTGAGGCAAGCGGATTTGAGAAAGGAACGATGTTCCTGCGACCACAGAATGACTGAAAACGTCGCACTTGTAAACGGGCTTTGATCGATGCAAACCATCTAGCTGATGGTCCACATCAGTTGCCAGTTCAGGAACTGTGGATGGGGAAGAAGCAGATGTTGCGTTGTGTGTTGGAGGCAACTTTATACTCATGGTGGCCACTTGTGAACTGATGGAAAGAAGCAATAATAGTGGGCAGCGCTTGGTAGCCAGCATGTATGATTGCTGAGATGGCCTTCTCAAAGACCAAAGAAGTTGAGGTGTGACTGTGCCTTCGTTTGACCATGGCATGAACTATTCACTTGGAAGAGAGTCATCAAAAGACTTTTCTGCCGCGTATATAGGTCAGTAACTTGATAGAGAAAAGTGAACTTTCCATTAATGAGAGTCTCGATCAGAAAATGGATCCGCGAAGGTACCATCACATCGTCATTCCTAGCTGAGTGGAGCTATTAACCTTAGAGATATTGTGCCCTACTGCATAATTAGCAGCAAGCTTTTCAAGCCCCCAAAGGCTTCCTGTACCAGCTATCCACGTCCTCACCATTCGTATGTTCACCCACCAGCCTGATTGTGGTCAGGTTTTGATCCGCGTATTACAAATTTGTATAGCGGGGCTGTTAAGGCTTTGAATACTAGGGGAAGGACAAACAACAGGAGGATTGTCTGTTCCATTTCAAGAGCGAACAAAGAATGCCAGACGTGAGTTGCAGCGTAGATCGCGATTGAAAGAATCATGGCGCTTTCGCAATACCTTCTTTGCGCGAGAAGGACTCTTCAGAGCAGATACTGGAGTATGCTAGTAGCAGCGAGTTCTCAATGCTCCGAGCGGCTGTACATGGAACGCTTTCCGACGGAAACCAGAACAGGTCCCGCAGTGAAGAGCCACTTTCGATCCCTTCAAGTGGATATTGAGTCGTTGTTGCGAACGACTCAGCAGTTTTACAAACCATTCAAAAGTAGCCCCATCTATTCAATACACTAATAGAATGGTACCTGCGGCAAAAGCTTCAGCGCTTATTTTGCTGCAGCTCGGAGGATTCTTGTTTTTCTTGTTCTCCGATGGTCCTCAAGCCCCGGGTGCTTGCATGACAGATGCATGATTCGTGCAATGCCGAAAACAGATCCGCATGGGTTGTCATATTTGAAGATCCAGCACCCACTCGGGGAAACCACTCTCGGGATTAGCAAACATAACGCAGGTCAGGGGTTTCGCTAGCTTTGTATTCCCGGATGTGAAATACTTAGATCTTCGCAGATTGCCTCTTGAAATCAAAAGAAAACCGACGTATATCTCAAACCTGTACTTGAAGAACTCCTGCCGTCATCAAGCAGCAAGTTCTCTAGAATCCACAGAGGGGATTCCTGTAGGGATATCGCAAGCTGCTGCCCACGTGTTTTCAGCACAGAAAACGCTCAGGAACCCAAAAAATCCCGTCCCCCTCTCCCGTCAGTCTGAGAACTTGATTCTGGTGCAGTTTTCGAGACCAACCGGCAGCTCAAATTGGTAAAGCCAAGCCAACCGAGCCGTCCCCAATTCCCAATGTTCTGTCTTTGAAACTCGCTGCATGTCCTGTGGCTGGCGCAAAAGGCACTTCGCTATGCATGTACGCTGGTGTTGGTAGAAAAGATCCTAGGAGTAATCTTCCTATAGCCGAGTGCTCGAAGGTCTCCCTGAATAACTTGACTGTGGTATGCCAATCTCCGCCAGGACTTCGTCAATGACGACCTGGCCCTGGCGGATAGCGTCCCATTCGCTCTTCTCCTTGACCATCAACGTGCCAGCTAGGATTGTACCGTTCACAGCGACAGAACCTTCACCATTAGCTGTTGGTACCACAGCAGTCTCACTTCGACGGGGACATATAGCCATAGCTTGAGTAGTCATGGCAAGATTATAGCTAATCGATGCTTCTCCAGCGTAGCTGTTCAATGCTGTCTGCTCAGGAGAGCACTCTTCATTCCATGATTGCAGCGAACTGCTTGCACGATCGTAAAGACATTGATAGATCTGGTTCAGTATCCCGGCACCTGGGCTGGGAGGTATCCTCATGGCATAATGACAAAAGGGTAATAAGGGGTTGCGCAATATGCTCGGTTGGTCGGGCAATGGCTCCGTCATTAGTAAGTCGATCAATGGCTTCCATTCAGGCTTTTGTGACTCTGGACCCATCATATCCCTGACAGGCAGAATTTGCAAATGTCTACGATTTTGGCTAGCACCGCTGTGCTCACCAGAGTTGAAAAACGCGAAAAGCCGCGACATCACTTCATCCGTTGACTCGGCTTCCCATAGCTGTAGACAAGAATAGGTAACCTCGAGGTCCTGGTCCTCAAGAAAATCAGTCTGTTTCTTAAACTCGATAGTGGAAAGTATACTGTGTCGAGGTATCACAGGATACTTGTTAAGCACAAGATTGTGCGTTCCATGGGACTGATCGGGCAGCCGAGTCACCAGTAGACCCTTTGGGTTCTCGAAAGGGTCGGGCTTTGACTTTGGTTGCGATGCTCCAGATTCAGGTTTGCTAGCTCCAGGCTTCTTCGAAAGTGCAGGACAGTACCGAAGCTGGAACTGGACTGGGATTAGATCTAGAAGCATGCTTGTGGTTGTGGAACTAGAAATTACCGGAATTCCACTTCTTGAATAGATGATTGTAAGCTCTGTAGGCGAGAAGACCAGACTTCCCGATGACTTTGCAGAGAGATATTTCGAGCCCACCAACCTGTTAAGTGGCTCAGCAAGGTCGAGTTTCATGGTTGTTAAGATGAAGAGTAGTTCGGATGACTACAGAACTTGAGACAGGCCCGGGAACGTAAGCAGGACACGCTCCGGAATAGCTTATAGATGTGATGCCTTCACCGTAAGGATGGTTAAGTAGCTGAGATACACAAATCCAATCGATAGAGCTACTATGGGCGGAGTAAATCTGCATTATTGCGAAGAAGGTAGATGTGTACTCCGTACCCTCTTGACTTTGCCGCTAGTTAAATAAATAGTTGGCCTCGGCAAAAGCACAGCTCACCATATTACCACATACAGCAATCGCAAACGCATTGGGCTGTTCTCAAGTATGAACCTAACACCTGCCTGACTGTCTCCCGGCAATGAGCCCATCCATCATAACCCCTACCCTCTTACACACCTTGAGGACGTGGCCGCATCTACCATCAAATACATGGTACTTTATTACGAGCGTGACCCTATCCTTCCTAAATCGTCCGGATGAAATCCCAAAAGTCTTCCAGCACGCCATAGAGAAAGCTCCATCGTCCACTGAGAAATCGTCGAAGCAGGATGAGCACTTGATTATTGCCAGACGAATGCGTGAAGCACTTGTCAAGGCGGCGGCTATAGGGGGTTTACCTAAGGTACAGACAGCACAGTCTTGGAAACCTCGCGTTGGCAGCAGCTGATCTGCTCAAGTAGACTATCAACGCCCTCCTCGCACTAAAAAATGCAACTCCAGCTCATCTTATAGATGAACCGCTAGGCTTCTCGCCAACCTCACGCCCCTTAGAGATCTACGATGTACCTGCGTCGCAGATACTGCAACGGGGGCAGACTTTCTTCGACAGAGTCTACGGTAAGGTATCGAGGCGGGTAATGGGCCAGATGGATCGATCTGGAACGGAAGATCTTGGTTTGACGGCTCGACTGATGTATGGTTATATTCTGAGTAACACCAGCGTCTTGACGGCTGCTGAGACTAGTTTTGTGTTAATAGCCGGTCTTATACCACAAGATGTGAGTCTGACCTTGTACATTGGTGGATTAACCTGACAAGCCATAGGTGAATCCACAACTGAAAGGTCACCTCAAGGGCGCCATAAACAATGGAGCAACGTTTGAGGAAGTTCGTGCTGTTCGAAATATTGTCATCAGAGTATGCGAGGCAGCGGGTATGAGGGCGTTAGGCGAACATAGTCTTGATGGCTGGGGTTGGCATGGCGAGGTTGCTAAGCTCTGACCAATTCAGCTATGCTTGACTTATACTAGACCAGAAGCAAATACCAAGATTCGAGCAATTACCTCAAGTGTTTCCCATGGACTCAAGGCCTCGCTCCGCCTTCGCTTGAGTGCTCGCTGGGACGTTGCCCATTCCATCTGCATTTGACTCTGAACGAAGCTGCTGATATTTCTCTCCCGCTTCCGATACCAACCTTTGGATCTCTACTTCCCGTACGGCAATCTCGGCTTTTTCCTGCTGTAGATCAGCCATCTGCTTCGACAGTCTCGCTCTTGTATATTCCAAATTACTGATGGTAGCCCGCAGTCGTTCCAAGACAGAGCTCAATCGAGGTATTGGCGTGATTATCGGCGGCGCATATGTTTGAGAGTCATCTCTTTCTCTGCCTAAACCAAGACCATCCATTGCATTTCGGGTCTGTGCAGTTTCATAAGCCAAATTCTGTGCTGCATCCGAGTCGTCATCGTCAGAGATATTCTCTGCATCTGCAATCATGTCTCTCATCGACTCCCGTTCTTTCTTGTGCTGTGCGGCTTTTGCCTTCTTGCCCAGAACCACTCGACCAGCATCTTCAACATAGTCATCAAACCCTTCTGCTAGGTCTTCGTCATCACGAACAAGCCTGGTCTCTTTGAGCTCATTGCGTGTAGAGAGCTGCATGTATCTGCCATCGCCATCACCCTCAAGCGATATAAAGTCCTGCTCCTTTGCAAGGCGGGCTCTTCTTTCCTTCTTTTCTCTAATCTCGGATTCGGTAGGTATCGCAGATACGTTCGCATCCTCGTGTATTGTGCCAAACTTTGATAGAATGTCTACCGTTTTAGAAGATTCGTCATCCTCCGAAGTGTGCGAAGATATGTCCCTGGGAGTTGAGGGGGTGGAATTTCGCAGCTCGTTGAGGTAATCCTTGCTATATGTTGGACGATCATCTTCGTGAATGTTTCGAGAGACTGCCTGCCCCAAATGCCTAGACGGACTCCATGATCGTTTTAGCAGATCGCTACCTGCAGCCCGTTTTACCAAGTTGGTTTGTTTGATAGTCTTGGGTTGACCAGAACTCTCCTCATTCGGATCATCTTCAGCCGCAGCCTGTCCAGGATCGAAAGATACCCGGAGCTTCGATTTGTGCTTTGGCACGTTACTCAAGCCAGGTCTTCGGACGACAGGACCAGAATCTGTTGTGCGAAGTCAGCATCATGCCAACTTGAAAGTGTTAGAAGAATTCTCTAGAAGATATGAGGAAGACGAACCTTCTGCTTCTTCTTGAGTAGGGGCTTCAGCTTCGCGGCCCACTCGTTTGGGCTTGCGGCGGTTTGCGAACAGCGGAGTCATGAAGAGAACTCTCTCTACGCCTGTCTTTATGGTTATGTCGCACGCAGATAGTCATTAGTATAGCGTGCTTAGATGTTTGGTATGTAGCTTCAACTGGAGAGGATGCTCTAGCTTGGCAAAGGCTGAACCGCAATCTAGGGCCTCTGGGCTTTTGATTTGCTTGCACCCACGAATTTGCTGCTCGAGAAATACTACATACTACATTGAAGCTAACGTATCCCTTAACTCCTCTACCTCTATCTTAAAGCTCTTTGCTGTTCCTTCCTCGTATCAGGAAATTCTGCAGCCACCATGCCTCAAGCTCAGCCCGAATTGAAAAAGGTGCGTTACAACAGTTCGGCCGCAAGCTTAGATGACGATCACTCATACCTACTACAGTACATGGAGAAGCGGCTGTTTGTGCAATTAAACGGCAATCGCAAGGTCTTGGGAATTCTCAGGGGTTATGATGTACGCGCCTCAATCCTCTCAGCTCTTCTCAGAGACCACTGTTCGTTTGACACACCAAAAGGTTTTCTTGAACATTGTGCTAGACGAGGCTGTGGAGGAGAAAGCAGGAGGAGAAAAAGTCAGGTTGGGAATGGTGGTCATCAGAGGGAATTCTGTTGTAATGTTGGAGGTTGGTCCCCATTCACGTTCACTGGTGTCTGAAGACACTCATGCAAGACACTCATGCTAATGGGGTTTTTCTTTCTAGGCACTTGAAAGAATCGGAGGTGACAGGGACAGATGATGGGTATATTCTCCAACATACTCGGGCTGCGAAAGAGATTGTGGCGAATCGTTGTGAAGCGCCTTTGGCTACGATCCACAGAACGAAACCGGAAATGGATTGCTTGCAAGATCTTGCAAGTCTGTCAAAATGTTGTGCAGCGGCCGATACCAGAATCGCCCCATGCAAATGGCAATTAGATGAACTCCGCGCTATGCTTGAACCTAGAGAATAGCAAATTCTCCCTCAGCTTACGCAATTCTCATACGCCTTAGGTGAAGCCACACATTTGGCTCAGAGTCGCCAACCTCGATGCGATTTGATTACTGTTTTCGTCACGATGCAGAAGGCCGAGGCATTGAGATTTTTATCTTGAGGCTCCGCTTAGGTTCGCTCTGGACCTCACTCGCCGCTGGTGCTTGAGGTGGAGATGGTTGCAGCAGTGTTGGCGGCACCGGATTTTTTAACAAGAGCTTGGGCCCAGAGGATTTTGGTGGCAAAAGGTCATATTTCGTTGTCAGGGGGCTCAATGCTTTGGGTACCCATTTGATAAAAGGCTTTGTGCGTACATGGTTCGTTCGAATAAACTTCAACTTGCCCTATGTGTGTTGTTAGTCGCTTCAATACCACTGTATCCAAGAATCGCTGCTAGACTTACCTTTCCAATATGTTCAAGCTTCCAGTATCTTGGGTACTTGATAGTGACCTTGAGCGAATCAACAGGGTCATAAAGCATTCTGCAGAAATATAGCATTGCCTGCAACTCTTCAAGTGAAAGGGTGTCGCAACTGACGGCCGTCCACAAGGACGTCTTCAGGTCATCATTGTCGCCAATTTCCTCTTTCAGCGCGGCTATAGCTACGTCAACAGCACGCTTTCTGGCTGCTTGCGCTTGCTGGTTCCCCACGTCTGCGTCATTCTCTATCACGAGGTCTTCCGTTATGTCAGCCTGAGAAGACTTCAGATGGTCTCCAATGGCAACAACGGCTAGGAGCTTGCCGAAGAATCTGCGTAGGCTTCTTCGAATCCACGGAGAAGGATCCGATGACATGCAAAATGTCGTATAACGAAGGACAGCTGGGCTCTGAAGAATTTTCGGTAGGATGAGGTTTTCGAATGCAGTCAGGCGCAGCATATCATAATTACCAGGGCGAGTGTATTGCAGGAAATGCATCGTGCTCGCTCTACCAATTCTGCTGTCTGAAAGCCGTCGTTGACAATCAAGCGCAGTCCTTGAGTACAGATTCTGGTACGAGCCTGCCCATTCATCCATTCTCCGATACCGGTCAATGACTTCGAGAGAATCCTTCTCTAATTGCCGATCCCGATCTCGACGATCCAGCACGTCAAGATCCATTTCGTCCAAGTGACGGTCTTTCTTGCCATGGGTACAGATTGCTTCGCAGAGAGATTGCATTAGCATCGAAATGTAGAAGCAATCAGAGAACTGTCATCGTCAGCAAACACATCTTTATATGTGCTGAAAATTCTCAAACCCTTACCGGATTTGTGTCGTTGTTGTTGAATTTGAGTTTGTCAAGCAGAAATTCAATTGCTTCCGGCAGCGCAATTCCCTTAGCATCTCGTACTTTTGAGATTGCTAGAATGAGCCCGCACTGAAGCTGATATGCAGCTATGTTCGAAAAATCATTCGGGCGCGCTACGGTCGATGTCGTGTCCGAAAAGCAAAACAGTTCTTCAAAGGCTTTTCTGAGGTGCCAAAACCCGATGTAATCCGTATCTGGGGTAGCTTGTCGCACCATTGCCATGGCTGCTGAAGTTCTGAGCCTGTGAAAATACCTTTTGTCCATCACAGTCCGTAGGAAGATTGATGAAATAAGCGGACTGGCGGGGAATCTGCTTATGGCTTGTACTGCGTCCAGCTGGGCCACTACATCACGATCTTGCTGCAGCTGCGAGGCGTACATGTAGCCAGCCATGTTGAGCTCCAGCTTGCAAATCCATTCGAAATCGGCATCGACCCGGATCCATTCGTATGATTCGGAGCTCATCTTTTCCTCATCTTCAGGAGTCCATCCTGAGATTCTCCACTTTTTGATTTCCTCCTCACTCTGGAGGACATCACCGAGACAATAGAGCAGTGCGTCGTTCTCGGCCTCGGACGGGTCGGCGTTCGCAGCAGCAGCATTGAAGTTCTTTTCTCTCTGACGCCTACTCCTCTTCAGCCGTTTATACTTTGTGTTGTAGGGAATTTCAAATCTCATCTGGGCTTCTCTAATCTCCACCACATGCTCATATGGAGTGCCATCTGCTTCGTGGACTCTAATAGTAATAGGCCCGGTAAAGACGTTCTGGAGAGGCGCTGCCCATATGTTGTGAAAATCTTCTCTGACGTCGCGCATGAAGGTGTCTGGTTCAAGGTCTCGGTTGGTATGCTCTCCTTGTACTTGTCTAATCATCATTTCCACCACAAGCTTTTTTTTATTGAATTTTTGAAAAGCCCTGAAGTGAGGACAACCACCACCTCGCACCCACTGATTAAGAAAGTCATCGATTTTGCTGTGGTAGAACTTTTCGCATGTTCTCTGAAATAGTTCCGTAGATAGAGCATTACCAGGCAGCTCCCCTTTTCTAGCACGCAGCAAGATCTTGGAGATTATCGCAGGCATTTTGGGTAGGCCAACGACTTTGGCTATCCTCCGATCAAGGATGAACAGAACCAAGGAAGCTTTCAGTGACATGAACTCAAGCTCTGCAGGGTCAACCTGCAACATAGTGCCCAAGTCAAAGAGTGACGGCCGATTATGGTCCATCTCACAAACACGGTCCGCTTGTTGTTTCATACGAAAGCGATATTCATTATTGCCGCATAAGTCTCTCATATAGGCTTCTGTGATGTAGTGTGCAACCCCGATAACAATCCAGCTATCTGTAGGTTCTTGTGGAACGACATTGATGCCAGCCCACTGCGATGCAATTGCGTGAACCAGTTTCCTGGTGACATCTTCGGCGACGTCTATAATATCCGCTGGGTAGAGTAGTCTATTACTGCAAAGTGTAAATGCTCCTGCAATGGCCGTATCGTTCTCAAGGTCGTCAACAAAGCATATTCGATAGGTTGCAAATGGACAAGCAACATACTTTCGAGTAACAAAGTCGATGGCTCTGACCGTTGGCAAGCAGGTATTTCGGAGCTCCTCCAATCGACCAGGAAGACAATAACCGAGAACTTCCACCGCATTCGACCCAACATCATCTTCTGGTACGCGAAAATCGGACAATTTGACCTCTTCGAAAGGGCCTATTGCGAATGCGATCTGCTGCGCAGAAAGAGGTACCGAGCAAGAGAATGAGGTTACTACCTTCGATGAGTCTTCGTGATCCTCCTTGCGGCTGATATGTTCTCCCGAGCATACTACGATCATCTCTCTTTCCTCGTGTGCAGACCGCGGTTGTAAAGAGCTCTGTTCTATGCCGGACCCTGCGTGTATTGCTTCATGTGATACGGAACCTCGTAGAGCATCACCTACAGTGCGAGGGCATCCTATCTTGATTTCCCATGTACAACGAGCATTCACTGCATCCACACAAGGAAATATGCAGCATGCACTACCTGGTGCATTCGTTCTCGGCGTGTACGCATGAGGGAATCTTCCAGCACCAGTCCCGTGTGCAACAAAGTGTATTCCATCACGGACGTCATCTATGCTGAACGAAATGCTGATGATCAACGGTGTATAGCGCGCAATGGAAGTATCCGTGAGTGCTTGTGCCGAGTCAACCAGAGAAGACCCAGGAGCATCTCCATTTGTGTGATTGAGGAGGCTAGATTGATTGCTAGAGATGACGTTCAAATTGACCTCGTCAATGTGGACAGACTTCGGCACATCAAAGGCCACCTCCCCGTCTGGAGGTGTCTTCAACGCATTCGCAAGCTTGAGAGCTAGAAGATGATGCTGATGGGCGGTCGTATTACCAGCGAGCTTAGTTTTTGTGTATGGATCGATATATTGCATACGTGAAACGGGTTTGCTGTTCACAGTAAGGCGAATAATCCTGCATTGCCTCAAACTAAGCGTGATGGTCTTTAGGTCTTTGCTTTGCGGGTGAAGTGTGATTTCGGTTTTTCCAGAGACTCTACGTCCTTTGAAGTCAACATCGAGCTCGACAATTTGGTGGGCAACAGAGTATGAAGGCGTTGCACTGATGGCCGTTGGAGCAACGCCATCCACAACTTCTGCCATGTTTCACCCAAGGCCCAGTGCGGTTGTTCCTTAGCCTGCTCCGAGGGCATGAAGAGGTCGATTGTTCATCTCATGCTATTCTCGAATGCGGCTAACTTTGTAAATGAGGTGCTATTTTCAAGACTCTTCCTTTGAGAAACAAAGCAGATTGTCTTGACAGATGCTGATCGCGAGTTGAGTGCTCAGTGAAGAGGTAGTCGTGCTCGCTAATTTCACAATCAGAAATTGTATTGGCACAAAGAGTTCGGTTGCTGAGTCTGTAGACAGGCACTGGCTTAGTCACCACAGAGTCTGAGGAACTGAGGCAAACAAATGACTGAGGAATGAGATGCTTATGTAAGAGAATTCGATGTTGCCAAGACACCATTCTGAAGATGATAGGCTGGTAGGTACTACTAGTAGTACTTGATTTCAATTTCTCTCCACTCTGCACACTTCCATTGCACGTGTTTGATCCGCCGATTTCGCAAAACCAAATGCTGTTCTTTTCTGTGAATATGCAATTTCATACTGTCATAAACATCTCAGCCTTGGCGGTGATCACTACAGTATTGTATAAGCAACGACGTCTTTTAGGTCGTGACTTTCAAGACCTCTAGGATTTGTTTCCGCGGCTTCATCTGCCGTCTTCCACAGAGCATTTGAGATCCTGGTCCCGTTCGACCACTTCTTTGTTTGGCTTGTCAGTCATTGATGGTAGGGAAGGTTGGAAGGAAAAACTTATACTTCCTTGCTCAATCGTCAAGCTCCCAAGAATGTCACCTTCCACTGGTATCCTTCCTCTTTCTTCTCCGGTAAAAGATCGAAGCAAGATCGAAGCTGACCTGAATTCAGCATCTGGACCTCTATCGGAGCAAGGATTAAAATGCTTGAAGGATTATAAGTACTCGAGCGTGGATAAGTCCTTGATATCTTATTACATTCTACGACATTATGTACTGCTCCCTTACACCTGGTGCTCCGGCAGTTCTGCTAACTTCTCTTGAAGTGGAACGCATTGGTGGAGCTCTTACCTCTATGGCTGGCACCGAACATGGTGACACTTCTCGGCTTCTTCTTCATTTTGGCAAACGTCGGATTCCTTGAGCTATTCATGCCTGACCTTGTTGGTCCTGTGAGTGGCTGCACTCGCCAGAATACATTGTTAGCGTGACTCATATCGTGTTCGGCAGGGCCCGTCTTGGTTATATTATAGCTTTGCTTTCGCATTGTGGATGTAAGCGGCTCTTCGCTCATATATGAGATATAAGACCTGCATATTGTCTGGTACTAACATACTCTTCTAGGTACCAAACTTTGGACAATATCGATGGCAAGCAGGCCAGGAGAACTGGTACTTCAAGTGGCCTTGGAGAACTGTTCGAGTATGTTGAGCAGCTCAGATGGCGTTTTATGCCGCTAACAATCTCTCCTAGCCATGGAATTGATTCTCTAAACTGCACCTTAGCCAGTCTCTGCGAAACAGCTGCAATGGGAATTGGACCTACTAAGACTGGCGCATTCACGGCCCTCATACCATGTCTACCAATGTTCTTCTCAACGTGGGAGACCTATCACACTCACACGCTCTATCTCGGATATTTCAACGGTCCAACCGAAGGACTTCTTTTGGCCTGTTCTTTGATGGTGTTATCTGGTTTCTACGGACCACATATCTGGACCTATCCAGTCGCGGACTTGGTTGGCCATCCAGAAATCTTTGGCACATACAGCTTACGCGATGTTTGGGTTCCTATTCTACTATTGACCTTCTTCATTGCACACCTGCCGGCTTGCATCTACCATGTCGTGCAGGCCCGCAGACGCCAAAATCTACCGATACTACCTGTTTTCCTGGAGTGGACACCAATGATCGTTTACACTTTGTCGTGCTGCGCTTGGCTTTCCTCGCCATATAGCAGTCTGCTAACTCACAATCGGCTGGTCTTATTCTGCCTTACCATGTCATTCGTATTTGGGCGACTGACCACGAAGATCATTCTCCATCATCTAACCAAGCAACCATTTCCCTATTGGACGATTCTACTGCTACCTCTGGTCGGTGGAGCACTTCTGGGCAACTTGCCTCGACTAGGCTTTCCAGCCATCAATCCCACTGCCGAGCTATGGTATCTTCGAGCCTACTTTGTGTTCGCGTTATCAGCGTATATGAGATGGGCATACGTTGTGATTGATGGAATCTGTGCGTACCTTGACATCAATTGTCTGACAATCAAGCCACGCGATCAGAATCATACACCAAACACACAGGCTCTGCGAAGCAAGCAGGGTTCAACCAAAACTTCGGCGAACGGATCTTTGAAGAAAGAAGCATGATTAGACTCAGCAGACACAGAACTCGAATGCATTACTGTCCGAGAAGCAGCACTTGTAAGTCCCTTAGATCCGCATTTCTGTGGCGTTGAAGATCTGGCAAGCAACTTGCAAAAGCATATTCTTTTATTGTCCCTGAACTCGAGCATATCTTTACATCCCAGAAGAAAGAAAATGTTTCTGTTTCAATTTGAGTTGTTGGCAAGGCGAGCAGTACCATCATTCCACGCATCGAAAGTCCGGCTCCTGAAGTCGTTCGGGCAAAATGCAATGAATACTAATGTCAAGTAGCTCCCAGCAGAAGTCGTGGTGCACAGTATGTGCCCATGCTGACTTTGACCGAACAGACACCTTCATCTAAACTTAGACGTTCTACAAATCGTTGATATAGATCCAATTTGCTCAGCATGCTCAGGTAACCGACTGAGGATCTACAGACAGATACGCTCATACAAGCTTCAAGAACTCCAAATCCCTCAATGCCGATGTTCAATTGAACCTCTGTGTTCCTTTCTCTTCTAGCGTTGAAATCTATCGGCTCTCCTCGCCATTCTTCCCATTCTCTGCGCAACCTCCACCTCCCTCACCCCACCCTCTGCACGAATACTGGTGAGACCATCCGCATCCCCATTTCCCCTCCTGACCCTACACCGCTGGGGCCGAGATACCTCAACCGGAGCGATCGTCACCGCGGCGGCTTTCGAATTCGATTTCTTGTCCATGGCTGTAGGTGTAGTGAGAGGAGCGACGATCCATCCTTGAGTTTGTTTTGTGGAGGACATCTTCGGTGCGTTGGCGGCATGCCAGTCTGAGGAACCGGATGCGGTGGCGGCGCTGAAGCGAAGGTGTGAGGAGCGGTCGAAAGAGAGGGTTGCCATTTCTTTTCTTTGAGGGGCAGGTCGTAGTGGTGATTATGGTGTAAGTATGAAAATTGGATTAGATATCCTTGGGCTGGATGGATGCTTTGTCTGTGGTATGTTCAGGGTAGATTGATTGGCCCTCTCCTAGATGCAGACAGTACCTAGCAAACTGGCCTGCCAGTTTGTTCTTTTCCCGTCGTGACTGCTATTACAGATAGAAAATAGAAGTCAAAGGAGAGGAGTAACGAGCAGTATAGGCTAGACTATGGGGGGTTCCATAGTCATTCTTTATCATAGCGACTTACCATGATACCGCACCGCAGGTCCGGAACAGTAACAGTCTATGTTTCTTTCCCGTTTCCTGTCTTGCCTTTCTCAAGCGGCGGATGTAGAGGACAGGGTTATTTGAAACGTTTCTTGAACCGTACACTTGACACAGTCGGAAGGGTGGGAGGGAGGACTGGGGGGTTCGGAGGTGGTGGGTATTTTGTATGTGTCTGCATGTGTTTCGGCCCCCCGAATCGGTGTCGCGGCTGAGGTTGAGACGGGAAACGCAGACACAGGAACCGATTACTTATGCCGTATGGCTCCAGCCGTTCTAGGTCGGATCGTTTGTTCTCTTCCCTTTGACACACTGGGACATCGTTTTGCCTGGATAAACATGTGAAGAAGGGTGGCCATTGTTGACCTTGGACCTGAGTACTCATTGCGAGGAAGATGGGGAAATGGGATCATCATGATTTGGAAGATGGGGATGGCCCTGACAATAATTTACCGGATGTCAAACCGCATCAGTGTCCAGTTCGATCGCAGTATCGCAGGTTTAATGCCCCGAGCTGGCATTAAACTCATGCTGAAGCTCCTTACTTCTAGGCTCCACTCCTCGCGCCTAAACCGCCCATTATTTATGCCCTCCGGCCCACTTCTCACGAAGTTTAACTAGGTTAGGTAATTCGTATTGTATCTACTTGGCAGCCACCGTTGAAACACTCAAAGACAGATGTTCCTCGAAGGGAAGCCTTTGCTTCTGTACATCAAACCAATACATTCAAATATTCGCTAACAGAGCTGTGGGTATATACTCTCTTCCGTACTGTTCATTTACTTTATCCAGGTCAGCTTTTGCATATCTGAGTCTAGATTCAGTTTTCCTAAGCCAGGTAGCAATAGTGATACCTACAACCATGCATAATTTGCGGAATGGTTTTACCTGCCAGTTCATTTCCTGGTACGGAGTACGTACATATCCTCCATCGGCAAGATTTCGACTTCCCCCTTACCCCTGGCACCATTTAATTCATATAACATGTCCTCAGCGGATCTAGATAACATGACGCGCCCCATACAAGAGTATGCTCCTCCTCCAGGAAACATCGGTACTTGATATCAACGCTCTCTTTTTGTATAGATCAAGTCTTGATCTCCTGCTTATGGAAAATACCTGTTCCAGATCATCAGTCAGCGTGTCTCAACTCATCCAGATAGCCTGGGGCATTCCTCCCAATCTCAGACCTCCCTTCGAGACCCTCGCAAGCTGTCATGACAGTACCCTAGGGTTTGGACAGAAGAAAGGTTTTGTACATACCAGGTATCTCCGGCATCCAGCTATCCCTTTTCTTGCAGAAAAACTCTCCTTTCGGCGGCAGCTCCTCCGGCTTGTTCAGCGTGCCGTAGAAGATGTAAATGAAGTCTCCTGCATTTGCCTAGATTGCCGTTATGGATACGTGTAAGCCATTTCCCTCCACATTCATATGTACTACGTAAACCCCCACAACTTCTTAATTCCGAGTCGTCATCCCCTCCCGGTTCAAAAGGTCAAGGAACTCAATTTATACCCATCCAAAAAAGCACCTCAGAAGGGAAACTCAAATGCTAGACAGTGATAGAGAAAGAGAATGAACTTCAAGTGAGATACAAGCCAGGAAAGACAAATGAAATACTAACCCCATATTCCAAAAGCCCACTCCCACATTTCCCACAAAACTCCCTATGAAGCACAACTCCGCTCCCGTTATCACCCTCATGGACCTTCACCTCCCCCTCCCCTTCCGTGAGCTTGAAAGCCGATTTGGGGATCTTGGTCGTTATGCCGAAATTACCGCCTGTGAATTTCTACCAGGAAAAGAAGTCAACAAGATCGTAGATACAGAGCAGAAGAACAACGACACCAAAGCAAGGGGAAGAATCAGGAAGCACTGTTACAGTAAACTCGAGAGTGTGGTTGTTCCTTTTTGGAAGGGGGAAGACGGGGATTTTCAGATACCTTACAGTTCCCACAATGGCAGAGACTGGTCCTGGCATCATCTTTGCTTTCGAGCTCGATTTCGTACTTGATGGTGCGGCAGTAACAGGAACCGGGGAATTTCATCTTGGCTGAAGAGAGTCCTCACCAAAGGGAAGACGAGGAAAGGTTCTTGAAATTGAAGCAAGAGAAATTGTGAATGTGAGGCTGTTTGGTGCCTGGGCAGTCGTGGGGGCAGCAGTAAATAGAAGTAACCTACAAACTACACGTAAGGTGAATATGAATAGTACTAGCGACTGTCAATTGATGTAGCAAGTATCAAAGATACGCCTCCCCGGGAGCAAGAGCGCGAGGGATTGGTGTCAAATGAGGAGCAGGTCATGATGACGTCGTGTCAAATCCGCATTGTTCGAGACTTGCTTCAAGTGAAGGCCATATAGCATTGGAGGGTGCTTTTACCATCATGGTTGGACAGCTGGAGTACATCGAGTGACTTGGATAGTGACTTGGATGGTGACAGACGGCAAATAGATCCTTGTTGCCACCCAAATGCGAGACTACCTAAGTTTACATACTGCGCTGCTGGATATTAGATACAAAAGAAACACATCCAAAGATCTTACATATCGAGCCATTTCCGGCTCACTCTCTCCTTCCTCCCGCATTCTCAGTCGCTCATTTCTTCTTCTTCTTACCACCTCCCAATCCTAGACTCTCAGCTATACTTCCCAGCCCAAGACCGCCCAACAGCTTGTCAATACCCAATCCACCCAAGATACCATTGACAAGGCCACCCAGCCCAAGGCCGTTCAACAACTTGCCCACAAGGCCAAGTACCCCACTCAGTAACAAACCCACTGCGGCAATGATCTGGAAGAGCGGCTCGGTCAACAATCCCCATAGAGGATTCAGCTTCTTCTTGGCATGTGGCATGTCCGCAATCCTCTTCCTGGCATTGTCAATCGTCTTGACCACATTTGTTGTCAAATCCTTAAGCAGTTCTGCCAGACGGTGCTCTTCTTGTGTAGCGTCGCCTTGGGCAGCACGTGCTTTGGCGGTGGCGGCGATACTGCCATCGGGGTCGAGACCACGAAGAGCGCCATTGCATTCCTGGAGGATGCGGCCACCCTCTTCGAGCAGAGGTTTGACTTGGTTGACGAGCTCTTCTTCGTCGAGCTCCTCTTTGGGTGTGCGGTCGGCTTTTTCAACAGCCTGGAACATTCAGTCAGCGTTCAGCACAGAGGATGACAGTCAAGGTAGAACTTACCTCAGTGATTTGCTTCAGGATTGGCTCCATCTTCTCTAATGTCTGTTGCAGAATACCACACATCTTTCGTGCAATTTCTCTGTTCTCTTCCTCTGCTCTCACGGCGGCTAGCTCTTCTTCCGATGGCCCTTCGTCTTCTTGTAGGTTCTCAATAAGGGTGCATGCTCCGACACGGTTGCCATCATTGTCAACCACGTAGCCGTTGTCGTCGACCTCGAAACCTACAACAGTGCGCAGATCACCTTCGGTGAGCTTACCAAGGAGATTGCCATTTTCGTCGCGAACTTCTCCTTCCTTGTTGACCTTGTGGCCGGACATTGGGTTGATGCGCCTCTCCTTCTTCTCTGGCTCCCATCGCTCAGCCTTGCCAATAACGTTGCCAGAATTGTCCAGGATATCCCCGTCGTCGTCGACAGAACGTCCCATCAAGGCTTTTGCATCACCTTCTTTGACGCGGCCAATGATCTCGCCTGCACCATCATGGACCAATCCATCTGCGACAACAACTTTCGTCTCGAAGCCAGAGAATGGACCATCCGGCTTCTGTCGCGCGCCGCCTGGGATAAGCTCTGCATAACCAATGACTTTGCCGTCGTCGCTCCAGATTTGACCTTTACCATCCACCTTGCGGCCAGCCAATGCCTTCGGGTCACCTTCTTTGATACGACCAAAGATTGTTCCGTGCTCATCAACAACGTTACCCTGTTTGTTGACAACTTTGCCTGCAAGCGAAGACAGATCTTCTTCAACGACTTCTTCCTCTGGAATCTCATACGGTTCGCAGTGACCGATAACGTTCCCATATTTGTCAATGATATCACCATCCTCATCAACTGCGCGCCCGATCAACTTCTTTGGATCACCTTCAACGACTCTACCAACCACATGGCCGTCACGATCTTGCACGAGACCATCCTCCACCACTTCTACATCTTGCAGCCCGGCGAATGGTCCTTCAGGCTTAGCTTCTCGCTCATTGTCGGGGATTAGCTCGACACGGCCAATGACTTTACCAGCGTCGTTCCAGATTTGCCCCTCACCGTCGACCTTCTTGCCCGCGAGTTCCTTGACATTTCCCTCAACCAAGCGGGCGATAGGCACTCCGTCGGGTCCAATGACATTACCTTGCTTGTTGAGTGTCAAGCCATTGAGGATTGATAGATCTGGAGGTGGTGCTTCCTCTTCCTCGGGCTCTTCGTATCTTTCAGCATGGCCCACAACGTTGCCTCGTTTATCAATTACATCTCCATCTTCGTCAACTTGTCTACCGACGAGCTTTTTGGGGTCGCCTTCAACGATCTTGCCAACGCGGTTTTCGTTTACGTCCTCGACCCAGCCATCCTTGACAACAATTAGGCCTTCCAGGCCTGCGAAAGGTGCTTCTTCCTCATCGTCTTCTTGAGGAAGAGTTCGTGCCTTACCAATGACCTTTCCTTTACCGTCCCAGAACTGGCCCTCTGCGTCGCAGGTGGCGCCCATCCTCGCCAGCCTCTTTGCATCACCCTCGATCAATTCGCCAACAGGGTTGCCGTTGGAATCGACAATTTTGCCATACTTGTTGCATTTCAGGCCGTCTAGGATCGATAGTGGTGGGAGCTCGGGACCGGTATCTTCATCCTCGGCAGGTTCTTCGCCTTCTTGAGGAATCATCTCGACTTTGCCAATCACATTACCCTCGGAGTCAACGACTTCACCTTTGTCATTAAGCTTCTTGCCGGCCACGCTGGCAAGGTCGTAACCTTCGGCAAGTCTAGCGATCACGTCACCATCCTCATTGATCACCTCACCCTTCTTGTTGACCTTCAAACCTTCAACAAGTGAAAAATCGGGACCATGCTCAGCCGTCTCGCCCGCAGCCTCCTTGGCTTGGTCTGCCGCATCCTGGGCTTCATCCACAGCTTGTTCAGCTTTCTCAAGAAGTTCGACCTTGCCGATGACATTACCGTCCTTGTCAACAATCTCACCCTTATCGTTGATTCTCTTGCCCGCAACATCAGTGATTTCACCTTGGATCAATCTGCCGATCGGCTCGCCCTCCTCGTCTAGGACTTCACCTTTCTTGTTAACCTTTAAGCCTTCAAGAATCGTGATCGATGGAACGCCATCGGCAGCTTCATCAGCAGCTTCATCAGCAGCTTCATCGGCAGTTTCGCCGGCAGCTTCATCGGCGGCGTCTTCTGCGGCGTCTTCCGCGGCGTCTTCTGCGGTTCCATCAGCGGCTTCATCGGCTGCGGCTTCGACAAGTTCAGGGTGCAACTCTTTCATAGCGTCGTCGGCAGCTTCTCCTTGCACGATTTCGACTTTGCCAATAACTTCACCCTTATCGTTGAGAATTTCTCCTTTTTCATTAGGAATCTTGCCGGCACATTCTTTCGGGTCTCCATCAACGAGCTTGGCTAGAACCTCACCTTCATCGTCAAGAATGGTTCCCTTCTTATTGAGTTTCCTGCCTTCAACAATTGAAAGATCAGGTTTCAGCTCCTCGGCAGCGTCTCCTTGCACGATTTCGAGTTTGCCAATAACTTCACCCTTATCGTTGAGAATTTCTCCCTTTTCATTGGGGACCTTGCCGGCACATTCTTTTGGATCTCCATCAACGAGCTTGGCTAGAACCTCGCCTTCATCGTCAAGAATGGTTCCCTTCTTATTGAGTTTCCTGCCTTCAACAATTGAAAGATCAGGTTTCAGCTCCTCGGCAGCGTCTCCTTGCACGATTTCGAGTTTGCCAATAACTTCACCCTTATCGTTGAGAATTTCTCCCTTTTCATTGGGGACCTTGCCGGCACATTCTTTTGGATCTCCATCAACGAGCTTGGCTAGAACCTCGCCTTCATCGTCAAGAATGGTTCCCTTCTTATTGAGTTTTCTGCCTTCCACAATCGAAAAATCAGGTTTCGGCTCTTCACCAGCATCTTTGACTTCTTGGGGAAGAACTTCGGCTCGGCCGATGACATCTCCATCCTCATCTAAAACTTCACCGTCGGCGTTCACTTCTTGGCCAAGGAAGTCTTCTGGATCACCTTCAGTAATTTTACCAACGGCTTTGCCTTCACTATCAAGGATTTCGCCACCTTCACCAACCTTGAGACCCTCCAGGATACCAATATCTGGGATTTCAGTCTTTGCCTGATCCGCTGCTTCTCCTGCTTCTCCTGCTTCTCCTGCTTCTCCTGTTTCTTCTGCTTCTTCAGCAGCAGCGTCGGCCTGGTCTGGAGCTTCGGCGGCCTCGGCTTCGTCTTTGGCTTTCTGTGCGAGTTCTTTGGCCTTCTCAGGCAGGATAGAGCAGCGCCCGATGACATCTCCGTCCTCATCTAGGATTTCGCCGTCTTCGCCAATAGTCTGACCGATCAGATCTTCTGGGTCCCCTTCGTCGAGCTGGCCAAGAGGCTCACCATCGGGGCCGAGGATGACTCCGCCTTCTCCAACCTCAAGGCCGCGAAGAATAGAAAGAGGAACCTCTGGGAGATCCTCTTCGGCTTCATCAGCGGCGTCATCAGCGGCATCCTTGACGCCGTCAACTGCTTCTTCTCCTTCCGGTACTTCATCGGTAGCACCCTCAGCTGTTTCTTGGGCGCCATCAGCAGTCTTTTCAGTGGTGTCCTGAGCACCATCAGCCTCGTCTTCTGCCGTGTCGACTGCACCCTCAGCCTCATCTTCTGCCGTGTCTGCTGCACCTTCAGCAGTGTCCTCTGCCGTGTCTGCTGCGTCTTTAGCAGTGTCCTCTGCCGTGTCTGCTGCGTCTTTAGCAGTGTCCTCTGCCGTGTCTGCTGCGTCTTTAGCAGTGTCCTCTGCCGTGTCTGCTGCGTCTTTAGCAGTGTCCTCTGCCGTGTCTGCTGCGTCTTTAGCAGTGTCCTCTGCCGTGTCTGCTGCGTCTTTAGCAGTGTCCTCTGCCGTGTCTGCTGCGTCTTTAGCAGTGTCCTCTGCCGTGTCTGCTGCGTCTTTAGCAGTGTCCTCTGCCGTGTCTGCTGCGTCTTTAGCAGTGTCCTCTGCCGTGTCTGCTGCGTCTTTAGCAGTGTCCTCTGCCGTGTCTGCTGCGTCTTTAGCAGTGTCCTCTGCCGTGTCTGCTGCACCTTCAGCAGTGTCCTCTGCCGTGTCTGCTGCGTCTTTAGCAGTGTCCTCTGCCGTGTCTGCTGCGTCTTCAGCAGTATCCTCTGCCGTGTCTGCTGCGTCTTTAGCAGTGTCCTCTGCCGTGTCTGCTACGTCTTCAGCAGTGTCCTCTGCTGTGTCTACTGCGTCTTCAGGCTTGTCTGCTGCATCTTCAGCAGTGTCTTCTGCTGTGTCTGCTGCACCTTTAGCAGTGTCTTTTGGCTTGTCTGCTGCACCTTCGGTTGTGTCTTCGGCTGTGTCTTCTGCTGTGTCTGCTGCGTCTTCAGCTGTGTCTGCCGCATCCTCTGCAGTATCTTTGGCACCGTTGGCGACATCTGTAGCAGCTTCCGCTGGTTCACCATCGGCTACATCGTCAGCTCCGTCATCTGCAGTGTCTTTGGCTTTTTCGGCTTGATCCGCAACACCGTTGGCTGCTGACGTAGCGCCACCTGGGGCGCCGCTGGGGACATCTTGAGCATCACCAGTGTCGGTCTCTTCACCTTCATCATCAGCAGCATCATCTGCGGTGTCGTCAACTGTGTCTTTTGCTCCTGCAACAGTGTCCTCATCATCAGCATCATCGTCAACTGGATCTGGTGCTGCCTCGCTAAGGTCAGTGTCACCAGCAGCCGAGCTTTCTGCTCCGGCTTGCTGTGTAATTTTACCGGGAGTTTCTTCAGGATCATTATCGCCAACCTTTCTGGTGTCGGCCTCCGACTCTTCGCCTGCTTTGACGTCCTCAGTCGGCTGATCGGACTCTTTCGGTCTTGGCGGCAGCTTTGGAGAATCTTTGGTGCCAGCCTTTGGTGTGCTGGACTTGGGCGCACCAAGCTTAGGTGGCCTCCCTGGCGTTTTCTTTTGCGCAGACGAAGCAGTATCTTTAGCTTGATCGCCAGCTTTGCCCAAGGTGGGCGTAGTCGAAGAAGCTGGGTTTTTCCCTGCCTTCGTGGGTGTCTCAGGAGCACCCTTCGCACCCTTACCGGCCGCCGGTGATGGTGCCATGACTGTGCTTTTGGTGCTCCTTGCGGTTTGGGGAGGAGATGATCTTACAGAAGATGGGGAGTCGTCTCTGCTAGGTGTTGGAGGAAACGAGTAATAAGCGTATGAGGAAGATGAGTTGCGGTTGCTTTTCATAAGCTAGTTTACATGCAAAATAGTACTTTCTATCCAAACACGATTGGGGAGGATGTAAGGGGGTTGTAAATGGGTGGTTAGGGAGAGGAGAGAGTTGGAAGAGCTCTCCGACCAGATGTTGCACAGATTAAAGCAGGACTGGGGAGTGAGCCAGGCGTGTCTACGTCATTGCCATGGCAGCTTTTGGGTCAGATGCGAGCTTGAAGGGGAAAATCTGGGGGGAGCTGGTGCCTCAGTGTGGCTTGAGAGGCCCTGTTTCGAGGAGCAGGTTGCGTCAGGAGTTCTGCGTCAGTGGTGTCAGCGCCATTGACAGGTACACAAACGTCTCGATCGCAGCCGATTTATGAGAAATGACCTATCAAGGCTGGCGAGTGGCTGGATAAAATTTCAGAAACCAGAGGATGCTACGCCGCTTTCCTGCAATGACATCGACCGATGACCTCATCCCAAGCTGGACTCTCCCAGATGGCAGGGATTGGGGGAAGCTTCAGCCAATCAAGACCTAGAAGAAAAACCAAAGCCTGACCTCATTTGTGGTAATGGCACTTAAACTTGGTGTTGATCCCGGCTGCGGTAACTGTTTACCAGGGTGGTGGCCGCTTGAGTAAAAGCCCAGGCCCGGTCTGTCCACCATACGTAGTAGTTACAAAGTCGAACATCTCTTCTTGTTGAGTGGGCAACCAGAAGCGGCCGAGTACTAACTTACGGTAGGAGGCATAAATATTGTTGGCTCCAAGCTACAAATTTGGTAAGTGACACAGGATTTGACGAAGATACATCTTACTAAAAGAGTATTGGTCTATTTGGCTGCCAGGCCAGTGCCAACCATTATCATCACCAGTGAGGGGTCAAAGATTTGCTGGCGTCTTGGGGAGGGACGCAGGGCCTTCGTATCGAAAACTAGCTAGTACTAATCTACGCTAACAAAACGGAGTACTCATGCCTCCCTACCGTAGTAAATTGAAGAGCAAGCTCGTGCATAAAACTAGCGAGGCTGGCAAGGCCGCATGTGAAGTAACTAGCATAACCAGTCCCTGGAAATTGCGTGAATCGTGGTGTATCGGAATTGGGTTGGGGAGGAAGCCGTGATATTGTACTCTAGGAGTACGAATAACTCCGTTAATCTTTCTGATGAATCCAGCCAGAGTCTCCTGACGTTTATGGATTAACTCAAGGGTTCTTAGTAACAGAGAGCACCATCTCCGGTTTCATTCTTACTAGCAATCTACTGCAACGGTACTTTCCAGCGTATTAAGGAATCATAGGGCGTTTCACAACTGAAAAGCTGCAGCGGTAGAAGCAACTCTCCTGTCCTCTCACAGCAGGGTTAAAATGGCTCTAAAATCAGCTTCCCTGCTGCAGTTTCTGGCTAGGTCCGGGTATGTTTAAGCACCCGTAAAATAACTGGGATTTGGTTAATAACTGGTTTCAAGCAACTGACTTACAGGTTGGCAATGTTTGTGGTGACTAGCAATGTTTTCTATTCTGTAGCTTCGGATTTTGGGACTTTGGGACTGTACTTGTTGCACCAGGACGAGATGGGAGATGGTGCCCACCCGTAGTTGAAGAAGCAGTGGTGACTAGTTTAGTACTAGTACTCCTCATGTATGAGTTTTGTGATCAAAACCAGCTGCAACACCGAGGTAAGATCCGTTAACATCAAAATCTTACATCTTCGCTATTTACAATGAAACTACCTAAACAAGTCCTACACGACTAGACCTATAAAGACAGAGATGACCGTTTGGATGCTAAATACTCAGATATGGCACATCAACGAATGACATTATTTCTTGAGAGCAAGCAAGCAGCTAACTTCTGCACCAGTACTAAGTAACAGGGGAGAGTTTATCAGGTTACCCTGTGTGAGTTTGAAACACGTCTCAACCGAGATTTGCGGTTGCGAATTGACTCATGGCTGAGCAATAATGAATCAGCAGACCGGCTCTGCTCAACAACGTCTTGCGCAAATACGCGCGGTACATGGTATTGAAGGACCACATAGTGAAGAGTACATCTATCACTTTCCAAACGAATTGTGCATGATATATTTGGAAAATGGGAACCATTGTTTGACAAGAGTCGCATATCGAAGCGTGGATGCTGCGTCCTTGGAGATGAATTCGAGAGGATCCTATAGCCATACTAGAGACAGGGCCGCAAAGATGTTGAAATATAGCTGTCTGCGCTCGCCTAGTGGAGCAATTCAAGACACAAAGTACTATGCCACAGCAGCTTCTTCCGATCACGGCTGTATGCAGCTCGAGAAGCATATGATTGGATAGTTATCTGGGTAGTGCACCAATCAGCTAGAACTGAAGAAGAATCCTCCTTCATCACAGAAGCGACGTCAAACCATTCAAAGATTCATCTCACGCCAATAGTGCGGACGCTTATCGCGTGCCTTCAGGTGGTGGCACTCCATCTTCCGGGCCTACTCTGGGCTACCGCCTTCAAGCTTTTGCCTGTTGTTGTTTTTGTGCCGAACTCCTAGCTTCGTTGCAATTTTAGATCCCAAGTTCTGATCCTTTTCCTGCCTCTGCAGCTTTCCCTCGTCCAGTCCATGCTCCTCCAAATATTCGCGCTCTGTTTCAGCACTTTGTGATTTATCCTTTTCGTGCTCATATCGCTCTTTTACCTTTTCAGGGTTGATGATCTTGTCCTTCTGATGCTTTAAGCTGGTCTCTATATCTTTCATCTTTCGCTTCGTGCGTGTGTAACTTTCCGTTCCTATGAGCACCCCGAAACTCTTCGATATTGACACCCTCGACATGTCGGCACCTTCATCCTGGAGGTTGTGGATAAAAGATCGGAAATTAGCCGCAGACGGGCGATAATGTCCGCTATGGTTTTAAAGGCTACATGTAAGCATGGACATGTTCATTAAAGAGGCAGTCGAAGAATACCTGAGGGGAGCCAGACTTCTTAATTGTCCGTCCTTGATCTTGATCAGACCTGCTGCTGATATGCGAGCGCCATGCAGGAACGAAGAATGTTGGAAAGCGCCAGATTGTTTGATCCCTACATAAAGCCGAAAAGATGTGTCTGCAAGCGGCGCGTTAATTCACGAACACCCACATTCAAGCGTTTGTGAAATATCTGCATACCAGCCACCTATATAGAGGTCAGTATCGGTAGTGTAGCATGAGTAGATCTTTTTATGTTCAACAACTTACGAAGATCCACTTGTGTCCTTGCTTCGTTCGCCCTCGGATCAAGTGATTGAACACAACCGCAGGGCCCACCTTCCTCAGCTTCGCCACGCCTTTCGCATTGTGATAATCCTCGTTCAAATATTTCTTGTCAGCGTCGTCCCTGTCAGGTTGGTCCTCCTCGTCACTATCAGATGTCGATGCTGACTCTCGCCCTTCAGAATGGACATTGTAGTGAAACGTTGGACCTTGGTCATTTATCGGCACGATACCTTTCATGCTGTCCTTGTACAAGGTGCTCTCCGTCCACACCTTTTCGCCATTTTTAGCCCATCGCAGCAGGCCTTGTTCGTCAACCATGACGAGATAGTTAAATCTTTCCTCTCTAGACAAATACCGAACTTGTTCCTTCTCAAGTCGCACTCGATCGCACTCCGGTAGTTCGACCTCTTTGCCGTCTCCATGATCCAGCCAGTAAAAAAAATTTTGCGGCGTAGGTTGTGACTTCCAGTACTCGTGGTACTTGCGCAGGGAGCTCCCATAGCGGTGTTTTTGATCAACCATTTCTAAAAAGTATTGGAGATCCATCATCTTGGCTGACTTATGACGGGCGTTGCGAGCCTCGGCACATCTCTGTCTCTTCTTTCCGCGCTCTTCAGCTGGTAGTTGGTTGCCATCATTGTCGGAGGTGGATGTGCGGTCATCAAGGGAGCTGGTAGATTGGGAGGGTGAGAGGTCAACTCGTCCTGCTCGACGAATGATAGTACCAATACGTTGCCAGTTCTTCCGAGCTGCTGGAGGTTGTTGTCTATCCTTTGGACCATTGTGAGGCCCAGATGAATTATTCGTCGAAGGAGATGACGGAACAGTCGGCGTTGTGAGGTTTTGGTATTGAACGTCTTTGATCAACTGACATTATCAGAGACTAGCCACTACCATTGACATGACAAAGTCTCGAACCTCGTTCCATCTCGTGGATGCATCGAGGCCAAGTCCTTGAAGTTCTCGACGCGTCTTGTGTCCTCGATACGTTCTCTACAAGGGTGTTAGCTTTTCCACATTGACCAGTAAACATCTGCAGTGGTTCAGATATGCCTGAATCGTCCCTGCTGCCTTCTCTCTGACAGAGTGGTCATTCTCGCGCCCAGAATCAGATACAGGGGCGGAAGATAATTCCTGAGGTATATCTCTAGGAGAAATCATTTACACTATGTCGCTGGATGATCAGATTGTAAGTAATCTGCGAAAGTTTGAGGTGTCGTCACTACTTGGCAAATGCATGGGGGCGCTGATCCTGTCGGAAGCTTACCTGCAGCTTGAAGATCGTAGCCTAAAATTTGAGAGGATTCCAGGCATGTGATTGCTCAAACACCAAGAAGGTTCTGGATGAGATTCAAACGCAACAATCGACTTGTGCTTAATACCCAGACGAAACCCAATATTACCCAACTATGCATTCGCCATCGCTAAAACTTCACTTGACAATCGCTCCCTTCACAAAGTCAAAGCAAAATAGAGAATCCGGTAAGAATACCAGCTGCGACCACACCCAAACCGTACAGTTGACTAATATCCAGGAGGACAGCTGCCGCGCTGCTACCAGCGTTGCCGTTGTCCGAAGAGGCGGCTGTAGTAGCAGCTGAGCCTTCAAAGCCTGTATATACCGCCCCATCAGATGCCGTTGAGGCAGCGGCACCGCCGCTGCTGGATGTAGCGGAGACGGTGACTGTCGTCTCATTAACCCGCGTAGGGTTTTGTGCACCACAAGGCCGATTCTCCCGACAATCTGATTGACAAGGCGAATTGCCATTGCAGGCGTTCACGCAATTGTTGTTGTTTTCGGTGCAAATAAAGTATGGAATGGTTTGAGAATATTCAGAAACGTTGGGCGATAGGCCGTTGACGGCACAAACGCAGTCGTAGGTTAGGGTTTCCTATCCGCTATCAGTCCCATCGACTCCTGCCACTCCAGTCGATCAACACCTACAGGATTACACTCATTGGCAGCTGTAGCAGCGGATTCTCCAGGGTACTGAGTACAGATCAGAGGGCATTGTGTGGTCTGGGCTAGGCACCATTGCTCTATGGAGGACTGTCAGTGCGAGCATGACCAGAACGTTCTGCCAGATGCACTCACCTCTTGTTGCCTCGCTCACCAAGTTTGGGTCAATGCTTTGGGCAGTAGAAAGGCCAATCGACGAAGCATAGAGAGCAACGATGGTATAAACAGAGAGCATTGTGAAGGTATCCCGCTTGCTGGGATGAGCTGGAGCAACTTAGGTAAAGGCGGGACCTGTTGTCGACCAGTCGTCGAGCGAAAGAGTGCTGAAGAGAATATTACTAGAACTAAAACTATATTAGAAGCTTCATTAAATAAAGCGAATGTGCTGGGGCGTAAGGTAGAAAGTGCTACAGCAACTTCGAAGATTATTATAAAGAGAAGATATGAAGTACGATAAAGAGATAGAAAGGCTGGGAGAAGGAATATGCAGCGCAGACAGGTGAAATCTAGAGCTGCAGAGGGCTAGGTGAACCATGGTCTCCACAGGGGCCATCGCCGAGGGATTGAGGTTGGGATCAATGGCCGCGTATTCCATCTCACTGCACCAGCGACACTAGGGTCTTGCTCTAATTTACTACGTACAACTAGCTGGTCTGCTATTGGTTCGCATCAGCATGTGCAAGGAAAGGACATGTCAACTGCACTACAATGTAGTGGCAAGATGGTGTCTTGTCTCACACATGCACTTCATGCTTCTCAAAAGCGCATCTTAATCCTTCTTTGTCGGACTCGAAAAATTTACAAATAGGCACTTCTCCGGACACAGCAGCTTATTGCCTAGCTCTACTACCCTGCAGATCACTAAGCTCTAATCTACCTAGGATCTTGCGCCTTTAGGCTCCTTTTAAACATCTGCAGTACTAGACCAACAATCAAATATTATCCACTACTCCAAAAAGGACTGCAGACAAACTGATCACGATGCTGGAGACTTAATCAGACACGTGAGGACTTGCAACGATGCCATCACCTTTATAGCCAACTTCCGGCAAAGCAGACACCATCCTGCTTGCGGCAAAGTTCAACCAGACTTGAGGCAACTAGCAGATTGAAATGTGGCTGTCATTTCCCCCCAGCTGCTCTAGCCCGCCCAGCCCAGCATCTCTCCCTACCTTTTGCGGCCAAGATCACCGGGCAGAGGATGAATGTGTAACCATAAGGTACCAATGAGCATTATCATCCGTATTGCGACACCATTTTGGACGACGTAATTTTTATTGGCGGAAAGAGCCGTTCCACATTGAGCTTTGAGATCTTGTAAACACAGCACACATCATCTCTGAACAGGAACTTACATTGCTGCTCGTGTTGACACCAGCAAATGGATGGAGCCTGTTGGAGAGACGACACCTCAAGGCCAGGATCAGAAACCTAGAGATATAAGGATATCGAATGGTTCAGCCCATGAGCAATCTACACTGATTTCACCACCATATTGGCAGTATCAGCGAGCTATATCAAATGCCTCGGTCGACAGCACCTTTCGTCCTCCGCTAATATCTCTTGAGGATCATACCGAAGCTCACCATGCTACCAGTGGTGCTCTTTGGGCCAAGGACATTACTATTGAAGATTATGTGATTGTCAGAGGTGGCACTACGGGCATAGGGGCTTACGTGGTCTGGAATTGCAAAGTCCAAACCTTGGATGTAAGATAGTCAATCCACAGGGCCACATCGAGTACATGCATCACTGACACTCTTTCTCTGAAGGGAGGCCCAATGATGATCCGAAAAAGGTCTGATGTTTCTCGCGGTATCACATACAAGAATACTTATGTGTGATCAGATACTCGGAATTTAGCGTGTTAAGGGAACAGCTACTTGCTGCCTTTCCAGTTAGAAAACCGGCTTTACCACAGTTGCCTCCAAAGAGCATGATCTGTAAGCAACAACTTTACCAGTGCATTTCCCTGTACTGTGCAGTTGTCATCTGGATCTGACTTCAGTAGACAAGTTTCGCCCAGATTTCCTCGAGAAGCGCCGAATGGGATTGAGCTACTTTTTGAAGTCTGCTGTACTCCCTACTGTGATCTAGTTTGTTCTGGTACACTAACCGGTCCCAGTTGCGTCATGTTAAATCCCGAGTTTTCTGGTTCTCCTATTCTGAAAGATTTTATCTTTTCACATCCTTCGTGATGTCGAAGGGCCAACCACGACTGGCCAACTTTAAAACATCGTAATGAATTTCGATGATTTGCATGTAAAGTACGAATACATTACCCAAACGAGTGTTCAGGCCCTTTTCTGGCCCGGAGACTACAAAGATGCCATTCAAGAAAGATTAACCTTAGGGGATAGGGTAGTGCGCAGTTGAGACAAGCTGGAAGTGGTATCCTAGACGTGGACTCCGTATAGCAATCGTACTCTCATCCCTAACCTTGGCCGAGATGCAACAACTTACTACATAGATTGAAGTTAACACAAGGTGATGTAGCTGGGCAACGCAAATCAATCGTTATGCAGCAAGTTTCCCTTTTCATTCTGGCATCCTTCTATACAGGCTTCCACATTATCATTGGAATCTAGTAAACCACGAACTTGCGTATCCTATACAACGGTTTGGGAGGGGCTTCCGTATTAAGAGTTACTAGTACGCGTAATAATACGCAGCACACTTTTCCTTGAGATGCATTACGCCCTTGCCTGCGGTCGCTGCAATTCTCACTTGGTGAGCCTCGGAATTAGGGAAGCATGAGCCGCGAGGCTTCCTAAAATGCGGACCAGAGTATTCAGAAGATGATGGTTGCTCGTTCACAACCATCACTTCGACGGTCAAGTCGGCGTGGTGACCAGGCACCCAGTGCAGCTCCTGTGACAGACACTCAGCCCCCGAGCACAGTCACGCTCTCGCACCGCACCAAACGCAGTAGACTATCTTCGCTCTCTGAGGCGGAGAGTCTGAGAAAGAAACAGAAGACGGAACACTTCGGATATCCGTCAGAATACAAATTTCCATTGCGCAATAGACCGTACAACGAGCCATCACGATCCCTACCCCTCAAAAATGGTACGAAGCCTGTATCGTCAGGTCATGAAAGAGAGACTTCTGCATTGTGCATAGCTGAGCAGAAGCATCCAGAGCAGCAACATACGTCTCAATCCAACGATAAACGAACACTTAGGTCGCAAGATGGAGGGTCCAGGTCTAAAAGTGAACTATCTTTGTATTTCACGAATTATGATCAAATGCTCAGCCTGGAACATGCAGAACCAGGTAAGCACATTGCCGACACCAGTCTTCCCTAACTGACAATTGTAGACCTTCTCGCGGCAGGAACACACATAACTCTGATCAATGATCTCTCAATACCCTCGGAGGAGAGTTCATCACCTTTAGCTTCTACTATCTTAAAAACTGAAGATCCCGATCCCTTTGGTTCACAAAAACCGCTTCACAATGCTCAACGGGTTGAGCTCAACTCCGCCCTTCCGACACATTCTCCTCGCCGGCTCATCAAAGACACTCTTTCTGAGGACATTTTTTATAGGGCACACCGCAAGGCCGAACGCCATGAAAAACAGCTTCGTAACATTGAGAAGGAGCGTGCTCAACATGAAAAAGTCCAGCTTGATCGTCTACTTGAGGAGCTTAGAGGGCCGGACTGGCTGAAAGTGATGGGGATATCTGGTGTTACAGAGAGCGAGAAGAAGCTTTATGAGCCGAAAAGGGTCTTCTTCATCAGGGAGGTGGCCGGTTTGATTGAGAAGTTTCGCCATTGGAAGGAGGAGGAGAAGAGGAGAAAGATCGAGCGCGAGCAGGCTCTCCTTGCTGAAGAGGAGGAGGAGGATGAACATTTTGGAAGCCAGGATGACAAAGATGGACCTAACGGCTCTGGACACCAGCCATCTTCACCTACCTTACCAGCCCCTCCAGACACAAACGACGTCGACGCCGCGGCAGCCCGCCAACTACACCAAGAAGCCAAATCTGCATCTTCCTCATCAAGCACGAAACCTCGAATGAATAAACCACCCAACGGAAGCTCAAACCCCTACCCGTCTCATCCGGGCCTTCCAACACACCTCGAGCAAAGCAGTTCCGCTTCCCTAACCGCAAAAACTCATAGGCGTAACATGGCCGTCACAGGGCACAGACACGGCCGTGGTACCACTGCCTTTGGCGAGCCGGTACCGGATCTGCAGGAGCGAGAGTTCAAGTTGCCCGCCACTATTCTGACGAAGGATATGGTAAGGGCAAGGGCGAGATTGAGGAGGAGGTTGAGGCGAGGGAGTCCTGGTTAATTATGGATTCGACACCTATAAACTAGTTGGGGTCTGCATATGCCTGTTTGACAGTTCTGTCATGAATATAATCTAGCTAGGATATTGTATAATATATAACCTGCATGTCATTGGTGTCATGGTTGAACTGGATACCATTTAGAGGGTACAGCAGAAGGTACTTGCAATCCATTGGTTGAACCTACCAGGTCTTAAATCGTTTTCATGATTAAGGGTAAGTATTAACATAGAGGAGAAACTGTTTCTGCTCTGCCACCAAGTTTCAGTTCCCGTAACTCAAAATTAGGAGCGGAATGTGGAACTCTGAGATAATTTTAAATTGCCCAGCGGATCTCGTGGATCTGTTTGACCATTCTTCCTGCCAGTTTGGTGAAACCTTCTCTGGCTCACCAATTCTGTCTCAGCAAAAGAAGATACTGCTGGATAACTGCTGTAAGGGCCAGCTGTCGTTTGAGGTGGAGCGACGTTACTCTATGACTGTTTTGACTTTTACTGCCACAGGATATGTTGCGTCTGGGTTCTATGCCCATGATTGAGTCCTTGGATACACCATGAAGCTACATACGACCACCATAAAAATATGCTTCCCACCCAGTTGAGTCATTCCTGCTTCAAAGGGAGTGACACATAGCCTCGCGCTGAAGACTCCTCTTATATGTTTCCCTTTACTGTTTGTTACCTGAATCCGAGATGCCATGCCTTGGCTGCAACGACCGAGACGGAGAGGTTTGTGGCTGTATCTCAGCATGTCTAGGAGGACGGAGGCGACCTCAAAGGCCAGAAGCATTGTCGACCAGGCGAGCTCCACGAGAAGTCGCAAATACTAGCATATTACAGATGACTGCAACCCCAACCGCACGCATAGAAAGCGGTGAGCAGACTTCTTCAAGGGACACTGCTGGACTTCAGGCTGTCCGTCCAATAACTTCGCGCGGACTGTCACGTCACCCAGCCATTCCAAGTGAGCCGGCTGAAGGGCAGGCTGTCTTTCCAGCTGCAGCTACATCGGAAGAGAGAGTGACGCATCGTTCCCAGAATGCCTCGACGGGAGGGCAGACTCGCCACTTAGAAGGTAGACAGAGTTCAATTTCGGAGGTAGAAACACAACATATACGGACTGGTCGTCCTCAGGTAGCAGGTCGAACCGATCTGCGAACACCCGGTCCAGTGGTGGAAGCGGCAATCCATAGGGTCCCACCGGCATCGGCAGTGGCAGAACGACTACCAAGGCTCTCTTTGACCATGCCTCGAACTGGGGGGCGCGAGTTTGAGGTTTCCATCGACGCATTGATTATGATTGGTCTCAAAAGCAGACAAGATGTTACTACATCTATAGACAGCTTTATGGATGAGCTCGTCAAGAATTATAACAGAGCCACTCCCGTTCAGCATCCTCGATTGCGAAAGAGCTTCATGCATGACTCAGAGCAACCTAGGAATGAATGGACATGCAGGAAGACCGCTTGGAACCAATCCAATCCACCTACCCTCCATGAAGCCAGTGAGCCACTCCCAATTCACTAACCTCTAAGGGTACTTGACACTGATAAGAATGCTTCAGAACGAATTTTGCTGCTCTCTCCATCTTTTAATCCTGTATCGGCCTGGAAAAAAGATGTCCAAGTATTGTGGACCTATCTCAAAACTCACTATAAGATCCATGATACTCACAATTGTGATTTTGTCACACGAGTCAATCTCAAGCCAGCGTATACCGTGGAAGACATCAGACGGTTCGCTCAAGCTATTATCTACTTCTATCCAGCTTTATATACTTTCCAGCCCGATCGTGTCAAAATAGCTGCAAGGGGATGCCGATTCTGGGACGACGACCCTGATCCAGCAGTAGCACAGAAATCCCGGTCCCAAGTAATAGACAGTATTAACGCCATCGAGACATTTAACTCAGCACTCGTCATTCATTGGCCCATGTCGGTTTTTCTTCGCTGTGCAAATGCTACATATTGCAACTGGTTGTTTGACTGGCTGATCATTGACAAACAGCTAAGTTGGCGCGCATATGACCGAATGATCACCAGCTTTGACGAGGCCATCTGGTGGGCGGATTTCAGAGTATCCTTCATTCAAGCCTGCCTGGCCTTCACCTCTCTAGCGTACCTTCAGAAAATCCCTCGGACCCATGAGGGTCTACGCGAATTCATGTCCGCTCAATCCCCACCACCAGGGACCACTCTTCGTGGAAAGCATCGCCCTCGCGGAGCCAGAGTGGTCTAAATACTGGAACCATTCTACCACCAGGTAGGCTCTACAGAGGCCATTTGCCTGCTCATAAGTCATACACGAGAACGCACGCTTGCGAGCCTCCGTCAACCCTCTGACTGATGTTAGCAAGATTGGCTACCTGACAGGCACGTCCGCTCCTTCTCTTCCTCCATCTGCTGCTGCGGCAGCGGCGGAAACTCCTCCCATCCACGAAATATCTTCCACTCTACGCACACAAGCCGAAGATGGGATGGGATGGGATATATACCCTACCATCCTCCACCGCCAGACATAGGCAAAGGCGAAATATGAGAGAGCATTTTCCAGCCGTCCGAAAGCCGCAATCCGTAATTTTCTTTTCATCAGTCGCATCCAAAACGCGCGCGATTGTATTCGAGGCACGGCGAAAGGTTAGAATGTAGGGTATGAAAAACGCTTCGTTTTACGTATGTAGGGGTATCGCTTCTTTCCCATATAGAAGAGGAAATCGCTCAGGCGGACTTCTGTCTCTCTTTCTCTTGCGCTCTCGTGTATCATCCAATAACTACATACAATATAGATGGATTATGGGAATTGAGAGACACGCTTACGGTCGGACGATCAACACTGTTTCGCTTTTACTGCTGTAGTGACTGTCTGTCATCGGGAAATCTCGATCATTATACAGCACCTTAAGTGAGTTTCCAATCCGATTTCATGCGTCCATGAGCAGATGGGGAGAGAAAGTCTCTTCCTTGCTTTGAGCACTCCGGAGCGGAATGACAATATACGCGAATGGCGGGAAAGACTCGTTAAAAAAGCTCATGATATTTATGGTTATACCACATCACATCACACCTTTCACGGCCAGTTCGTTTTTATTCAGACCCTTGATGTCATTGTCATCTACCGACCGAACCTCATCTCCGCCGCGGCAAACATCCAAAGTCCCCTTAGAAAGCCCTGATATTCAACTCTCCCACCACTCCTCCCACTATTCCCACCCCCTGATTCCCCGACGCAGAAAATTTCGGTCAGACGCACCTGCCAGGGCGGGTATCCGTCGAGTTTTACGTATGGGCCGAAGATTATGAGGAGGTCTGGCTCTTTACTCATTGTTGTTATTGTGTCTTGGTTTTTGGGCGTGGTTGGCGTTTGTGTTTGAGAGGCTAGTTGGTAAGGAGGTGAGAGTGAGATGGAGGTTGTGGCCGAAAGTTCGGCGTCGATGAGATCTTGCGTTATATCCCGTGGGTGGAGTTTGTGAGATTGAGACATTTCGGCCAGTGTGCGGGTCAGGTCCACGAGAGTGTCGCGGCCGTCGGTGGAGGAGAGGAGAAGGACTTCGATGTTTCTTCTTCTTTGAGATTGGGTGGGGGGGGAGGTGGTTTCGGTGCTGGTGGTGGGGAGTAGGGCAGGTGTGGTTGTGGCGGAAGGCGGATAGGAGGGATAGCTTGGCGCGTGAAGGCGAAAGGATGGTGTTTGTGACGCGCCGAAGTAAGAGGATAGTCTTTGAAAGACCAAGGAATGCAGGGAACGCATGTTAGATTTCAGGATACCTGATCTTGCATTAGAAGCCGTGGGAAGGCCTTGTTGTCTGGACTGTGCATACCGCTTCTTTCGTAGATGCTCAGTAGTGGGATCCCTATGCTGGCACACCAGGCGCTCAGCTCAGCAACATCTTCCATCAATGATTCCAGTCCCCCATCCTCCTCGCCCTTCAAAGTGAGAACGACACTCAAGTGCTCGGGCAGTCGGGACAGGTTTTTGACGTCTTTCTGGATGAGCTCGGGTGTTCGGTGATGGTAATATAAAAGGGCAAGTACTCGGTCAATTACCGCATGGTACGTCTGGCGCAGCCGCAGATATATGCCAAAGACCAGGTGTACAGCGAAGTAGAGCAGAACGTGAAGCTTCGACTTGAGAAAAGAACGGATGGGTTTCTGTCTGCGCCTTTTGACCTTTCTGACTCCGCTATGCCGAGAAGAAACTTTCGAAGGGGCTAACAGTTCAGGAACAGGAGGAAGGTATGGTTTCACGAGCTTCTCACGCTCTTCGGCGGTGAATTCACGGCCACGCGATTTGACATCCCGACGGTAGAGCTCGGTATCTTTTGAATATACCATGGTAAAAAACAGGTCAGATATGAGGAACAACGCTGTTCACAGTATGATGCATGATTGAAAGGAGTGGCTGCATGGAACCTCCAGCAAAAGGATCGAGAACAACACGATGGATTTGAGCAGCTCCGGATCTCATTTTAAGAACCGAGATTCTGATTTAGTTACCCAGAGCCAAGAGCCAAGGGTCAACGTCACCGAGTCCCCAAGGCCAAGGCGGCTCTCGCCGGACCAGCATTTGAGGACAACTTGTCCAGAGACTCCATCCCGCGGATGAGCCTCAGTCTGACGAGTCCCACTCCTCCTTCTGTTCTGCTTGTTTTCCACTTCTCGTTCAGGCTGTGCAGGAGGGCGTGGAGAGGTGGGACCGCTCAGGTTGATGCGAAATTTGCTACTAGACGTAGGATCCTGATGTTGCCCTTCCATATGACGGCCGCTTTCATCAGTAACACCCGTGGAATCTGTTCTGCGTGCTCTGCTAAGCACTGATTCCTATTGATGAACTTCAATTATACAAAGAGCCATACTACAGCTTCTATCATCCAGGGTTTCTCTGTCTTCTCACTCTCGCCCTCCCTCCAGCCTCGCTTGTCAAGTGGACAGGATACCAGGGTTTTTGTGCTAGATTTTCTCACCAAACCTCAAGACGATACGAGTGGTGTCATGTTCTGTTGTCTGTATTCTCTCGCCCACCTTCCTCATCTGACAGATCAACGACATCTACTTCATCATGTCATCCTAAATGTCATAAAAAAACAAGGCTCTCCCCATATCGCCACGGACCGCGCTCTGTAGATCTTGGATTCGTTGCCAAGAACATCAAACATTGTCCCCTTCACTGCGAAGAGGCGTGGGAGTGACCTTCGTGGGCCAGGGATCTCTTTTAGTCCCGCCTTTCATGCTGTCCTTGAGTGCAAGCCAGCTTTCTTGCAAATTGTTCCGCCCAACGAATTATCAATTGCAATTCGTCATTGTTCTGCTCTTCATCTTAGGGAGGTAGATATGCTTCAGCTTGGTCCGATTTCTCGATCGCCATCTCGAATTCTGTGCAAGACTTCCTTCCTCATGACGCCGCGTGGTGCCTTCCGTCCTGTCATGAGCTCGAACTGGGCGATAGCTTGTTCTGGCAATACCTCCAGACCGTCCACGATAACCCATGGTCTACCGGTCCTGTTTCTGAAGCGCCCAATCTGCCTGAGCAATGGTGTGATAAGAGGATTGTATGCCATTTCCATCACCACTCCTCCAGACGAAGACTGCAACCACTGCTCAGGCATTTCAAAGTTGGCTGGAGGCTGATTGTTAATGCTATGCGTAGGGACGCAGGAGACAATTAGAGTGGGTGGAGCAAAGTTTGCTGGCCATGGGTCGTGTCGAGAGGGAAGGACGGAGACAACTTGTTCGCCTGGCTGACCGCTATTTGCGGATGATACCCAAGAATTGAAGTGCTGAGCGACTATGTGAGCATTTCCCACCGTTCGATTATGAACGATTATCTTTCGACAACCGAGACGAAGCATGGCATAGATTGCAGCACGTGCCATTCCACCAGCGCCAATCACAAGGCCAGTGGTTTTGAGGGGTCTGATAACATTTCGAGGAGATATATTTCGATTCAGGCAGACCATGATTCCGATCCAGTCCGTGTTATCGCCGTACCACGCTGCGACTCTTCCGGCACGATTTCTCTGGCTAGCTTGATTCTGTAGTGAGAAAATGGTTCCGTCTGCTTGCGCGCGGAGAGGTAAGAGCGTATTCACTGCCCCGATGGCTTCAGCATGACGAGACTTTGATGCTAGCTGATCAACGAGGATCACCTTCCACGGTTGTACTATACTGGCTCCACCGAAATGTGGATCTTGGGACAGAGTGTCGAGCTCTACAAGCGAAGACATGACTCGTGTTTGGTAGTCATGATTCATGCCTAGGTATCGATATGCTGCATTATGCATAGCTGGAGAAAGACTATAAGATACGTTTGCTCCGAGGATGTAGAAATGAAGAGGGTCCAGAACGAAGCTCTGAAACAATGCTTGAACAGCATCTCGAGATGTGATAGTTGGTACATCAGATGAGCCGTGGACCTTTCTTTGAATGGCCGGGTGTGTGACAGCGGTAAGGATTGGATTGAAAAGCTGGGATGTTCGGCCAAGAGCACCAACGTTATAGGCAATCAGAGCTGGAGACATGCCATTTCGGCTCCTGATTGCTTCTGTGAACCGCCTCAGGATTTCATTGTCTTCCCGAGTCGTTGCCTCTTTCAGTAGGCGAACAATGTCACAGCCAAGCATTTCCGCTCGCTCAAAGCGGGCAAACCATGTCTCATCGTCCCACCTCGGAGATTGATGGCCGAGCTCAACGGAGCTACCAATGAGTCTTGTAAATCCTTTGCTTGCCACCAATCTTGTAATGAAGCTATCATTCGATGCTAAATCGACGTTGACGAATTCCACACCGAGCCTGAACCCATGCTCAAGCACCTTGGTGCAGGTTTCAGCACTGGTGATCACCTGACGGTCAACGGAGATGATGATTGCAACACCCATCTGTCGTCTGATCTCGGCAACACGCCGACTCATACTCTTCAGCGTTTCTGTTGTCCACTGGTCGACGCAGAGCTCGATTGCATCACCTGCGGATTCGAGCTGGCCAAGATCGACCAGACCTTCTTCAAGCTCCGAGAAGCGGAGGTATACCGCGTGTGTAAAAAGCCGAAGGTCTACTGGCATCTCAAGCAGGGAAAATGGTGAATCATAGCTCGATTTATACGTGCTGGCACCAGTAATGAAACGCACGAAGTAGGTAAAATCCTCTTTCACATCTTTCAGCTTGAAAGCGTAGGTTGGAGAGCGACGATCAAGGACTGCTCCTGCAGCTTTTTCATGTTTCGTATCGTCTTCGAGATTGTAGAATTCGAAGTTCGAGCAGTTCCGATGTGTGGGATCACCGTTTTCCAGCAACCGTGCTGCACGATCTTCGAGTTTCAGGAGCTGGTGGATCACAGCCATATCACGCACCAGATAGACTACTGGATTCGTCATTGAATATTCTTTTAAGTGTTGCTGAACCCTGGTGGTGAGACTCCCTAGCCCGCATTCGATGACACACTTCGTTCTGTTTTCGTTCAGCATTCGCCTCGATACTTCGATATCACGTTTGTGAAACTCTTGATTCCCGTGGTGTCTGAGGTAGTCCTGACGAGACAGCCCTGTAAGCTCCTGGAAGAAGTGGTCTTCTGTAACGAACCTCCGACCTAAGGCAGTGGCCGCAATAAAACCCAGAGACCGTTTGCCGCAACCACGAATGCCAACCAGAACCAATGAAGCATTAGGACTGAACGTCCTCAGAGGCCGACCTGCGGTTGCAGCATTGTCACCTGAGCCTAGCATCCTGCCTTTCAATGCCAGCCTGCTGCGGGGATCTCTGCTGTATTCTAAGAGTGATGGCCGTGAATGCCTTCGTGATTTCTGTTCTCTCGAACTGGATTTTTCAACACGGGGTAAAGGCGTTCCTAGAGCACTATGGGCACTGACAACCGGGAAGCGTCGCTGCAGAAGATCTCGATCCAGGCCAGACTGCCGATTCAGGATTGACCCAATCTCCATACTGCGAGTTTCGATGCATAAACTACGTGGCTGACTCAGACTTTAAGCCTCTGACGGCCACCACCCAGTTTTCCTAACATGATTGCAAACCAAGAGCACGGCCACATTACAAAAGGTAGTTCAGGTGGTAGCATTGTCTGTTTCTCTTTCTCGGATGATAACGATGTTTCACAGGTACTCGTCTATGCCGTCCGTCAGACATTGGGCATCCGTCGGTCAAGGTTGAACACGGTCGAGGCCTGTCCATGCCAAGAAATATCTTTTGACTGTGGGAATATCTTTTGCCGCTGTCTCAAAAGAGCAAAGCCTCTTCTCCACATCCCCCCACCCGATCCCCTGGTGGGGATAGGCGAGCCGAGGGGAGGCATCCCAGGGCTTACTACGTACTACCTACTACGTTCAGAACGCAGCTAGTCACGTGTGTTCTCCGGTCTACCAACTCGCATTCGGCGCCATGTGAATTCAAAGTGTTGACGGTCATTGAAATCTCTCCACTTCGTGCAAGCGGCGGCTCGAGGCTGTCTGCGGCTTGTACTCCAAGTAGGACATTGGAATCTCACCATGAAAGACGTTGACGGCCATTGTCCGGGCCACCTTGACTGTGGTGATGGATTCGGATGATGCAAATGACAGTGCTCAAGGCAAGAGGAACGGCTTAAATTCGAAGAAAGCACGCACGAGGGTTTCTAGAGCTTGTGATCGTTGCCGGACAAAGAAAGACAAGGTGAGTATTCCTGCCGCTGTCCACTATGACTCTGATGGTCGGAGTGTGATGGTAGGCGCCCCAGCTGCTCGGTCTGCATTGCTATTGGACATGCCTGCTCCTATGACCCCAGTACGAAAAAGAGAGGACTACCGGAGGGCTATGTCCGGGGATTGGAGAAACTATGGGCGCTCTGCTTGGGCAAGATCAATGGATTAGAAGAAGTTGTGGTCGATCTATTGCGACACCAGGATGAGGTCGAAAGCTTATGGAACCATGAGACTGCCGGGGAAGAATTACACGCATCGTGGAAAGGCTCTTCCGTTCTGCGTGAGCTCGAGGCACTTCTATCAAAACTGGAAGCCACTGCCAATGAATCGGCTGGGAAAAGAAAACGTGAGAGAGAAGAGAGTACTTCTGAAGGAATACTCGAGACTACCTTTCATCGCACGCTAGAGTACGCCGTTCAGCCACTAGGCATTTCTACCACGTCAAGAGCACAAGTGTCGATCATCGATGGTAGAAGTGACGGCCCGACGCCCTCTGAAAGCGTTGTGTCCTTTCCAGCCAGGACTCCCGCTCTCCTGGACCTCTATTTCTCACATACACATTGCTGGTTCCCAATACTTGAGCGTCATCACATCCTCCGGACCTCCTACTCTTGCTCTTCCGGTCAACGGCGACCCGAGTCCATATCGTCAGCAGATCTCGCGATACTCTGGGCTGTGCTAGCATACGCGGACCAGCAATACGTACACATCTCGTCTGAAATTCGCCCATCCGGCGAAGTGGGACCCGCAGGAATGTTGATAGCAGCCATGAAGTGGATACCACCCCTCGAGAGCGGTATCTTCGAGATAGGACATGTTCAAGCTCTACTGCTAGTTGCCTTGAACAGTATCGGGTCTCATTGGAACAAGGCTTGGATCATCGTCGGCCACGCTGTACGGATTGCCATGGACATCAATGTTGTTCAGGTCCATGGAAGGGGCAAGCATGTTCTGTTCGGATGTTTCATACTAGATACACTGGTATCAGCTCGCCTAGAAAGACGACCTCATATGCGCCGGGAGGATATAGAGCCACTTGGCCACCTCGAAGAAGATGGTCTCGAAGAATGGGATCCTTGGACGAATTCTATGGGCAGTGTACCGCCGCAAGGAAATGCTCGTGGACCTGCTTTCACGATCAGCTGCTTCAATAGGTTGTGTGATGTTTGTGCAATATTGAGTGACATCCTCTGCAGCACTTCTTCTGGCATGGAGCGGCGAAGCTTTTGCCAGCAGCAATCAGAAAACCTGGACAGCCTGTTCAAGAAATTGCCATTTATCGACCAGTCCACCAGTTCTTCTTTACCCCATGGACCACCACACAGCACATACTTGGCTTTGACATATTTTGCTGCTCAATTGGCGGTGAACTTCCACGCTCGAAGCACAGTCGAGCAAAGGCCTTCGGACGCTTTTGCAAGAAATGCTTGCGAGATACTGGTGCTGCTGACTCAACACGCTCAGTCAGTCGGGCTTGTGGTCTTACCACCTTTCCTGGAGTACACCTTGCGTCTTTCAGTTGATGGAGCTACTTTGGCTCGATCAGATTTCAGTGACACAGCCGGGCTGCCTACATTCACAGCTTGGGTACACAAGATGGATGAGCATGTCCATGCCCTCAAGACTCTCTGGCCAGTGTTCAACTCGCTTAGCGATACCCTGGCAGATGGAGACCGCCAAGGAGAACGATCTCTCACAATACCCACCACACATGCCACATTCCGGCGCAATGAAATGGGACTGACACCTACATCCATGTCAGCTCCAATTGATAAGCTTGTCACTCCTCGTGCGGCGTCCAGTATTATCGCGCAGCCTAATTTAAACTTCTGGGAGGGCACTAGCTCGTCAGCAGTCACGTCAACCAGAGATCAGCTGCCTGCCTCCTTCGATATGATGATGACAGAAATGAAGGCCGCTACTCCTACGCCTAGCAACAGGAGCATGCCTGCAGGTTTAGCGATGCCACAAACCCCACAAACGTCTCCCAGCTTTCAAGGTGACGACGTTGATGCCATTTTCCACGATTTAGCACATTTAGACACTACAGAATGGACTAACAGTCGCGAGCAAGGACTGAGGGAATTCGGGTTTGCCGACGACTCTACATTTCAAGCTTTCTGCAACGATCCGGATAGGCTGGTGGCGTTTGATCCATCCTTACTCGATGATAACGCCACGAATCTCTGGCCTCCGCCTGGTTTCTTTCCCAACCATTTCGCAGAGACGGACCCGCACGTGGAAGCTTCGCAGATATTGCAATCTTTGTCAGCGAATGACCAGTATCCAACATTGCCTGAGAGTGTTGGATGGTAACTCGAGTAGGTTGCAGTTATCCAATTTGAGGTACATCGAATATCGGCAAGTTGTGGATCTTGGCAACAATCACCCATGATGGAGGCAACAAGATGCCCAGGAAGCATGAAGACTCTTGCCTAGTTTTCCTCCTCCGAAGATCAGCAATCAGAATCGAGCCAGCATTGAAATCGCGCGCCGCGCTCGAGTACCTGGGTACGATGAAGCTGCCACAGGCACCCAAGACGGCTCTCAGTAGTTTGATAGTTATGTATCCGTCCCTACCAGTCATGGCTTGATAGAGCTAACCAGAGCCGTCCGGGGACGCATGCACGCCACTCGTTGCGGTCCTCGGCCGCAATAGCGGACTTGATATTACTTCTTGTGCAAAAGGGTGATTCGACGATGCAAAACCCGGCGGATCATTCGATCCATTACACGTTTACTCCGGTAAGCTGTTCATAGCACCGAGTACCTGCAACGGTAATTGTTGCCGATATTTCTCCAGCCGCTGGCGGAAAAGATTTGATCCCCAAACCAATGCTAAGAGATAGACGTGCTTCCCAGCTTCTCTTTGCCGGATCCACGCGACTGATCGCAAGTGGGACAAAGATACAGCCCTGAGTGACTGTCAGGATATGCGAGACCTCCGCGTCTGCTTCCACTCCTTACGCACTGCTTGTCAATGGTAGTTGGATTCGACTGGGAAAGCAGTTGACGTCTCGCCACGTGGAGGGGAAACGCGTCTTCTCTTGTTGGAAACCCTTTTCAGAAGGATGGCTCCGTTCTCCGGCTCTATTCGTTGGCTCTGGAGTTGCCCGTCTGCATCTTTGTTTGACCTTGACAATCGTGATACGTGGGGTAAAGGGACAATCTTTCATGTCGCTTTTGTGGAGGATTCGTGCATACAGACTCGACTTCAGTACATATCGATTGATGGTGCAATCAGCGAGATGGCACATCCCTCCCTTCCAAACCCGTTTTCTCTATCACCTCTCTTAACATTATACCATATGTTCAAATCTTGGAAAGAATTGGGCCGAACTGTTCTACGAGACCAAGGATCTACACTGTTTTGTTGCCCTAATGAGGTGCGAGCCTAAGATCATGGGTGCTGCGACCAGCATGGCTTATAAGATGGCAATCATTCCACATCTTGACGAGCTCACCCCTGAAGGCGAAGCAATTGGGGCCATCAACACTATGTTCCTCAAGGCGAATCCAGATGGGAGCAGGAGATTCTGTGGGACAAATACGGATTATGTCGGCGTCCGTAAAGGGTTTTCCGCAAATGTGCCAGATCTCGCAATATATAGAGGAAGGCCTGGCCTTGTGATTGGTGGAGGCGGAACAAGCAGAACTGCTATATATGCTTTTCAGCATTTTCTAGAATGCCCACCCATCTACATGGTCAATCGGGATAAAAGCGAAGTCGACGCAGTAAATTGGAATGCTGAGCACAACTGATTGAGCAGAGGTGCAAAGATGACACCCACAATCGATTTCCCTTGGTGGCCAGCGCGATACTGACGCAGAACCTTGGAAATGCATTAGTGAAATTTACAGTGCCGTCTGACGGATCAACCACCCAGGTCGGCTCATCATGCTTGATCAGGTACTCCTTGGAGGACCCTTTACTGTAGGTCTCCTCTCCAATGAACTTGGGGTCAGGATATTGCTCTGTAATAGAGGAATGGATGAATGCCTCCACATCTGACATGGATTCAGCTTTTCAATCAAGCGATACCCGGAGTAGCAAAGCTCAGGTTCCAGTATCAGTCTGTGTCACGATATCAACAGCATTGACCTTTGCGACGTCTTTGGCAATGCTTGTGCATCCCTACCTTCCTTTCCTGATGCCGTCTAACAAGATCTCCCCATCATCTCTTCCTAGTTGAACAGCAAATTGATAGATCTGCTTCAGTTCTTCTGGGCCACTATTTTGCATTGCCACTAATGAAGTCCCAGTTTCAACTATGGTTTTGCTTGTTCATGAGTGATGATACAAATTCGGCCAGCGTGGGCCGAGAGAGTGGTGTACCACGGGCGGTACCCCCGAGGCCCTGTGACTATAATAATGAGACATGGAAATAGGCACCCTGACCACAGAATGAAAAAGCCGGTCGAAGCCTTCCAGTCCAATCAAGCACATTTGCCAAGGCTGCCATCTCCAGCTGAGGGAAGGGCCGGAAGGCACTGTGGTAAGACATGTGCCCCTGTTCTGCCCCAGCATCATAATGCCTATTAAATAGTAGACCATCTCCGAATTGTCTCATCCACTAAGTTGATCGCTGTGTATTCTGCGGATTCTATACAGAAGTACCTTTACAAACACTGTCCGTGAAAGATGCGTTACCAAACCATCCGTCTGACCGCTTTCTACACACCGCCAAAGGACTCTACCGCAGGCAAGACTGGCTCAATACCAATACCATCGAATCTGTCCAGCGCATCCTCTATCACCTCGAGTAGATTCTCCTTCAAATCTGGCTCTTTCTCCTTGCGATCACTATGGAATCCTCTGGGCAAAAGAAACTCCTCCTCGTCAACGGGCCAAACCTGAACCTTCTCGGCACTCGGGAACGACACATATATGAGTCAACGACCTTGCCTCAGATCACATCAGCGTTATCAGACCAAGCGCAGGTTGATAGCATCGAATTGAAGGACTTCCAATCGAATCATGAAGTTGTGATCATCGAGCGGATTCACCTGGCTTTGGAGGCGAAACTGTCTGGCATCATCATCAACCCCGGTGCATTTACTCATACGTCCGTGGCGATTAGAGATGCCTTGGTTGGTGTACAGATACCTTTTATAGAAATACATTCCAGCAATGTGCACGCAAGAGAACCATTCAGGCACCACAGCTATCTAAGCGATAGAGCCGAGGCCGTCATCTGCGGTCTGGGTACGAACAGCTATGTTGCTGCCCTTGACTAGTGGGTTTGGAAATTCAATGATGGACCACCGACAGGGATCAATATGGAGAGCAGGAAGTGAAGATGTTGGTACGAGAAAGGGGATATGTGTGTCCACGGGGCACCAGGTATGCTCTGGTACGGAATTGCATCGGACGGATCATTGCATTTATCTAGCGATTGGCGTTGTCGTTCCTAGGCTGTACAATTCAACTTCCATTCAAGCATTGGGAGTTCAACTGGTAGCACCAGATTCTCACCACAACTCAATGACGAGTATATGTACACACTTGCTTCATTGGCAGTAGTCGGGATCTGATGGTGGCCTCTGAAATGAATACCATTCAGTGACCAGAAATTGGCCTAGGGCTGGACTTACCCCGGATTCTTGGTCAGGACAGCCTATTTCAGCCTTCACATGCCCGTGGGGTCGGAATGAAGACCGAGCATGTGAAAAGCGGGAATCTTGGGAGAAATCATGCAGCCCCGCTGGGGGGACTCTTTGTTCAGCTCACGTGATTATTGACCAATCACAGCACCCGATTTTGCTCAGCCTTCATCTGAGAAAAGACCGGAGGACCGAGGCTCAGGTCTCCCCGCGCATTGGGGAATGGTGCATTTCAGACAAGTTGCATCTCCGAATCACCTGCCCTAGGTTCCCCTGCTACATCTTGCGAGCAATCGCTTCTACTTCTCTTCTTTGTGCAATCCTCCCTTCCAACACTCTTGCTCAGCTCTACCTCATTGTAAACAAAAAAGAATGCCCGCTCCACGAGTCATTGTGGTGGGAGGTGGCCGTATGTGCTTCCAGTTACCGTGCCTGCGGATGTGAACTGACAACTCTCTAGTCTCTGGCTTAAGTGCAGCGCACACCATCTACCTCAATGGCGGCAACGTGTTGTTGCTTGACAAGAACAGTGAGGATTAACCATATCTATGGCCTGGGATAAGTGCTCATGTCCTGCCTTTAGATTTCTTTGGTGGCAACTCGACCAAGGCCACTTCCGGTATCAATGGCGCCCTTACCAGAACCCAGGTGGACGCGAAGATTGGCGACAGTGTCAAGCAGTTCTACGAGGATACTCTAAAGTCTGCGCGTGACAAGGCCCGCCCAGACCTTATCAAAGTCCTCACATACCAGTCTGCGTCAGCTGTGGAATGGCTACAAGATGTTTTCAACTTAGATTTGACCCTCGTTTCGCGATTAGGGTACGCCTTTCTGCCGTATCAGACAGTGTCCTGCTCATGTGGCTAACTGGATCTATAGTGGTCACAGCTTTCCTCGAACCCATCGTGGTCATGATGCCAAATTTCCTGGAATGGCTATCACATATGCTCTTATGCAGCGGCTGGAGGAGCTGGTAGAGTCTGATCCTGACCGAGTCCAAGTTATCAAGAAAGCCAAGGTTACATCACTCAACAAGGAGGGCAATACTGTCACAGGCTGCACTTATGAATTTGGGGGAGAGTCACATACCGTTGAGGGCATTGTTGTGCTCGCAACAGGTGGCTATGCTGCTGATTTTGGTGAAACATCACTGTTGAAGAAATGGAGGCCGGATACCTTCCACCTTTCGTCCACCAATGGTACACACGCTACAGGCGATGGGCACAAAATGCTGATGGCTATCGGCGCAAACGATATCGATATGGACAAGGTGCAAGTTCACCCTACTGGGCTTGTGGATCCCAAGGATCCCGACTCAAAATGGAAGTTTTTGGCTGCTGAAGCTCTTCGTGGCGAGGGTGGGCTACTTCTCAACTCAAAAGGCCAGCGTTTCTCTGACGAGCTTGGTCACCGAGATTACGTGTCTGGAGAGATGTGGAAGGAGAAGGAAGCTAAGAGATGGCCGATTCGCCTTGTTCTGAACTCGAAAGCATCCAACGTCTTGGACTTCCACACCAGACATTATTCGGGACGAGGACTCATGAAGAAGATGTCCGGCGCAGAGTTGGCCAAGGAAATCGGCTGTGGTGAAGATGCCCTGTCTAAGACGTTTAATGAATACAACGAGATTGCGGACGGAAAACGCAAGGATCCTTTTGGAAAGAAATACTTCCATAACCTTCCCTTTGACATCAACGACACTTTCCATGTTGCCCTGATGGAGCCTGTGTTGCATTTCACTATGGGAGGAATTGAAATCAATGACAAGGCCGAAGTTTTGAACGGAGAGCACAAACCGTTTGAGGGTCTCTACGCGTGCGGTGAACTTGCTGGTGGTGTTCATGGGGCTAACCGACTGGGAGGTTCGTCACTCTTGGGCTGCGTTGTGTATGGACGTGTTGCGGGCAATTCAGCTTCTCAGTATCTCTTCCAGAAGGTGCTGACAGGTGGTGTGTCATCGGCACAACACCGTCTCGGCCAGATCTCGCTGCATATTGATCCGTCTACACCAGGCAAGATCTCGGTTGAATGGGGGAAGGGAGCTGTTGCCGACTCCACGCCTTCGGTCGGCGACGAGAAGACTACCTCGCAGGCTCAGAAGTCCGCAGCACCTGTTATGAATGGGAAGAATGAAGATCCTGGCAAGCAGAAGGACACCAACGACATCTCCAACTTCAAGGTCCCCGAGAAGGAGTTCAGTCTGGATGAAGTGGCCCAACACAACAAGAAGGACGATCTGTGGATCGCTGTCAAGGGTGTGGTGTTGGATGTGACCAACTGGCTAGATGAGCATCCAGGTGGGCCACAAGCGCTGTTCAGTCACATGGGCAAGGATGCTTCGGAAGGTAAGCATCCACGTCTGCTGAACAAGGTTCATACGACTCAGCTAACAATTGCGCAGAATTTGCCATGCTTCACGATGATGAAGTGATCCCCAAGTATGCTGCTGGCATTGTGATCGGCAGGGTGCAGGGACAGGAGGTGTGTCTGGAATACTGAAGCAGCCTTTGACCGCTGCCTTTAGAGCATGACTGCAGATTTGAGCGTGAGAAATGCAGCCCAGGCGTTTGTTTCTTGGATGGTGGGGGTAGCATCTTCCTCTGTTTGTATATGTAGCCATGGCGGTTTGTTGCCCGGTCATTGTATTTACCAGCCGGTCCAGCTGTTCTCATCTTCTCCAACTTGAAGGGGAAGGGTGAATCGACTGTACTACGTATGTATGTAATTTGTGGTCTGTGCGCAGTTTCATTCCAGAATCCAGATTGTTCCCCGCGAACTGCAGTCGAACTGGGAGACAACAATCTTTCTGGCTGTACGGAGGACGTATGCTGCTTCTTAACTCTAACTACTGCTCCTGCCCATCACTACCCCTCTACCACAAACCTCATCCCGTCTCAGCCGTCAACCACTCTATCGCAAAAGGTGAGCTCCGCTGTTGCATGTTGCGCATTTCCCTGCTCTACATCCTTACGGGCGCGTGAACCTTCAAAATCTTAGCCACAGCCTCGGGAGAGTTGAAGGTCAGCTTGCGCCAATGTCATCGCTCCAATCTGGCCCATATTCTCAGCCTGTGCCGGCAAGATGGATTTCTGAGCCTATGCCCTTGCTGGGAAAGCAAGGAGTTGTGGTATGATTAGTGCAGCGGCGGTTTACGAACCATCGCTGGGATGGCATCCAAGTCACTTTGAAGGTCTCTGAGGTGTGCAACTATGCTACATCGACCTATTTGCCATCATGTTTGCTCAGTGCCTTCAGAGAGCCGGGTCAGGCTGGCTTTGGAGAGTCGCAAATAATTGCGCCCCTTCAAATATCTTGCATAATGTTAACTCAACTTTGCCATCATAGATACTGATCTCTTTCTTCTCAGCTGCTATCGCCACATCTACCAGTGCAAAAGCAGGCACATCCCCAGTTGCTACCCATCTGCGCGCTCCTACCACCACTCTCCACTTCGCTTCGCCCGTCGCCCCTCTCACCAGAAACACAATATGGCGCTGGACAAGAGAGAAGTTGCCGAGCGAGGTTCTACGCTTCAGAAAGCTCTCCAAACATCTGTGCCAGCAGCCAACATCGTCTCGCTACTGAAAGAACTCCAGAAAGGTGTGCGTCCCACGGAGGAACTGCTTCGGTCGACCCAGATCGGCAAGACCGTGAACCGATGCAAACACCATCGAGCACCGGAAGTGGCCAAACTCGCATCGGAAATTGTTAGCAAATGGAGGCATCAAGTACAGGAGCAAAAGCTGGCTAATGGAGGAAATTCTGGTTCGGGAACACCCAATGCACGAGCCAATGGCACTGCGTCTCCCGCACCTTCGAAGCCTGCACCTGCACCAAAAGCCGAGTCAACGGTCCCACCAGATAAGCGAACGTGGAGGACCGACAAGATCTCACGCGACGATTTGACAAGTGATGCGGCTCGTAACAACTGCATAGGTCTTATGTATGATGGACTATGCCAAAATTCTACCCACCCTTCGAAGCAAATTCTAGAGAGCGCCAAAGCTATTGAGCAGGCTGCTCTTGATCTACCTGGGGCGAAAGGTGACAGCACTGCGGGAGCGTACCGAGACAAGATTCGATCGCTGTACCAGAATCTGAGGAACAAGTCGAATCCAGAGCTGAAAATCAGAGTGCTGTCAGGAGAGATTAGTCCTGCGCGATTGGTGGTGATGACGCATGAAGAGCTTAAGAGTAAGCAACAAATAGCGAACGATGCTGCAATCGCCAAGGAGAATATGAACAACGCTATGGTCCCACAAGAACAGAAATCCGTCTCGACGTCACTGCAGTGTGGAAAGTGTGGGCAGAAGAAGGTCAGCTATTCTCAGGCGCAAACGAGATCGGCTGATGAACCGATGACGACGTTTTGTGAATGCATGGCCTGCGGGAACAGGTGGAAGTTCAGTTGAATCTTGCTTACAGGTAGGAAGAGCATAGAGAACAGTTTGGCGTGACAGGAGCATGAAGCTTTTCTGATGGCGATGTACATCTCTCAGGCGGCATCCACGGCGTTCTGGGGCTTGGATTGAAGCCAATGCCGGAGAGGCTTCGGTATCGCCAGGCAAAGCTGCTGGAGAGAGGCTGCAATCATGACATTCTTATGCACCTGGCAGTCCAGCCTACAGCATGTACTTTAGGCAAGACTTGCGAAGTCCATCAGATCCCACGAATTTCTTCCGCTCTCAACTCTATGACTTTGGGAAACTGACATGGCCAATATCCACGTTCGCGTGCTGCTGCCCATGAAGTACCATGATCTTGCATACTAAAATCTGGCCCTACAGATTAGCATGCTTACACCTCGTACACCTCGTACACCTCGTACACACACCTACGCACACACGCTCTAAGTAAGAGATATCAGCGTCCGACTCAACCATACAGGGATTCAGCTGCCATTGCTGGCTTAGACGAGGACGAGTCGAGTATCCCCATCATCATGAATATTAACCTGAGACTAGTCTATCCCCCCGATTCGTCAATATTCATCTCTTTTGGCGGGTGAAATCTTCTACGCTGCCCCGGAAGAAATCTTTTCCACCAAAAGATCACCATTGCACTCTACTCCACCGGATCACTAGAGAACGACAACGATGAGACTTTGTAACCCAGACCCTAGCTGTCCAAAGCCTGAGCGAGGCAGACATCTGGCGCATGGTCTTCCGTTCCTCGGTGCGAGCTCCACTGTGCAAAGTGATATTACTTGTGACGACTGTACGGAGTATCCTTCGACTGCTTCCTGGTATTGGTATATACCTTTTCCCATGTAATAACTTTAGCTCTTTACATTAGTTTCTGTTATTGTGTTATATTCTGTTTTTCATTCCGCGTCGGACTATTCAAATGCCATTCTTGTTTCTCCCGTACACTCCTGCATGTGCTATCCTGCGTCTTTCAGGCAACATTCTCAATAGGTCAACTTCCTGATTGAGATCAACTCAGAGAATCGCACCAATCTCTCCCCTCCCTATCATCATGGGCCTCAAATTCCGTCCCGCCATCTCCTCCATGTCCCTCGGCCGTGCCTGAAACCACACCGTGGAAAACAAACTCACCACCCTCACCAATACTACCCCTATCCGCAACATCAAGCTATTTCATAAGGACCTTAAATATGTTGTACGCTCCCTCCCTTTATCGCATTGAGCCTCCTGTCTATAACCTCCTCCCCCACCTCCACCGCCTGGCACGAAGCCCAACTCTCGCCGCTACATCCTACATCCTCTCTCTCTCTCTCTCTCTCTCTCTCTCTCTCTCTCTCTCTCTCTCTCTCTCTCTCTCTCTCTCTCTCTCTCTCTCTCTCTCTCTCTCTCTCTCTCTCTCTCTCTCTCTCTCTCTCTCTCTCTCTCTCTCTCTCTCTCTCTCTCTCTCTCTCTCTCTCTCTCAAATCACCAAAAACTCACAAACTCTGGTTCCCGCCCTCACCCACACACCCTACACACACCGACCTCATCCAGATATGCCTATGACCCAGCAAACTTCCTCCCAACCAGTAAAATGCATGCAAGCGGCGACCTCGACCGCGTCATCATCGCCCGACCTCGGCCTGCAGGAACAGCTCCCGTCATCCGCTTCGCGTACGAGGCTCTCNGTGGGGTGTTCTCATGGGAATAGGAAGGGGGAGGGGGAGGGGGAGGGGGGAGGAGAGGAGTGAGAGCACGGAGACGCGGAAGTCGAGGTCATGGACGAGGAGGCCCAGTCTCCGAAAAAGGGATAATATATGCAATTGGGGGATTCGAGTGCCGTTGCTGTTGCGAGGTTATAACACCTCCTCTCGCCCTGGTCTGTTCTCCATGCGCTCTATGGGGCTGCAGACAGCAAGCACCTTGAATCCAGGCTGTGGCATGAACGCGGCATTTTGAAGATTTATAGTCTAAAAGCCCACCGGGTCGTAGGGATACTTTGAGCAAAAAATACCCAAGCATCATCATCACACTTCACGTCGTGGAGCACACATCGTAACACTTCTTATACACTACTATCCTCGTCATATCCAGCACATGATTGGATTCGGTCACAAGGCCTCCTCCTCCTCCCTTCCCCAAAGCTTGACCGTGCGATCATGTCCACTGCTAGCGATCCAGCGCGCATCGCGACTGACATCTACACTCAACACGTTGCCGGAGTGTCCGCTCAGGGTCTTGGCGAGCGCCCATTCGTCGGCGGAGAAGATGTTGACGTTCTTGTCGAAGCCGGAGGAGACGAAGAAGGTGCCTGCTTTGGTTGGCGGTGATGGGTCTTGCTTTTTCGACGAGGAGATGTCGTTGCTGATGGGTAGGGTGGCATTGTTCTGTGTTTCTGGATTCGGTTGCAGGGGGAGGTCGCCGCCTTTGTACCATCGCAGATCTGAGACATTTCCGTTGTGAGCCCCGATGCCGCCCGTGCACTTCACGGCGCGGATGTCCCAGCATTTGACCCAGCCGTCCCCACTCCCGGATAACACGCGGTGGCCATCGCTGCCCCAGTCGAGACTGTAGATCTCCCGGATGTGGCCGTCTAGGATCATGACGGTGCGACCGGTCCTTAGGTCCCAGATCCGTCCTATACTGTCGAATCCGCCGCTGGCTAGGAGGGAGCCGTCGGTGTTGAATGCGACGGTGAAGACTTGTCTTGAGTGGCCCTCTTGCAGGAGGAGTTCGCTGGTCGTCTCCACGTCCCAGAGACGCCAGGTTGTGTCAAAGGAGGCCGAGGCCAGGTATTGGCCTGATGGATGAAATTCGATGCGGCAGACGCGGTCAGTGTGGCCGGTCAGAGTGGACAGGGGGGTATCTTGGGTCAGGGACCAGAGATGTATGTCTGAAGCGCCACCTTGGCCGCCGGCTCCGGAGGCGATGTTGACTGCGGATTCAGAGACTGTTGAGGTGGGGAGGGTGGAACCGGGGAACCAGGAGATGCCGCCTACGATGCCGGTGTGGCCTCGTAGAGTGCTTTTCTCGTCTAGACTTGGGACGTCGAGGAGTTTGATGCCGCCGCTCCAGTTCCCTGCCGCGATGATGTCGCCCGACGGGGAGAAGCGTGTTATACTGACTGGTCTCTCTCCGGCGATCTGGGTGCCAAAGAGGTCGAAGCCTGCGAGTCGTTCTTTGATGTGCTTGCGGTGCTTGATGTGTGTTCGGAGGGGAATGGTGGCTTCTTCTCTCTGTCGAGAAATTCTTGCTTTTGCCCGTGGCAGCGAGTAACGAGCTATATTCCTCCGTGCCTCCAGAAGTTCTGCAATACCTTCTGTGTAGAATTCTTCTTCTTGCTCGCCCTGACCTTCCGCGCCAGTGCCGCTGTCACCCATCGGGGTATCCACATCGAGACCACCTTCTGCTTCTTCGGCTTGAACGGTCAGAAGCTCTCGAAGACGGTCTCGTCTGTCTCCAGGACCTTCGCCGAAGAGCGTGATGGGTTCACCGAGCTCTCGCAGTCGAGTTCGTACTCGGCCATCGTCTGTGGGGACTGCGATCTGTGCTGCTCGGCGTTTCCGGTCGAACTGTGAGAGGATGGCCGAGGCACGCTCAGGAGCTATGCCGGCGGTGGCGGAGGGCATGTCATACTCGCGGTCAAGGGCTGTGTGAACGAATGAGCAAGAGCTGTAGTGCTATGGGACAGAGGAGGCTCACGTATATTCGCCAGGTCGACCCCCATATCCGTGTCCTGTCGTCAACACCATTGTGATCAGCCCGTGTCTATCCTACGCCATGGAGATCTTCAGGTTGCACGGTGCAGCTGGCCTTCAAGTACAGATCGTAAACATTGTGTATGGTAGATGTAGGGGAGGGTTGTGAAGAGCTTACCTGCGACTCCTCCACATACGCCTGTCGCGAAGGATGTATCATCTTGCTTGGACTCCAGAATTTTAGAATTGCTCTCTTGTTCGCTTGCAAGAAGTATATTGCGCTGGAGCTGTAACGTGGTCGGGAGCAACTAGAATTGGGTGAAGGAGTTTAGAATGGGGGGGAAAGAGTTGTTGGATTCCGTCACCACAACCTTCATAAGCTTTCTCCAGCTTTCACAAACGACACAAACAGCGGTGACAAGCTTGAGTTTTCTTGCACAGAGCCAATTTAGCTATTCGTCTCTCTATGTTCTCTTCCTTGCTTCGCAGGAGGCGCATCCGCCTCGCAGTGTTTTCCTTCCACCTGCGATGACAGTGTTTACAATATGGGGCGCTCGTGTCCCAGTGTCATCCCAGTACTGGGCTGTGATACCAGCCTGTTCGCGCTACCGAACGGTCAGATGCATCAGACACAAGTCAACTATTGCCTTCAGGTTATTCGCGAACAGCATCCCAGGAAGTTCGCCGCCTCCCAGTGTCCAACTGAAGTATCTACGAAGAAGCTCGAGTTCAACCTCTACAACCCAAGAGACATCTGCTTCCACCGCTCCTTTATCGTTTCATCTTGCGGCTTCTGCTTCTGGAAAAGGTCGTAGATTCCAAGCCGACCGAAATACACACGAATTTAATGCAGACATTCACGACGCGCTCGGATTACAGCGAGGTGAGACCCGGGCACAGAGAAAGGCCAATCGACCAGACAGCGGGCAAGACGCCTTCTTCATAGCCAAGCTCGAACCAAACTCGACGGCCTTTGGGATTGCCGATGGAGTGGGAGGATGGGCTACTTCGGGCGTCGATCCAGCCGAGTTTTCGCATGGCTTTTGTCACTACATGGCAAAGACTACCGTGGAATGGACTCATGGTCGCTTGACCCCCAGAATGCTCATGGAGATTGGATATCAGAACATAATAGACGATCCTAGCGTACCAGCTGGTGGGAGTACAGCTTGCATTGGTATTGCAAGGCCAGATGGCGGGCTACAAGTGGCAAATCTTGGTGACTCTGGCTTCCTTCAACTTCGGCTGGGAGCCGTCCATCATTACTCGAACCCGCAAACTCATGCTTTCAACACTCCTTATCAGCTTAGCATTATCCCGCCCAAGATCATCGCCCAATCGGCACTATTCGGCGGAACGCCTCTGTCAGATTTGCCTGAGAAAGCAGAAATATCTAGTAGCCAGCTCCGCCATGGAGACGTACTGATCCTGGCCACGGATGGGGTTTGGGACAATCTTAATCCACAAGATGTCCTTAACATTGTCAGCTTGCAGATGAGATCGCACGGTGCCTGGGTCGAGACTGACAACCATGGTCTTGGGGTCTCGGACCAGATTGCCCAGCTCACCCGACCTGGTGGTTCTGGCGAGAAGAAGAAGAGAAGCCAGACGATACAAAGTGCCCTTGCTGCTGCGGTAGCTGGTGAAGCCAAGATAGCGAGCATGAATGAGCGACGAGATGGCCCTTTTGCTAAAGAGGTGCAAAAGTATTACCCAGAGGAGGGCTACCATGGGGGCAAGGTAGATGATATCTGTGTCATCGCTTTACTCGCAGTCAAGCATGCAGCATCTAGAGACAGCAGGTGAAATAGCACACACCGGTCGTTCCTGTTGCGTTGCAGGTACCCAAGAACTCTGATTTCACAGCGTGGCGTCACGCTACCATATCCAGAAGGATAGTTGCATGAGTACTTTCACGTCTGCCAACATGTTATGCTTGCTGGTACAAGTGAGCACTTATGGCGGAGCATACCCCAACTCTCGGTGGTCATATATGGCTCCCGCTCTCCCCCAACCATGCTGTCACCTACTTTATGATCTGCTCTCTTTTCACGTCATTCTAGTCCGCTACATACCCAACCATGCCTGAGAACAATCTTGCGCTCAGCGAAGACTTGGATCAACTCCCATAACACCGGCATTCTCGGCCACGTTATGATGGTTCAACTGTATCTAAGCATTGATGGCGTTTGCTGTGATCTTGCTGGGAGACAAGAGACGCTTGTGTATGTAGAAGGTAGGGTGGAGCTTCCAGTGCCTGCTCTGGCAACCTGCGGCTCATCCCAAACTGAGATGTACAGGGGATTAACTTACCTGATTGGTAACTAGTGATTACTACTTGGGCCTGGTCGCAACAAAGTTAGATATCAAAGTGTGGAATTTCTCAATTGCGGCGCAGCAGGATCATCATCCTCGGTCATGCCAGATGCCCTTAGAATTCCACCTTTCCAGGGCTTACGAATTTGACTAGCACCAATCAACCGCTCTCGTCTCAGTCAGATCGAGGCCGCTGCGGTCAGGACGAAGGTTGGAATATGTGTCAAATCATGCTGCCTGCTTTCATGCTTGCCTGTCTCGATTCTGGTGATCACTTGTCTTGAGTAGGACAGGACTGGTTCTGCTAGCACTGATCCTGAGCTAGAGTGGCGTCTCTTTTCTGTTAAATGGCAGGGTTTCAGGTTCCAGATGGCGTAATTTCCTTCCAGCGTCCTGATATTGTTGTCTAACCGTTCATCTTCTTCCCTCGTTCCACTGTGTACACTTTTGGTGTATTCTCATCTCTGGTTTTATCTTCATGCACATCTACACTTGGACATGCCAGCATGTCCTGTTCCGCACGAAAAGATTCCTCTACTTGTTGCTGTCCTACCAAAGCAAATCTCTTTCATGATTGATGCAACTGAAAATGGAGGGCCTTGGCGCGTATCCCTATGAGAAGGTGGATGAAGTCGACCATACCTCTGCTTCACCGATTCGGCAACATGACATTGATGATGCATGCAAGACCAGCGTTGTAATCACAACGGTTCCATACAATGATACAAAAATCGATTCATTCGACGACAACAGTCATGAATCGTCGGTCAATGCGACCAGATTAATGCACAAGTTGTGGACGAGATCATGGAAAGCACCCTAGGCCTTCATTGTCATATTTCTTGCGATGCTTGTCGCATTTAGAAACAATTAATAGATGCTCTGAGAAGAATCTTGGTCTCGCAACATCAATTACCAGCAGGCACTATCTGTGGACATACGGGCCCACCGCTGGTGAGGATGTCTTTTGGGCCACAGGGAGAGTGCTGATTACTTGAGTAGTGCTTATTGTAAATTCCGTACTATGGCGGCAGCTAGATTAATGCACCAAAAAGTCAATGCCATGGGCGGAACTGGCAAAAGGTCCCGCCCTTCCAGAAAAAAAGCTTTGTTTTAAACTACAAATCCCTAACCTTACCCACTGCGATGTACAGTTCTCTGAAAATCGGCATTTCGTCATCTTCACTGCCATCGCAATGTTCATTCGTCCCCAAAATGATCATGATTGTCTCAACAGGTCTTCTCGTGTTGGAGAAAGTCTTGATAGACAACATGCCTACCAAACTCCTAGTGACTGATGTATTCGATGTCAACAGTTTTGGTGACCGAAGCGTTGGCCTCTGTTGCTTATTCCGATGGAAGTCTCCAGACCTTTTGCTAGCTATGAACATCTCATCGCCCTAACGCGCATAATTCTTGGCTGACGTGTTGTCCTTTCCTCGGTAAATGGTCCTCGTTTGGTTGGCAGGCGCACTATTGAAGCATCAGATCTGCGCTTAGTTGGTAGTTACGTAGTAAAACCATATTAGCGCTTGCCGCCCTCATGGGATGCCACTGATTGGGTACAGCCCGTTTGCGGTAGCTCCTAAAAAGGATACTATGTAGACTGAGAAATGTGGGTTGGGAAATTCTCCACGTCCGTCAATTGCATGCAGTCGGAGGAAATTTATCGAGGACAATTGATCATTATATATGTTACAGGCTCTTCACTTAATCCGAAGGACCCTGGTTATTCTTTAGAAACTGTGGGCATGATGCTCGAGGCCAGTCAATGTCCCTGGACGAGACAGGCTCGGAGTTGGTAGACATTCTCGACGAGCACGATAGCGGGCCTACAGAGGCAAGAGAAACTGTGAAGAAGCTGAAACCATTGTTTTCGTGGTTGCAATGTACAGTTCTTACGAACAGCAGAGATGGCTTTGGCTGTGACGTTCAAACCCTTCGTGCTGCCTTGTAGCTAAGCACCGACCACTTGCACCGAATAGTTAGACGCTAGCGGTCACTTTGACCAGTGAACAAAAGGTCAACTTTTATCCCAGAGAGGTGGATAAGCAGAGAGAACTTGTCGAACAGGATGAAGAAATGCTCTGTCCTCTCTCAAAAGCTGCGCAGGGCGTGCAGATATAAGTACAAAATCCCCATGCGGCACAGCGAAATTACTACGTAGCTACGAAATTACAGTAGAAATCAACCAATCAAAATCAGGTGAAATACAGGGGTTTCGCGTAGAAAATCTAATAAATGAGGGCTCATACCGTCTGATAGAACCCTATTGAATTTTCTCAGAATTCGGTAGTCCGTAGTATTGACCATTCTTCATGCTCTCTCAGCGTAAGGTTGTAATGATCTTTACCTAACCACATGATGTCTTCTCCCACGATCTCTTCCATCTCCTGGGGCCGCATCCAATTCTCCGACCCCAACAACTTGCCCAAGGGCAAAGACTACAAGGTGTACCCGGGCGGCGGCCGCCCGTGGGATTGGAACGAGACGGGCACGCGGCACTCACCGGGTGTACAGATAGGAGATGTGGAAGAACTCGTTACCAAAGGTAACATAAATCACTTCCTTCTCATTCGTGGATCTTGGAGAGATGAGGAAAGTGTGTAGTAACGAACTGCCAAAAAAAAGGATGCACGCACGTGGTTCTCAGCCGCGGAATGCATGAAAAACTCGGCGTACCAGACGCAACGGTCAAGTGGCTTCAATCCCAGGGGATCGAAGTGTACGTTGCCGAAACGAGGAAGGCGGTGGAGACGTATAATGTGTTGACACGGGAGGGAAAGAAGGTCGGCGGTGTCATTCATTCGACGTGTTGATTGATTTATGTACGTGGGGCTGTAAGAGGATGCACACCGCACTAAGATGTTACATATACATATTTGTGATGACGATTTTGCGGTCTTGCAGATATCCACGCTTATGGCCAGCAGAATTGCAGTGCTTCGAATATTGGATGGAACTAGCTGGATCTACTATACGCTTGGTAGACGTATCACAAGAGACAGAACCGCTGCCCTGCCGCATCCTGTACGCAAGCGACGCTCATAGCCAGCAGGGCCGTGCCGTGGCGGCCGGATTGCCTCGCCATTGCGCTAAATGGCATGGTTCTGAGCAATTGGCTGACCACTTGACACTCTGCGCCAGCGTCCTGGGTGTTCTTGAAGACTGTTCCTACCACTGGCTAAGACAGGTCGAAGGGCAACCATATGCGACTTATATGGGCCAGGAATTGGAACCCCACAACCTGAAGGGCACGAAACTGGACTCTCCGGGCTAGGGGTGGCTCAGAATCCGGCTCCTATGGAGAGCTTAGGATATTATTCAGCCGATCTCAGGGATAGTTAGGGCTGTTCAGGGCTGCTTGGGCTCAGAACAGCCTTGCACAGCCAGAGCTCAGGGCTGCTTTCTGTGATGCTCAGTCATGGCCCCATTTTGGGAACCCAGATGTCTGGCTTGCAGGGTCTCTTAATTTTGAGAGGCGCGCTGCTTGTATCTCCCTTCTTATACTGTCCTTTACAATAGTATCCAATTTTACCTTTTTACTGTTCAGCCCTTACCTTCCTTGCACCTTTGTATCTGCTTATCCAGTCCAAACGTCTATACAAAAGATTTTATGAACTAGACCCTCCTTCTATGTCTTGTATAACATTTAAAAAAGGGAGTCAGTCTGAGGTAATCCGTCAAGCTAACGAAAGGCCTTTAGAGAAGGATAAGAACGTGTAAGCATCCAGATTCAAGGAGAAGAGAAATTAATAGAGACTATTTCTAAGCTGCTGTAACAGCTATTTCTTTTTCACTTGGCATTTCAACAATACTTTTAATGGAAGTATGTTGGACCAAAAGGACCGCGGCCCTCAGAGGACCGTTTACTAGCTTTTGTTTGACAAAGTATAACCCTTGTGGTTGGGCTCTGTAGCCTTTATATTTAAAGAAGCCTACAGAACAAGGTTTTCATCAGTTGAAGTACATCCTCATCGCAGAATATGAACAATCCAAGCCACAAGGTGCCTGTAGAAATGGTCTGGGATTATGATACATGGCGAGTAGGGCCATAGTCGTCCAGTTGATCTTGAGTTAAAAGGGGAAACGGCCGACTTGGAGATGAGCGGTTTCTGCTAAGAGTGGTACGGTAAACTCCGCCCTGCCACAAGTTCACCCCTGGAAATATGATTCTAGCACAATACAGAGTAGTTTCACCCAGAGTAAGTCGAAACAAAGGTGTAAACAGCAACCTTATTGATCCACACTGACGCATCTATGCTTCACATAGAGTTTGTTAAGTGTAGTTCATACAAAGTGTGTTTCACCACTTCCGGGAAACCAATCAATCAGAGATGGTGTCCGATAACATATATAATATTGAAGGGAGTCATCTCTTGAAAAAGTGAGAAAGGTAAATACACAAGGAAAAGGTTTCTGCAGTAAGAAAAGACCCTGTCAACTTGGATTGTGTCTATCTTGATTTCCACGAACGAACAGAAGCAGAGACCAAAGTACAAAAGATGTTCAGAAGAGCAGGTTCGAATCTCCTTCGTTGATGGAACATACGTTACCCTGCATAACTTGTTTGTACTGACCGAGGCGTGATTCACCAGCCCAAGTAGTCCCCTGTAATAGCAGCAGCAGCGATGAATCCAGGTACACTTCTGCCTTATCATCATCACCCTCCTCCTCCTCCACCAGCAGTGGGACACCACCACCGTCCATACGCACAGCCCGACCTGCACCGACAACCAGCCAAACCATGCAACCCAGACAACCCGCCGAACCCGCTCTAACCCGTCAGGCGCGGCGTCAACCTGCTGTCGAACCCACCGCGAGCATCTACATCAAAGTCCTCGATCGCACTGACGGTGGCGGAAGACCACTTAGCCGCCGCTTGAACGGGATGCGAGCCTACAAATTCACCATCCAGCCGGACATTCGTGTCCACAAGTACACGGTCTTTGGGCTCAGAATGGCTGCAAACGGGTCTCTGTGGCCCGACTTGGTGGAGAACTCCCAGTCTATCGAGGACGGTCCCGATAACCCGTGCCGCGTGTTTTTCGTGAGCCATCTCCCCGCTCAGAGGGTGCAGGAGCTGGAGGAGCTGGTGCTGAAGGCGGTGGGAAGGGATGTGGCAAATAGCGAGAGCTGGGTGAGGTCATGTCTGGAACAGATGCGCAGGGCTGGGATGATTACAGGGAGGGAGAGAGAGGACGCGGTGCAGGGGATAGGCCGGGCTGGGTCTCAAATGTGACAGCGGAGGGGGTTGGATGCGTCGAGTAGTTTGTAATGGGTGATGTATAAGCTGGAAAGAACAAGGGTTGTTTTCATCGCCGATGCAATGAGCGACTGGTCTGTCAAGCGGACAATGTGATGCCGCAGCGTGAGAGATCAGGCTCTCCGGTCGGCTTCCTCTTGAGCAAACGATCTTCATCTTTCGCGTTGACAATTGCTTACATCAACTGCTGCAAAAGCGTTATGAAGCTGATTGGAATTGCTATGAAAATGGAGCGAGCGTGTAAAGGCTATGCAAACTAACTTTTGGAACACGTTGATCAACCAGAAAGGGACCAATGCGAGTCAAGGGACCGACCAATACATGTACGCTTTGGACTAGGTCGAATCTCACACCTTTTCTTCATAGACATGTTGGACTTCGTGATGGAAAGCTCAAATGGTACCATCCGCATGATCCCGGTATCTTTGCTACCCTCGGCCCATGATGTAGTAACCCCAGCTGCTGTTTCCATACTTACTCGCAATCTTGACGGAAGACTTTCCGGTATGCATTTCGATTCACCATGTTTATTGTGATAGCCTATTGCCCTCGACTCAATCGCTTTCACATCGCTGCCCTTCACTATGATAACTGAGTTCCTACCGCCGAGTAAGGAGTTGGGGCAGTCCATGCCAATGGACAGGTCAACCCGCTTTCTGTTCAGCGTTAGATCAAGCAAGGTCCCATAGAAGCCTACAGTCTTCTTGGTGTAAATGAAGAAGCCACCCCAGCAGACAGGGCTTGACGGAGGTACTGCAGGCAGATAACTCGTCACAGCTGTGCGGACGCCACTTTCCACGTAATCCTCGATGGGACGAACATCACTCTGGGTATTTTCTACCACCAGAAGGACATTTTGGGCGCCTTTGAACATCAAATACGCGCCACCTGTGCCAAGGTGAGTGGCCACTCGCCTTCAACAAAGCGAAAGGTTGAACGTACCAAGGAGAAGGCCAGACACGCCAAACAAGACTGTGACCGCGGCGGCAATCGCACTGACGGTTAGAAAGCTGGCCACGAAGCTAATCATTAAGAGCGCATTTAACACCCAAGCCTCAGTTGGGGCTGCCTTTGCAACCCACCAGGCAACGGCGATAGCTCCAACCTGATCATAAGGAGAGTCTGCCACGCGGTCTTGCAATTGGCCTTGCTGGCTCCATACAAACTATCCATGGGTACAGTGATTTCTTTATGTAGGTCGTCCTTTTCCGCTTTCCGGAGCCTGGCCAGTGTCTTCTTCAAGACCCAGATTGGTTGACCCATTATATCCTTTTCGACGACCTTCGCCCACTTGGTAGAGACATCGAATCCTGTCCATGATTGTGCAAGTTGCTCCACAATTTTGGCCTGCTCCAATCTCTATGGTAGCAGAAGTTGCAGCTTGATCCCATGTCGTCAGAAGCTCTGAAGCCCAACGAAATTGGCTTACCAAGGAAAAGGTTCGGAAACGACACGTGAGCAACTGGCAGAAGGTACATCATGATAAGGCAATAGAACCAGAAGGGAGCACGGAGGTCAGTTTGCGGCCTCTTTTTCTGTTCTCCAGCCAAAGATTGGAGCGTTCCAAGATCAATGTGTATGCATGAATGTACATAGAGGGTGAACGATTCGGGCTCGACTGCAATGCCTTGAGCTGAGGGGAGGTGGTGTTGGCCTATTCAATATTAACCTACTCGGCCATTGCTTGAGCTTGGACATCTTAGTTGAAGGCTTCGAGTTTGAATATCGACTTGCACGTAGAGATATCATCATATTACGGATGGATCATAGTCAAATTGTGTTTAAACAGGCTGAGTGCATTTGCCCTTGGTTTTGCCCAGTAAGGTGGCAACGAACTTGACAGCTCGTCTCCCAACTGGTCCAGATGAATCATGATCACCCGCTGGTCAATTGCTGCATGTGACAAAGCCCATATCATGCTGCGGATTGAAGTGGAGATACTTGACTGGTATGGCCAGGACCATGCGGGCCCAGGGCGGCAACAAGCTAGACCTGAGCGGGGTGATCATGGGCAGCTTTTAGTGATCTTGGCGGTGTCTTGTCTAGACTGCAGTGCCATGATGCTGCTTGCGACAGCTCGTTTTGGGCGTTGAATAGTGAGGAAGGACGTCTTTGATCCTTCAAGTCCATCTGTCCGAAGCAGAATCGGCTACCAGGATGTGCATCATCACAGCCATATTACTGATGCAATAGTATCTCCCCTTCTGCCCAGAGCACAACTCTCGTATGGCCATCTTAGTAGTCGGAAAGCATTGGTTTTATCAATGAGGCACTCAGACGAGTCAGTGGCCATCAAATACCTGAAAAGCCAAAAAACTGGTGCGGGAACGTTTAGACGCTTATTGAGTGTCTCAAATGCCCTCATTTTCGTCTGGCTCTGCGTGATTTGGTGGGGTGAGCGTCTAGTCTTCTACAATAGCCTAGCTGCTTGCCGGTGGGAGCAATGGGAGCAATGGGTTAGTGATGTTCGACCACTATGAATACAGTATGCTGACTCTGCTTCACACAGCCTCCAGACGCGGTACCACACCATGTTGTACTTATCGCTGACCCACAGCTTGTCGACCCACACACGTATCCAGGCCGACCATGGCCGCTTTCTAGTCTCACCATATATTACACAGACCTTTACCTCCGACGCTCCTATGCGAATTTGCAACAATTCCTTCAGCCAGATACGCTTTTCTTTCTTGGAGACCTCTTCGATGGAGGCCGTGAATGGGGCACGTGGCATTCCTCTTCGCCAGACCAGCAGTTCAAACGATACGGTCATACATATTGGATGAAGGAGTATACTCGATTTCAACGCATCTTCATTGATGGCTGGCTTAATGACGGGGTCAAACCGTCAGCCGAGCCTCGGGGAAGGAAGATAATTGCCTCCTTGCCTGGAAACCATGATCTGGGCTTCGCGTCTGGTATTCAAGGACCTGTCAAAGAGCGATTTGAGGCTTATTTTGGGAATGGAAATCGCATTGATATTATTGGTAATCACAGCTTTATCTCCGTCGACACCGTCTCATTAAGCGCAATGGACCAGGTGGATCCCCATACAGGCAGCTCAGGGGCCGGTGATGGTAGTTCGTCTACAGCGGCCAATCGTGATATATGGGCCTCAACGGAAGAGTTTCTGTCTGGGGCTCGAGCGGAAAGGAGTCGAGCAGTGAGGCGTGAACTCCGCAATCTGGCCGGTTTGCACGAGCAATCGTATCGTGAAGGTGGACTCAGTGGCTTTGCACCAAACATCACAGACCTAAGCCAAGCAAACAAGCCACTGAATACTATGGCGGACCTTGTTATTGGCAACGCAGAAAAATCCTTTCCCAGCATCCTCTTGACTCACGTTCCCTTGTACAGGGCACCAGATACAGACTGTGGCCCTCAGCGTGAACGTGGACGTGCAATCCTTGTCCAAGGAGGATATCAGTACCAGAATGTGCTTACTCCGCTCATCTCCAAAGATATCATTTCCAAGCTGGGGGTGGAGGATGTTACACAAATATACTCCGGTGATGATCACGACTATTGTGAGATTGAGCATGGCGAATTTACAGGACGGATAAAGGAGATCACCGTGAAGAGCATTAGTTGGGCGATGGGAGTGCGAAAGCCGGGATTCTTGGCGGTCAGTCTTTACAATCCTGTGGATGTACATCCAACTGCGACGGTAGACGAAATGGCATCGGGTGTGGAGAGGGACACCGTCCAGAATCAACTGTGCTTATTGCCGGATCAACTGGCAATCTTTATTCGATATGGGGCTATGTTGGGTCTTACTCTACTTATTCTAGCCATCAGAACAATAATGCTACAAGGAAGCACAAGCCAGCATGGCGAGAGTGAGAAGCCACTCTTACCTATGAGCACAGAAGACCTTCCATCTTACGACAACGGAACGCTCTCTCGGCACGCAGTTGCGTCCACTTCCTCCTCGTCCTCTCCGGAGCACATCATTCCTGGAGGCGGTACTATATCAGCACACAGAACACCAAGAGCCGGCTCTCCCAGACTGGGAGGCTACGGCAACCTCCCCTTGGGGTCAAGGTCGTCATCACCTTTAAAAGCCAAGCTAGACGGAGCTTTCGATCCGGCAAGAGGCACGAACGTCATTTCTGTCCATGATGAGGTTGAGGATTGGGGTATGCCTCGGAGCAAGCGGCGTACAGTTGGACAGCAGCGCCGGCGGGGCATTATTGTGGAATTTGGACATAGCCTTGCTAGGGTTGCTTTGCCGGTCCTTGTATTTTACATTTGGCTGATCAGGAGAGGTTGAAATCAACGGCTTGAAATAGCTCTTCTGGTCATAATCTTCCCTGAGGAGGCCCTGGCGACGAAGGCGTGAAATACCCATGGTACCGTACATGTTCATCACTGAATTCCCCTACCTCCCGTGTGTTTAGATTCTGTTCACGCCGGTTCTTTCCTCCAGCTAGCTACCTGTATCTCAGCCCCTCTGTCTAGACATGACCCCGACTGCTATTGCTCAGCTGCATACTGTTCCTGGGATCCAACGGCCAGATAGAGGGTGGATCTCTCGTCCAGGCCATACATTTCCCACCCTCGTATTCGTCTTTTCCACGCCCCACCCGTGTGAAAGGCTAAACGAAGCGCATTGGGATGTGATGCACCGGTGAAAATCGCCTCAACACTTCCCTAATACGTGAAATGTCCCCGCTCTCTGATTCCTCCGGATGGGATATCCAAGCGACTCTGTTGGATGAAGGCCACATCTGGTAGCTGAAGCACCCTTTCCGGGCTTGGGGAGCCGCATGACAGGTCAGGGTAGGGTTTAGACATGGGTTTGTGAGAAATCGATCGTGGATTGCGATGTGGCCATCGGCATATTTTGGTCGTGGTGGTGCAAAAGCTGGCAGAATTACATTAACCGGGATTACCATTTAGGCAGATTGTGACGGTGGGTCTCGGGATGTGGTCTGGCCGAACTGCCCGGTTGGCCACTTGCAAAAGCCCCTAAACTCTATTCTGTCATCCTACTGGAATATCTTTCGTCTTCCACATCGAGTGTGTAGCCTCTGCAGCCTCTGCAGCCTCTGCTGGACACAGCGGGTTGCACATGCGTTCGCATCGATGAGCAGTATTACCGATCAATACATGGCATTAATGCTGTGGCAAGCAAGCAGGTAAGGCAAATAGCACAGATACAGTACAGTATATGGTATCCTTGTCGCACGAACAAACCCACTTTCATCCTTCAAAGTGATTTTTCTTTGGAACTCAATACCGGTGATCTGACCCACTCAAAACTTTGCCTCATCCATCTCAATTCTTGCTCGTGTTCTTCATCCTTGAATTACAGCACTCGTCATGGAAGAATGGACAGGCTGAAGTCGGCCTGCTTCGCCCTTCATCCTCCCTTTCCTTCCTTCCTTCCTTCCTTCCTTTCTTCATTCTCCCTTTCCCTGTTTTCGGTGCACCCTTCAGAAAAGGATTCATCGACCGCTCCACCAAAATGACAGCGCTAATGGGTTTGGACCACACTTGTCGATGTATCCCTCCTGACACCTTCCGCTGTTCCACTCATGTCGTACCCATGTCCTTTACACCGGGTCCGAACATGACTTCCGTTGGATTTTACTATTACATACTTGGCAGTCTGTCTTCTTGCATTCATTTCGTTTCTCGGAAGAATCACATCCACTCCATCCTTGTTCTCTCTTGCCCTTCCCACTCAAAGTGTCCCCTAACGGATCACGACCCACATAGCCGACCAAACCTATTTGCAACCAACAACATCAAGATCAATCCACCCCACTAATCATCCCACCCTGACACAGCTACCGAGCCGGGACAGGGTCATTATTGGTGCCACGCTGAGCCGGAGCCCTTACAGCGCAGTAGGCTGGGCACTAAAAAGTGTCTTTCATCCCTGAGCAGGACAAGAAGTGGGAATCCCTCAAATCAGTTAGCGCCTACCATCGCGCTGGACCCGAGATCTACCACCCGCTTCAGGTCAATAGGTTGTCAGGTGAAAAGATTTCCTCCTTCCACTTTGGGAAAGGTAGCAATCTTCAAGCACCTGAACGGACATATTTTGCACCTATGATGTCCACTTATACCAGTGTATCCATAAAAACAAATGAACCAACTCAGTACCCCAATTTGCTATCCTTATCTATCACTAACGGTCTCTTTAATTTGATTTGACTTCGCTCATTTGGCAATCGAGTCAAACATTAGGACCCATATATTATCAAGATGGTTGCCGAAGGATTTCCATCTCACAGAAAGAACCTGCTGAGCCTTGTAATCTTTTTTTATCGAAAACAAGCCATAATATTTTTGAAGCGATGTCTTTATGCCAAGACTCCCATTTGACCCCATTCGTCAAGCTTTGAAGTACTGAAAACTTCGATTTGATCGGACAAAATGAAAGATCTAGCTCATTTGCCAAGCGTTTAATTTGAATGGATACACTGACCTACTGTTACTGTCGTTGTCTTAGTCTTAAATTCACAGCCAGAAGCAGTCCGAGGAGAATCTCTTCAAAATAATTCTCACCTAGTAGCTGAACTTTGCTTGTACGTTCTATCAAAGTACCTCAATCGAAAGGCATAACCTATGGGTTTTTATGACCAATCTTCCAGACGAAATTTACCACTCAAAATCGGTCGGTTACGGACCCTCAGAACGGGTAGAGATTAACACCACACACACTACGAATGACAAAATTGATTGATTAGTTGATTGATTGTATTGGGATCAAGATGTCTGAAGCTGCGCAACAGCAACAGAGGCTAATAATAGTGCCGGTGGTCCACCAAACGCCAAGCACAGCAAGCACGTGACATATCCCGCACAACCACCGCTTGCTGCGCATTCCACTCCACATGCAAAACCCTGCCATCGCTGATGTGACACCGGAGGAGGAAGAGGAGGAAGAACAACGCACTACAACATCATACCGACAAGACATCGTCTCCCAAAGCAGGTAAGAAAGGGGGGACCTCGGATCCGGGACGTTGCCGGGAATTCCACCATAATCCTTCCTCCGGGATACATCCGGGCCACTGCATTGCGTATCGGACTGCCAGGAAGGGCGTTCGTTGGTGATGAAGGATGTCGCTGGTGATGAGGCCGGTACAGTGGAGGGTTGAAAACGGAGTCCCAGCGCGTCATCATACCAGCTAAGTCAACTTGGGGGAGCCTTGGTTTTCTAGATATGCGGTCGTGCTCGAGCGGTAAGGAAGAGGTTGGTAGCTGGGTAGGAAAGCCGGGATAAAGCATGGTGTTTATGCCGGACACCGTGGAAGTCTCTGGCTTTCCTGGCTGGGCAGGAAGGGCCAATGGATATCGGCCAGGCAGTTCCTCTTTGGATCCTTCACTCCGTCTCTTACTACACATGAAGTTTTTTCTGGGGAGATTTACCGTGCTCGGACCACTCGTACACATGCTTGTTTACATGTATCTTCTTCCTCGTCTTCTCATCCACCTCACTCTCATATAGTCCTCATCGCTCGAGCGCAGCCAGAATCAACCTCCTATACCCGGCCACCGCACCCTCTAGTTCTCCTACTGTGAGGCCCTCGTGATCGCCATGCGCCACCAAGATACTGCCGGGACCATACAGATACCTCTTGACCTGCCCGCTTCTACTTCCCAGATCCAGATTCGGAACATCCGTCCCGTAATTGACCGTCTCACTCTCCCCGAACCCGTCTACATCCGCATCGAGATCGATGGGCGGGTAGCCTGGCCCGTCAAACACCACGTCAACTTTCCCATCACTAACGCCATCCCCATCCCCGTTTCTCTGGATAGCCCTCTCCACCCCGCCCTCCGAACCACGGCGGGTGTACCGCCAGCCAGCCGCACAGCAACGCTCGCCTCGGCGCGTTCCGGCACCACGTTCGCGGCGACCCCGCCCCGGATCAATCCAACGTTTACGGTGCTGGCGCCGTACTTTGCGCTCCGCGGCAGTCCGCCGGCTTCCTCCGACACATCTCCCAGTCCATCCATGGCGGCTAGCACGGGGATGATGAGGCTGTTGGCGCTGCGTCCGAGCCAGGGGTAGCCGGAATGGGCGGCCTTTCCGTGCGCGAGGATGCGGAAGACGAGGATGCCTTTGTGGCCCGATGGGAGGCGCGATTGGGTGGGTTCGCCGAAGATGAGGGTCGAATATGCTTTACGGCGCGGTCGGTCGGGTGGGTTTGGAGGGTGGGAGAGTGAGCGGTGCAGCGCGGAGGAGGAGAAGGTTTTCATCCCCGAGCCGGTTGTTTCTTCGCCGACGACGAAGAGGAGGGCTACCGGAAGAGAGGTGGGAAGAGTTGGGATTTCATGCTCAGTGTTGGCAGGAAATGACGGCGGCGGCTGCTGCTGCTGCAAATTGGGTGCCAGTGGTGAAGAGAGGAGGTCTAGCACGGCATGGGTCTGAGCCGCGACGCATGCTTTGGCGTCGACGGTGCCGCGGCCGGAGAGGAGGATGGCGGATCGGTTGAATGCTTCTTCCTCTTCTTCTCCTGGTAATGATGATGGAGGAATAGATGTAGAGTAAGGTATAAAGGGCGGTACAGTATCGATGTGAGATGTCAGAATGACTTTGGGGACGAAGTCACCCAGGACATCATCCTTTTCTTCGTCTACCAGATCAAGGATGGGCGTAGACGCATTGATATCTGCCTTCGGCCACGCGAAGACGTTGAATCGTTTCTTCTTGTCCGTCGAGTCCGCTGGCTGAGGCACTTCTTGGCGCAAGACATGGAAGTGATGCTTCTTAAGATACGAGAAGAGGTAGTTGCCTACTGCATTCTCGTTGTTGCTGATGGACTCGGTTTGGCATAGAGAGCGGTGGAATGAGAGTAGAGGTGAGGCGGATATCACTTCTGAAATTGGGTCTTGCGAGAGCGGTGATTGGTCATGGATGCGGTTGCTTGCTTGAGCAAGCGGTATTGGTGGTAGTAATAGCCAGAAGAGACAAAATGAGGAGCAATTGTCCTTTAGAATCATCTTTCTGCCTGAAAGATGGTAATCACCAGAAATAATCAATAACCAATGTGTCAATACAACTTGAAAGGGTAAAGTCTCCGAGTCAGAGAAGAAAATATGCCAAGCTAATCAACTATAACAAACCTGCCGGAGTTCATCCGAACCAAAGATTTTACTCCTTGATAGTAACTGCCTCTGCGTGACTACCAGACTGTTTACGAACGGGATGGCGTCCGATTGTTTCTCTGCGAGATTTGGCTGCCACGTTAGTGTCGAAGTACTACACTCAGCATCGCTTTGGCCCCTCCAGCTCAGTTTACCACGAGCTTTACAGTCACGAAAGTGATGATGAAGAGAGCGTGCTCAGCAGTTCAATGTACAAACGGTATTTATTACTCTCCGAGCTGATGCCTGCACTCCAAACCTTCTATGCCCTGTGTCTTTGCCCTGTCAAGAAGATACTCAACCCTGCTGCTTGATAGCGCTGACTTCGTGATATTCGACCCAAAATCTGGGTGTTTGCACGTGACAGAGCTTGGCAAAACTGGCCAAGCCCTGTCACATGACACTCCTTACTATGTATTGTCAGCTACTCGTAACTAGAAAACCAATCACCTTTTGCATTTCTAGTTTCAAAACAGCTAAGAAAAAGCTACCGAAATAATAGTTTCCTGAAATCCAAAGAACAACTGACCAGTCATCCCTCATAAAGGCATAACAAATTTATCTAGTCATCTCAGTGACACTCTTTCCCATCTTCTCGAGTTATGATTGATTGATAGTGCATCAATAGATGTGCTTTGTTAGGGGCGCTTTATTGAAGACGCTTTGTTGGGGGCGCATTGTTAAAGGCGCATTGTTGGGGGCAGGTCGCCGTCTGCAGAAGTGTTATGCTAACAGTTGTCCACTTAGCCTTGCAGACCCGTACCTATCAGACACGGCACGCCTGATACCAAGAGGCAAAGAAAAGGCGCAGAAAAGGCATTGTTTTGTGTGGTTGATTCTATCTATGCCCTGCAGACGTCTATAAGGCGCATAGTAGACGCATGACAGTACTGGTCAGCCCAAGGGAATCAACAGTCCCAGCTGGTCAGCAGAGTAAGTTTCAAAAACTGCTTTGACGTCTGAAATTTGTGATAGTCAATTGGGTAAGGAATAGGTTTCTCAGCTTTGCTTGTGTATCGATCACTCCTTCATTAGGCTGAGAATTTCGCGAATTGCCATATGTAACAGATAGGGGAATCCAGCGAGACTCATTCCTAAATCACTTTTGTTTGAAGAGAAAGACTTCTTTGCTGCGTGCAGCCGTCTCAAAACTTTCGTCCTCTTCTTCACCTGCTTTTAGTCGTCTCTCCCAGCCTATCTCTAATGTCGCGGGCAAAATGGCAGAAACCTCCAAATATCGAGCAACCTCTGATCTCCCAGGTTGATGAAGACTCAATTCGCAAGGATGACCATGATCCAAGATCATCAGACCTTCTAAGCCTTGGAAAACCACAACAAAAGAAGCGACTTGATTATTCCACTGCTCTTGGGGTTCTGGCCTGCTGGTTATGTCTCAGTGCTGCTATCGTCACAGTGTCACCATACACGCGTGTTCCCTGGATATTGGGCTTACAGCGTCAATTCCAAGTCATTGGTTTCCTTATCGGGGTTATGAACCAACTTTTCCTCGGCCTTACCCCCAAAGTTTTCCTCCTTATTGAAGCCCGATTCGGACCTTCATATCTCCAAAACTTCGAAGCTATCTTACGCAGATCTTATCTGGGATCTGGCACAAGTATCCTTTGGAGAGGAGTCTTGTTTGGCATTACTCTCCTGCATCTAGGTCTTGGTGTAGCGTATAAAGAGTTCACTGACGGTCGGAGTGAATATCCCTTCAAAATCTCAAACGACAGCTTTTACGGCTTGACTGGGCCCACCAACTTTAAGGAAGGCCTTCTCTTCGGTCTAGGACTCACTTCCATGGCCAACTCAACTTTGCCTTTCTACAGTGCCACGGTCAGTGACCCCCCAATGCCGTCATTTCCTCATGCCTACGGGTTCAACACCTTGCTCCTATCCGAAACATCTTCAGCAAAGTTAGACAGCCCGTTTCCGGAATATGTGGAACAAATACAGACAAATTTAACAGCTGAGGATTCTTATATCCTTACTGCGGAAGTATTTGCAACCGTGACAAGTTATAACGACTCTATAGCAAGTCATCGAAACGATGATAAGTTTTGGGACTATTATACCAATATGATGGGCAATACATCGAACCTATATGATTCGAAAGACGCTAATTTCGGGGCCAAAATACAGTGGCAAGACATGCTTGTGAGACGTGGAGCGCTGGCTCTTTTAGTAAACGACTTGGGTATCCGAAACACTTCCTGGATGTTCGCCGCGTTTATTAGCGCGTTCCCAAAACCAGAAGTGTCATGGAATATCTCTAGAAGAAGGGAAACGTATCTTGCTGTCGGCGCTGAATTCCGCCAAAACGCAATGCTCTTCCACACGCGCCGCGAGCGCTGCAAGGGAAGCTGGCGAATCACCTATAACTCCATTGAACTTATCAGCGGCGCCTGTCTGCAGGCCCCTACCTCAGAAAAGATCCAAAAAATGTTCACCAATGCCACCCTCGCCATACCCACCTGGTACATGCCTTCGCTAATCGAATACCTCGGTGGTTTCGGTATGCACCGCAACGAAAGTCGATGGCTTGTGCCTTCCTTTTCGACCGTAATAGCAGGCGTATTCTGGTCGCGAGTGACCCGTATGCAAGGGCGTTATGGCCGGGTAGGGAACCCGCAGGCTGTACTGCAATCAGATGTCTACTATCACTGCAATGACGAGGGCATCAAGGTTAAACAAACTATGAGCACGTCTCCTTGGCTTTTCGTCACGCTTATTGTATTGCCATTTCTCACGCTACTTCTCCTACTTGCTTCCGTCGCAATGTTCCACACCCCACTCGGCGAAGGCTTTGGTCTCATTACAGTGCTGGCTGGTGTTTGCAAGGATACACTACGCCTGGTAAATGGCGCGTCCTTGTCAGGAGAGTTGAAGAGAAGATTGCGAGTTAAGTTTATCGTGCATAAAGATGGGGGACATCCGCGTGTTGAGTATGTTTTGGGAGATGAGGGTCCAAACGACAAGTTATGATCCTGCTAGCCGCCCCAAATACTATCTCCGATATCTCTGACACTACTCAGGGGCAACAATGACTCGAATGCCCGGGCACCTGACTGTCAAGGATTGACACTGTTGCATTGCCTATTTAAAGCTATTTGGAAGATGGCTATCCTCATCAACAGGCAGCTGCTGGAACTGGGCCTATGGAAAGTTGCTACAACTCAATGGAAGGCCCCAAAACCCTCATTTCTGCCTGTTTTCCGTACGGATGATCTACGCATGATAAACGCCTGCCTGCCGCTCTCTTGTATATAACTACGTACAATGTGGACACTCATTTTGACAGAAAGACAAGGGCATTCAATCAAGGATCAGTTGGTGCTTTTCTCACGTCACTTTCCCTCAAAACGTCTGACACTGATGAGCCGGGGGGGCAGTGAACGATCTACCACCCTGTTGTCGATACTAATACGCAACGCAAACTCAAGAGGAACAGCGCTTCTCTATTTACAGTTGATAGGCTATTCTGTTCAGCAACCCACAGGTTTTTATCCACATACACTTCCGCTACACAGGGAGTCAATCACAATGCCTTCTTCCACCTCTCTACCAAGACTCGTTATCCTCAACGACTCCAGCGACTGGGATACATTGGTTTTACGTCGTCAAGGGCTTTGCTAGCGACAAGCGGGTTCAATGAGTGGAAAATATGTCAATCCTTCGCTGGCGCGAATCCTACTCTACCAAAGCTACCGTTATTACCAGCACCAGCTTTAAAAGTACGTGTCAGTGGATTGCAATATAGACCAAGTGTTGCGTCACTTGGCGTCCTCGCCCAACTAATTAAATATTGTGCGAGCCACCTCGTTTGGTACGTCTTTCCCCCTTCTTTCCTCACTCACTCACTCATCACGCAGTATCAGCACTAGAGGCCCGTTCCTGGTCTTCAAGCTGCCGCGGAACCCTATGCAACTCTACTGGACAGAGTCACTGCCAGAGTTCGCTGGCTGGATCCCACCGGACTGGTATAGCAATCCAAGGCTTCGTCAGGAGTGGTTGCGCGATCAGTTTGCAGGGGACAGGAAATCCCATTACGCGCCTCTCAGTGGCAAACTTGAGTTTACATCTCTGCAGCTAGATCAACGCACGATTAGGTAGGCATCTGTATAGTATTTCATTCCATTTATTGTCCTGTCAACTCAAGGATTATCATATCTTGCGCGGTCCGATCCGAAGTACCAATCAACTAGGCCCTGAGGGATATGTCCAGGCACTGTGATAGAGAGTTACCTTGACTTCGCAAACGCCCCGAGAATCCTTTCCCTGATCTTGACCCCCCGCACAGCCTCGCCGATATGATGCGGCCATGATCTGTGACACTGCCAGCCAACATCAAGAGGTTGGTTTTACTTTTCGTCGTAACGGCCGTTGTCTGGATTGCAGCTGCTTTGTTTTGCGTCTCACGTGCTAACATTTTCCTGCCCAGGCACAAGAAGGCTCAGTCAAGATCAGTTTCTGAATTATGTATCACTTGGTCAGCCGCCGGCGCCGCCGGGTCGCTTAGATAGTTGGTGGCTTTAAAACAATTGCCAGGTTTGAGATCAATCTTTATTCATTCTTCTTGAATGCCTTCTCTTTTTCATGCTTTCTTACCACAATACTGTGAAGAAATTTACCTGGATACCTTGTCCCTTCTCTCGCCCTGTCTCTTTGCTGCTGCTGCAAGACTACTAGCTTCAGAGCTGGTATTTGCAGGAATCGGACTCTTCACAACATTAATCAGAGTAAGCATCTGTTGTAGCTATCGTGACAGATTCCAGAATAGAAACAGTAATTGACTGTACATTGTGGCAACAATCTCTCAAGATTGGTGAGAGCAGCGGCAAACTATCAACTTCTGTCCACGGATTTTTTTTTATGCCGAGCATTTTAACTGTCTTTCAGGGACAGCTCATTGCAGAAAGATGAAAGCGTTAGGGACATTTCGTTATTGGAGCGATTTATTTGCTAGGAGGGTGTATATGAGAATTTGCGTTCCGTGGTAAATAAGGACTTGTGTTGGTAAATCATTTCGGAGAGAGCGCTACCGCAATGAACATTTTTTGTGTGCTGGAAATCAGGCAGACTCCTGCCCTCCGTGGCTGTCTCTTCCTGATAAACTCTCGTCTATCTCACAATCAAATATGCCTGCCTCGTCACGCACGATCCGATACGCTACTCTCCGACTAGGGTCAGCCTCCCTTGGGCGAGTTGCTTGGGAGGATTCCTCTCTGCTGCTGTGAGCTCCCTTGTTTGGAATAACCGCCAGCTCGATTGTTTCCTTACTCTCGCCCTCTCGGCCCCCATGAATAGCCAGTGCGATCCTTTCCCCGCCCCCCAAACTCCTACTAGCACCCAGTCGTCCTGCCGCGCTCTTCAATAACATGTCAATAACCAGGCTGCCGTCATCTGGGACAATAACCGCCTTCGACACCCAGAGCATCACCAAGACTAGCAAGGCATGTGTGGAAGCGATACATACAGCGAGACTAATGATGCCCCACCAGGTGACTCTGACCCGAGAGGCCAAAATCGGCAAGGTGCCAGGCATGGTTGTGGTCGGGTTGAGGTGAGCCATAGTAGCGAGGGAGCCGATAGCGAATTCGGAGATGAGACCACCTATTTCTTGAGCAGAGAGCCCGTCCGTTTCCCACTTCGAGGCCCATGGGTATAATTGAGATTGCCACCACCTTTTCGTTTCATCCCTAAAGGGATTCTGATACCGTCCCTGTAACGCTATACTGGCGGCTGCCAAGCGCGCGATATCATCGGGAACATGGTGCTCTAGAAAAACGGGATCGCTGACGTTAGTCACACTACTTATGGTAATGGTACATTCAAATACTCGATCAGGCTCTTTCCTGACTCCGCCCCGCTGCCGCAGAGCATATATGACCATGCATCGGTCACCGCAGTCGAATATTGTAGCATGCTGGGGAATTTTAAAGCCTTGATATATGTAAGTAGTGGCATCATGCGCGAGGTGTGCATTGTTTACAGTGATGTTGGAGCTGTAAGGGCTATTGGAAAGTTCGAATCTCGTGACTGCCCCCCTGCCATCAGGGTCATCGACTCTGGAAGTTTTCGTGATGTTGAGTTCACGACAACCTCCTGGCGAGGCTGTGATAATCCTGTCTGTGAGATACGGGTACGCCCGCGCTTTATCATTAGGATTGTGTTCAGAATAGCGGAAAGCATACTCTTGCCGATCATGACGACGGAAATAGTAGCACTCCCGTGTATAATCCAAGATGCTGGCCGTACTTGTGTAGTTGCAAGAAGGTTGGCTAGTGATAGCTTCGCCGAATGAATGGGCTAAAACCTGAGGTGCCTCCTCAAATATGGGGCAGAGGTCTTCGTAGTTGTAGTAACAGTCCAGCTTCGGCACTAAAACCATACCTGGTCTGAAGATCGTACCGGTGGCATCGTTGCCGCCATCCACGTCGTAGGTGAGGTTGATTAAGGCAATGGAGCCTTGAGCCAGGAGATTTAGTGCGATCCATGCTAAGCAGGCGAAGACTATAAAGGGCCTTGTCCGTGACTCCCGCATGAGGCGCAGAAGGTTCATTAGGTTTTCTCCGTCTAGTATGAGGACAAACTCTCGGAGGTTGAAGGATATCTTGGTCAAGACTCTCCAGCGATAGATTCTGGCCATGTCCTTGAACACTTCGAAAAAGTTGAGACCCAGAAACAAACTTAAGATCGTGATGATGACATTGAAGCCCGTCTTCCTGCGATCCGATATGTTGCCCGCATCTGCATAGAATTTGAGAGTCACAACGACCAAAGATAAGAAAGTGACAGTGCCGATGAATCGGGGGATTCGTTTGTACAGTATACTCCGCTTTGGATACGTGAAAACAGACTCGTGAGCGTGGTTAGACGCTAGAGATGCAATGAAATCAGCCCAAATACGACTTGTAGATTGTGGATTCAAGTCGTTCACCTGTGCCCTCTCTATCTATCAATGCTTCTCGGTCGGAATCAAGATCGATCGCCATTCGCGAAGCTCCGGTCTGAAAATATGTTTGCTAGTCGGCGTATCTCTTCAACTTTAATCAAGTGACTTATCATCTCAAGCCTGATAAGAACAGACCAAAGTCCTCTTATCCCGTAGGAAGTAGGAAAGAGTGAAGAAATATCAGACATGACCAAAAGGACCGCGACCTTCAGAGACCACAGTAACTCAAATACATTCTGATAAGAAATAATGAACGCCCTCCTATGACAAGATACATTTGCCCTTCATGGCTGTAGTGTGTATTTGGCCCCACACCCATTTTTCGGTGAGCACAAAGCTATGCATTAGATTAAGTCATTTTTTCCTCCAATGAGCAGGAGGATCTTCGTGATCCAGACGTTTGAGTGCTGCAGATCAGCTCCCATTAACACCCTCTGAAATATCATGGTTCCAATGAGAAAGACAATTTTAAAGCCTCCTGGGAGTGAGGCTGGCAGCTGAGGATCTAGGTGACAAAAAGTCGATTGACATCCCAACATTCACCAATGGACGAAGGCATGACTATTTTTAAACGAATCCTTCTTAAGCAGCAAAGTCATAATTCTTTGTCCCAAGACCGAAGTGGGCTTCAAACCGGATGTCAGAAGGCAACCTAGACCGTGGGCGGCAGTAAGGAGGCTTTCGTCAAGTAAGAGGTATTGGGATTGGGTATAGTAAGCAACTAACACGCATGCGAGTAACATTCGAGTAACAGGATAAGCAAGTGCAGAGTAACAATCTTCTGTTCGATCCAACAAAGAACGCTGGCCGGCAGAGTTTTCTCCTTGACCAGCTCTTATCTACGCACCAAAAGACTCTCTCGATACTTACAGAATAGGGGGTTACATCTTAACAAGTGTCTCTCTCTTTACGAGACTTGATCTCAAGTCTTACGATTATCTTCATAATCTGATTTAAACATATTTAATAAAACATATAATTATTTATTATTTGTTGAACTCAAAAATACGGTTTACGCTATTCTGCTACGCGTTTTGAAGGCGTTTTGTTACAGACTTGCTACGCGTTTCGCATCAGTCCCGCATGTATTTTTGGTATCTACGTTTCGCGCTATTTCGCTTGATAGCAACTCTGTATGTATAAATGCTTGCTCTGCGCACTGAATTAGATAGAACAACTTGCTATTTCCACACTGATCCGTCGATTAGTCAGCACAGTTCCACATTATTTATAAAATATTATATAATTAGTAACGGAACAAGAGACAATACCAACGCCGATCATCGTTTCATCTATCAAATATTTTGTTTCACAGACCGTGAGTTGATGTAATGATAATCTGAAGAGGTTAGAAACGGTCAACATAATCATGGATTATTAGTAAGTGCGCCGGGACCGATCCTTACATATTTCTCAGCATGATAAGCTTTGACATCAGGGATGACGGGGTAGGGGTAGGTACGTCCTAGGTGACTACCTTGAAGGCTTGGACGCGGATGGGGGTAGAGTGCATGTACACTATGCTAGGAGTGGGGAGGGTGCAGAGTTTGAATAAGTAAATACTTATCCGCCAAAATTCAATTCTTCCTTTGCTTACAACCACCGAAGAGTACGCTTGACAAACAGGATTCTGCACATCAACCAGTACATCACAGCCGGGTCAATATGTGACTCTGGGAATATAAAAAATTAAATCCATGGCAACTGATCTGCGTTGTAAATATCTGCTCCCTTGGACACAGACAACTCGAACTGGAAAGGCTACTTCTCCACGCCGTGAATTGGAAGAAAGACAAACCGCTAAAACAGAAGAACGCGATGAGGAGGGCATTCTCCCATTCATCTAGGACAGTTTGATGCGGACTATCACCAGAAGGCTTTGCGCGATGCTCTCAATCAAGGATTCCTTGGAAAACCAAATTATATCAAAGTGGCCTCCAAGACGGTGTACACTATCAGAATTTTCTAACAGGTACGATCCAGCTCGCGAAACGCTAATCTGAGGTCGGAACTCTCTTAGTGGTTGCCTTCTAAACTGTACAGTACCAATCAGTCGTCCCTGGCAATAATCACCATACGCTACTTAAGAATGGAGTTGAGTCGAGCCAAGAAGCCGCAGGTAGCAGTCTCATGATCTCGATGAGTCAGTAAAGACGCAAGGAAAAGAAAATCAAAGGTACACGAATTTCAGGGGCGACTGAAAACAGAATAGCCTCAGCCAACCCACCAGAGAAAGCTACCTAAAATTGAGTATCACCTTCTCCACGAGCTTCCAGCCAGGAACAAACCCAGTCAGGAACGGCAAGAAACATCGATCCACCACTATCTCCTTTCCCAAACGAACGTAATCTAGGCCAACTAAAGATCGAGACGGCCTCTCTCCTCAAGCGAGACAAGAACCCAAAATACAGTCACAGAGTTAACCCAACAGATCGGGCCCATAACCATCATCACATCCGGACAACCGGGCCGGCCCAAACATATCTTCGATCTCCCCGCCTTCAGGCCACCAATCCAACCCGGACACCTTTTACTACGAGCTCTTCCGACAAACCCCCCGTTTCTGGGGGCGTTGAACTCGCCCCATTCCATTCTCGAATGCAGCATCACCGTTCAAACGATGCCTGAAGTCGCTTTTCAAAGGAAAAAGGGTCGGGTCGGGTCGGTCCACAAAAAGCTGCCAGTAAGAGTATGCTCACATCGTCTTGCTCAAGCTCCTCACCCACTCTCCTCGCTTTACCCCCAAACCTGGAGAGCAAAACAGAATCCAACAGCGCAGATTTTCTCAAGCAAGACAAATTTTAAATCCTCAACGAAACGAAACGTGACGAACGAGTCTCACTTTCAGATTGTTAGATAATTAGTCCACAGTATGACCTTCGTGGGGGCATGGCTAGGTACACTCTCTCCCCCCCCAACCCAACATCTAAAAGGCCACTACTGCTCGCACTCCTCAATCCCCGCTTAACGCCGAGATAACAATGGAGACACGCTTACCGGGGGGATTGCTTTTCTTTTTTGAACAGCGAGCGCTGTCGTTCAATCAATGATCCGAACCACTCCCCCGGGGTCGGTGATCACTGCCAGCAGGGAAGAAAACGCGGCCGCCAGTGATAAACGGCCAGGAGGCTGGTTAAAGTACTGGTCAGTGGATTGCGAGAGAGACCAAGTGTCACGTCCCTTGGTGTCCGCGCCCAACTAATTAAATGTTGTGTGAGCCACCTCGTTTGGTACATCTTTCCCCCCTCTTTCCTCACCCACTCATGACGTAGTAGCAGCACTAGAGGCCCGTTCTTGAGTAGGGCTCTTCAATGCAGGTCAGGAGAAGGTGTCAAAAAATGATGGCCAAAACAACCACTTGCTTTCTGCTTCTGCTTTCTGCTTCTGCTTTCTGCTTTCTGCTTTCTGCTTCGCCCTCAAGTCCTGAAAGACAGATCCCCAGCCGGAGGGCCTCGAACAAAGTTAAACCCCTTCCATCGAAATACAGAAAAAGAATACAATAACCAACCAACAGGGAGGGCAGCGTATGGTGTGGATGGACGACTGTCCTTGCCGTAGGGGAATATATGATATAAATGGTAGGTTAGGTACAGATAATATTAAGAGTGTTGAGAGTGTGTATCTCGAAGAATAATAGACATCCGATCCAGTCGAAAATCAAAGCCAACGGCGGGTCTTTGACATTAATTAGCAATGAATCTACTTTGATAGGAATCTTGCCCAATACTTCCCTTGCTGGTTTGCTGCAGCCAAAGGAAAAGTAAACGCCGTCAAATGCTTCCAAAGAACAACATGAATAACAAAGATCCACACAAGAGATTTGCTGTACGAGATTTCCCAGCCAGCACATCGGCCCTTACTCCAAACATGTTTTAGCCACCACTCTTCTCCGACTTTTTCATCTTCCAGATCCCTTTCTTGTTGTCACGCTTCTTCTTCATCTCGGCCCAGCCCTGATCGTCGTCTTCCTCATCAGGTGTGAGTGGCTTTCGCCCCAGTCCAGAAGCCGATGGTGAGCGAACTGTGGTATTGGTGTTGCTTGGAGATAATCTGCCCCGCTCGGTATTTTGATGACTCCATGGCTGGAGTGTGCCTGAAGTGAAGGTCGATAATCTCTTATCATTGGGTGCCTTGATCGATTCTGCAATAATCGACACCGGTCTATATCTTGATGCCATGCCGATTGTATTCCTCTCGGATGGAGCAATTGAAGGAGCATAGCCACCTTGTACACCAGCTACGGAGGGCGAATATGAAGAGTTTCGATTCCACTGGTTGGTGGTTCCAGGAGTCAGACTCATGGTCCTCCCGTTCTGACGAGGCGAGTCGGGTAATGGCATGGAAAATGGTCTTGGAATGCCATTTCCCATCTCTCCCGACATCCCCATCAAGTTCGGCATGGCTGGCATTCCGTGCTGTGGCGGCTGAGGCATCTGCCCCATCTGCCCGTTGTGTTGTATCTGGGTCATTTGCTGCATCCATTGCATCTGCATCTGCATCATTTGAGACATGTGTTGAGCCATTTGGATTTGTGCCTGGTCTCCTGGCGATAGAGCTTGAGGTCCCATCATCCCCGGCATTCCCGGTCCCGGGTAGCCGCTCACGGGCGGAACAGCACCCATCGTTTGCGACCTACCCATCATGCCAGGGTGCTGCGCTGGCATGAAACTATCTTGCATGGCTTGTGGATTAGGGCTGCCTCTGCGCATCGCTCTCGCACGCTCTTCACCAGCAATCACGCCAACCAAGCCACTGGGATGGACTTGGCCAGCAGGGGCGCCTCCAAATCCTCCTCCCATTGAAAGTTGTTCTCGATTTGGAGCATTGACCAGACTTGCGCCATAGTAGGGATCCTGTGGCAAATTCCTGGCGAAAACAGGCAGATTGCCTTTGAGCCCTCCTCGCGATTCTCCTGATACAGATGCAGGCGGTGCTGACAGAGGGGTTGATCCTGGCAAGCTCGAATTGGATAGGGACGTCTGAAGGCGGCTGGGTGGTTTGTTCTTGTTGGGAAACCCGTGGGCAGCCAGGATTCCTAATGGGACATCTTCATCTTCTTCATCCGTGCCGCTACTCTTTCCGCTATGACTTGAAACTCCGGTAACAGCTGTCAGACGAGACATGCGACTCAGCTCTGGCGTGCTCATGCTTGTCAATCGCCCGGACTGTGCAGCGTTACTATTCGGACCAGCGGACGATTCGCCTGTGACTTTCATCATGGTCTGCCGGTAGACCGAAAGATGGGCCTCCTGCTTTCTTCTCTGTTGGGCTGCTTGGCGGTCCCGTTCCAGCTCATCATCGTCTTCGTAGTTGTCATTCTCGTCCCCAGAGTCGTCCTTCTGAGATAGGTTGTTCTTCCTACGTGTCTGCTCCTGCTGTTGGCGGTATCTCTCGAATTGGGCGGGGGTCATCACTTTCTTCGCCGGCTTCTCTTGAGCGGGTGCATCGGCCTCGAAGCGCGCCGCTACCCTGAAGCTGTCAATCAATGATGAATCGACAGTACCAGCATTGGGCTGTCTGAAGGAGCTTGGTGGCGCAGCTTTCCTGGGAGCCGTGCGGGATATGTCCGCACGGTTTGATGATGACTTAGAAAAGAGAAGTTCGTCGTTGTCGTCGTTGTCCTCCTTCATACCATTGGGATTCGCAGGCTCCAATTTTCGCGCGGCACCGAAATGGGCAATTTGCTGGAATGAACTGTCCCGACGGGATATCGAGCTTGCTAATAATCTCTCACTTTCGTCTGCAGCAGGCGAAGGGCTTTTAACAAGAGAAGTCCCACCACTCAGGCTACCAGTGTTCGTGTCAGCCTCCCGCAGCGGGCTTGACAGGGGCGACCGGTTCGGCATGCCCTGTAAAGGTGGCAACGCCTTGCGGCGTACCGGTGATGAGGGATTTGGGTGGTTCTGAAATTGAGCCGCGATCGGGGAATCCATCAGTCCATCTCTCGAATCTTGACTGCCGAATGAATATGGAGAAGAAGCTTCTACTCGAGCCCGATCAATGTCTAAGGATGAAGGTAGAGGAGATATTTGTTGTGAAACAGCGGAATCTGCGCCATAAGGTAAAGGGGGAAGATCCTGGTCAACTGTTAGCTTTGCGCGTGGCTCCAGAACACTACGTGCTCACCATTTTGGCCGAGTGATGCGGAGAAATGGAATCCCTGCTGGTCTGGTTGCCAATGCCATCGAAAATGTTCTCAAAGTCCTCCAGGCCAGAATCACCAAAGGCCAATTCTCCATCCAAGAGTTTGGGAGGTGTTGCTGTGCTTGCGGTACTGGCAGTCATGGCCCTTTCCCTTCTGCCAGGAGTAAATGTTGGGGTCTGCGTCACTGGTAGTGAGGGGCGATGAAGAGGCAGAGGTTCCACAGGAACCTCAATTTTCTGCTTGCTGGCAAACGAGAATGTCCGGCCGGCATTTCTTATTGACCAACCTCTCGAGCGTGGCGTTGGAGGTACCGGGATATCCTGGAATGGCCGTTGCGTCGATACGATCGAGTTTGTATGTGAATCATTAGAGATATCGGTAGATGAAGGGATAGTCGACGAAGAACTCAAACGAGCAGAAGATGCTGCGCTGCCGTATGGTGCGGTGGAAGCTGAATTGTTTGTGCCTCCGCTGCCGCTACATGAGAACGTCAGCCAATAAAGATCAAGGATACAAGATGGTAATACCGGTTGCTGGAGTCGTCTTTCTTATCAGGGAAGAGCTCCTCATCAAAATCATTTTCCGTCGCTTCGTACATCCGCACCTGACTTGTTTGTTGTTTCAAATCATTGCTTCCATCCCAGGATTTGTTTCCTCCCGGACGCCTCTCGAAGACTCTGAATGAAGGAGCTGGGGCGTTTGGAACTTCCTCCAACGCATTGCCGGAGGACTTTCTTCGAACGAACGATTTGGGTATTTTAATGGGCATAAGGGTGCAGGGGGGCGGGTCGACCAAAGGTCACTCCTGGTAGTCGGGAGAAGAACAACTATGCCAGCTAGTCGAACGTGCTGATTTCCCTCCTGAAATAATTATATCCTGGAGGTGGCTAGATCGACCTAGGTTTGCTTTGAGAAGCACTGGCAAGGTCAATGCGGTATTGACGAACTTTCTAGGGGTTGGACTGCATGAGACAGCTCGAGTGTCCAGACGGCAGCCTGCAGCCGTATCAATGATTAGTGCGCTATGTACTTCGAAGTCTGCATTGTGTAGCACACTCACCACAACGCTGGCGGACCCACGTGTTAAGCGATGGGACAAAAACACAGGGGAAGACGTAAGCTTCCGCTGAGAGCGAAGTCCGCTCCGTTAATGCCGTTAGTATTCGCGATTGTAATCCAAGTGGTGTAGATATCGCAATTTAGAAAGGAGTGACGAGAAGATGATGGTAGTTGTCCGAATGGCTGGACAAGCTCAAATTGGAGACAAATAATAACGATGGACAACGGACGATGGACGATGGACGATGGACGACGGCGGGTGGACGGTGGTGTTGAGTGAGGTTAATTGGGGGGATTGGCAAACATTTACTTGGAGTTTGGGCTAGGCGGGAATAGGACAAGGCCAATGTTTCATCGGAACTTTGCCCTGCCGCTTCTAAATTCCACTCCCCTTTCACTCTCTCTTCAAGCCTGCTTTGTTGCTGCCCAGCGCGTTCCTTAAGCGATCTTGGACGATGGCAATTTAAACAAGGGGAAATTTCCATCCCAAGGATATCGATAGATAGACACCAACAGGAAACGCAAAGGCGAACATGAGGATGTACGTAAGTGGAAGAGGAGTAAAAGAAGTGGCAGGTAGAAGTGGGATAATCCTATCATCATTGCAGAAATGTCTGCATACGAAGTGCATATAAGTGCAACCATGGATACCATCAGGCACAAATGTCCGCCATTATTGCGTGCATCGAATTTACGTAGTAAGGAGGCTGGGTTCAACCGCGGCACTCGTCACGAACTGCGGCTTGTATTTACCGACATCATGCACATTGGCCAAGGATGAGAGGAGCTGACTGTGTCGTCTGCAGATGGTTGAAACAGTCCAAACCAGAGAAAGGCTGTTTTCGACAACTTGTGCATCATTAGTGACCGCCTACAGCTACCGCCCTAGCAAAGACTCGCTTACTCTGCCTCCCAGCCATGTCAACCAGCGAACTTAAGTTGGTAGTTAAACGATAGACGGCTAATGTACGTCGTAGTGTGTTTGTGGCCCCTTGCTCTTACTCCGGTAAGAAGCACAAGTGTTGGGGGGTTAGAACGAATAGCGGCTAGTACTCAGTACCTTCTCATCATTGTTTCTCCGTGTTCTCAGGACCTTAAGTGACCGATGATGGTTGGCATCGTTTGACTACTAGTAAAGTATCGTGATATCATCTAATTATTTTTGGATCTTGGCTAGATGTACGTACTCGAGTAGTAAGGCAGCTGTCTTCACACGAAGAGACTTGTGTCAACCTACATTACTTATGCCTCCGGCCGCAGGATAAGTACATATTAGGCTGCTACCGAACTGCCGAGGAGCAATGACGGCAAGTTCCAGACTGGGAAGGGATCAGCATTGTGGTAGGCACTATCTCTGGGTACTACGCAGGCATGACTTGTACTCCTATCATGGGTTTTCAAATCTATTCTCCCCTGCGCTCTCTTCATGTCCCCACGCCTTACAAGGAAGTGGTCAAAGACGAAATGGTGTCAAAGGACCGGAGGATATCAAGAGATTTGTCTCCTACGTGTGGACAGACGTAATGTCCCAGTACCTGACCTAACAAGAACGCGCTGAGAGCAGCACCCTTTCGCACATTCGCATGTCGAACACCTAGCAGAAAAACTTGTAAGCTTTCTTCCACACTGGCCACGATGCTCTCTCTGCACGTTCCTCGGCCAACAGATGGCCCAGATCCAAATCACGGCGACCTGTCTTCAAGTCCATCATGTCCACCGTAAGAAACGGCGTCTTGTAATAGATCTTGTAGGGAAGATAAAACAGAAGCACAATTGGTGCAGCCAGATAAGCCTGGAAAAAGTTTTGCACCAATTCGGCAGACGTCATGTCGCTGTAACCAATGGGGGCAAACCCAGTCCAGAACTGAGCGATAAGAACGAGAATATTGAACGCGAATCCAAGCACGCTACCCCAGAAACCCGGCTGCGACCTGAAGGCTAATTCATCGAGACTGTGGCCTTGGTGCTTCCAGGCCTGACGGAATCGGACATGGGCCAAGCAGATGGAGCCCCAGGTGAAGATGGAGGAAAGACCGGAAAGGGCCAACATCCAGGTAAAGGCATCTCCCTGTCTGTCAGATGCTCCGATGTACGATAAATATCCAATGGCCGATGCAATTATGATTGCGAAGAGTGGTCGCCCCTTCCGATCAATATAGGCGAGGAAACGAGGAGCTTGTCTCTGCTCAGCTAACGCGGCTAATGTCCGTGTGGAACCGTAAACGGATGAGTTACCAACAGAAAGCACAGCAATCATGATCACCACGTTCATGACTGACGGCAAGCCTGAAATTCCCGCCTCTTCGATCGAGATGACAAATGGAGAGGCCCTTGCATCAGCAGAGCTACTTCCACTAAGTAGCCGATCGTTGTCGTATCTGACCAGTAAACCAACGAGGGTAAGTGAGACGATGTAGAAGAGGAGGATTCGCCAGAACACCTGTTTGATGGCAGTCGGTAGGGACTTGCGAGGATTCGCTGTTTCTGCAGCGGCAAGACCAACAAGCTCGGTACCGGCGAAAGCGAAGGCGGCCGTGACGAAGACACTGCACAATCCTTTGAATCCGTTGTTGAAGGCACCGGGGTCAGCCCATTTTGCGCCTCCGACGTAGGTACCATTCGGGCCTCCACCACAAACAAGAATGATACCAAGAATGCTGTGTCCGAGTTAGACCATTCGTTCTCGGGGAATTCGGAAAGCAGACTCACATATAACCTGTGACTGCGATCACCTTGACTATTGAGAAAACAAACTCGGCTTCGCCGTAACCCTTAACGCCGAAAAAGTTGATAGCGACGATCAGGTGTAGAAATATGGTAATCCACACCGCGTTGTTGACGCCATCGTTCCAGTAATCTAACGTAATGGAAGCTGCAACGATCTCCAAAGGAAGCACTATAAGCCACTGCATGGCATAATTCCAACCCATGGCAAAGCCCCATGCTGGATCGAGGAAGCGGGTCGAGTATGCGGAGAAGGAGCCAGCAACTGGGAACAAGACTGCTAGCTCACCCAGAGCATGAACAGTGCAATACAGCATGCAACCGATCAAGCCAAAAGCGATGAGGAGGGAAGCTGGGCCGCCAGTAGCCAAAGCCCTTCCGGAGCCGACAAACAAGCCAGTACCTGATCACACCAGTCAGAATTGAACGAGATGGAGCGGGTCGCAGAGGTGGTACCAATAGAACCGCCAATCGCAATCATTTGCAGATGTCTTCCCTTGAGCCTCCGCGACAGAGGTGAAGCTGCGGTAGCTGCCGCCGCGCCCTCCACATCGAAGACCTTGCCATCTGCGCCGACAGCGCCTGGCTTTGTGACTGTGGCATTTGGGTCGCGCTGGAAGCTGTCCCACATACGAGTCTTGAAGGACCGCTTGGCTGGTCTCGAGTCGCCTTCATAGGCAGCAGGCGGAGGTGAGTCCGAGGAGGGGCTTGCCTTTCCTTGATACTTTTCCTCCATATTGTCCGACTAGAGGGGTATGAAGTGACGAGGCAAGCTCTGAAGGATGTTGAGAAGAAGGAAAAGGGCCTTCAGTGAGGAGCAATGGGCATAGATAGGTGGTAAATAGACTAGAGCCACCCGCCAAGCACGGGACATAGACTGTTTTACTCGAATTTGGGGGGGCAGCATTGATAAAGAGCTGGAGCAGTCTGGCGGCCCCGCCGCGAAGGAGGAGACCGACTGGACGAAAGATAGCAAGCGGCAATATAATCCCTGCTACATATGGCATAGCTCATCAAAGGATCGCCTCTGTCTCGCGTGTTTTGCTTAAGAGCATCAAGCGTTGTTACCCCAGATCCATGCTCGTTGGCTATTCACATCCCCCGCCACCCTTAAAGCCGAAGAGATATGGCCTAAACTAGCAGGGAATTCGGAAGTCTGCACTCTTATCCAGCGCCCAAACCTGGGGCAGGCTGGCCTGATTGCCATCGCATCTACTCCGTATTAACTTAAATATCGATGACTTCTCCATTTCATCAGGTCACCCAGCCCATGTTGCAATGAATCTTAGGTCGCCTTCACGCTCTGGAAATATGTTTGAACGGGGCAGATTTCCTCTACACCGGACCGCACACGCCTGGATGGAACCGGCAATCTGCCTCGTGAGGTTTCCAAACCGGATTGACTTGCCTTCCTACTCGTACTCTGCTGAGTGATTCACCTCGGCTGCACCACCATTCGTGATATGACATGCCGAGGTTGGCAGGTGGCAAGACTTCTGGCGTCGTCGGAGGATATTACTACTCGTTACATAAATATTGGCAAGACAACATTATTCCTCCGTCCTACGTAGCATTTACGTAGCACAACGATAGCCGAATCTAGCAGAGCTGGAGCAAATCACAGGTCTTGCGTCTGCTAATGCCAATTTATGCTGACGGCCATGTGCTCCCGATCGAGGTTGGCTCAAAGTTTTCAAAGTTTTGATTCTGGGGGGGGGGTTGTTCTTAGCATGCATCAGTGCCGGTGGCAGGGTGCTATCTTTGGCCTAGGAGAGGGTGGGTGGCGGATACACGATGGGCTCTAAGGCCCTAACCACCAGCACGAGACCAAACCACTGCTGCCACTCTTGGTCTTTCAACCTTCTATCTTATCAGGAACAGGGCGACATGCACGAAGTAACAGAGATCGCAACTGAAAAGGGTATAAAATCCGGCGTATTAGTAGACGCTACTTTTCGCACCCTTTTTCGCACTTTTAACTCAACCTATCATGGTATGTATTGATTAGGTTGCGATCCAATTCTGCCCTTTTCCAACCCCCGAGGTTGTCACAGCGCCTCCTCTTCTTCATGCGTCCCTGACATGCCACTTGATTTACGGCTCTTAACCATCTGAGAAGAACTTATATCAGCCAGCTATAAAGATGTATCATCATTATGGCTTCCCTAATCTTCTCTTACTCTCAATCTTACTGGACTCATGTCTATCAATTTCCCAATTTATTTGAATTTGGCCTCTCGCCATCGGATTACTGTAAGCATGGATGTCTAAAGGGAGAACCCATGCTCCTTTCATACAGCGGATGGAGGAACGGCTCTGCAATACCGTGCGCCCCATTACGCACCCGGCACTGTCTCAGGATTTTAAGTGTGCCAATTCACCCTGCTCGCTTCAGTCATTTGACCACATGGCCTCCCTTGCCCAATGTCTGAGTAGCACAGCCAGACGGAACCGTTGTCGGTGTCCTACCATCTACACTTGGAGTGCATATGCCGACGCCCACTTTGAACAATGCGACGATATCGAAATCCAGATCTTCGACCCCGGCCAGCTTTCTATTCCGCTACCATTATCCTACATATCCAACCCGGTGGGTATTACACCTCCTATCTATTCTTAAGCCTTCTGGCGCATCACTGCCGCCTGTTTCCAAATCTGGTATTACTCTCTTCCATTATCTACCGATATGGTACGCGACCACCGAAGTCTGTCAAGTGACGAGTGAAAATCTCTCTTTCTAATATAAACTTTGGACTGAAAAAGTTGGAAGGTTCCTGATCGAAGGAAATCTTGACACCAGCGTCGAGTCCTGCAAGCAAAGTCGAGGCGCTATCATGTCCGACGACAAAGGAATCAGGCTTTCACTCTAGCTCAGGGGTTGGCATATGCTCCATGGTCTCGTTGGGATCACTGCCACACCTTCGAATTACGTGCCCGAGACGGGTGACTCCTGGTACTGGCAGATACAGGCTTAGAAAGGGTGCCTATCGCTTGCGTGGTGTGTGTGGTAGGACAAGGACATACCAATCTCAACCGTTGTCATGGCTCTGAGTAGTAGTACCTGTAAGCAGCTTCGGGACATCCGCTCCAAGTCCTGCAGCTTATCATATAGCTTCATCAACAAGTACGCCTCGATGCCTAAAGCCTCAAGGGTGTGCTAGAATTCAAACAGCTAGTAGCCCGACCCAGCACACGTAGCACTGAAGCAAGTCGGAGCAAGCATCTGTAGCAAGAGCTTTTGAGCTGGACAGCATTGGAGATGAAGGATCGATTTTGTCGTCTCGATGCTGATATCGAGAACTTCTATCAAGCACCATTTCGAAAATTTGAAAGATGGACTCATGCGAGCTTGAATCGAGAAGTGTTCTTATCTAGAGTTCACGAACAATGCATCTCGAATGAAGTCATGGCTCCTACCAGTTCCGACTCCGATTTTCGATCTCGACTCTACTGTTCAGTGTGAGTAGCTTATTATATCTGCGGCATACCGATCGCTTGATTGATTGGGTGGGATAGACGGATCTGCGATTCTACGAGATGGCGCATATTGAGATGAGGGGTTGGTCGAATCCATGTAAGGCAAACACGAAGAAGGAAGAAGGAAGAAGGAAGAAAGGATGGAAGGATGGAAGAAGGAAGGAAGAAAAGAGGCAAGGGGAGATACTAAGGAGTTGGGTTGCATCCCTTGACTTCTTCATTAGTTGGTCCCAAGACCGACTTTTATCCCTGACTGTACGGAGCTAAGGCTTAAATCGACTCCTGCCTATAGCGTACTTACTCAAATTCACCATGCTCATGTTGCCCAAAATATCAAAGACGGCCACATCCGCCCCAATCTTCTTATCGAACCAGTTTCGCAGCTCCACCGCCACCAGTGAGTTCACCCCGTTCGCATGCACCGGCTTTTGGACATCCATCTCCCCAGCGGGCGTGCCCAGAATCTGTGACAATTTGGTGACAAGCCAGTCGGTGACTTGCTCCCCCGCTGCCTCCACCGACACGCACTGCTTGAGGACGGTGGCAAAGTCCGTCGTCTGCTTCTGGCTATCTGACCCGGCCACGTTGCCGCCGCCGCCGCCAATCAGCCGGAAGTGGCGGAAGAGCGGGCGCTGCATCCAGTGCGGGGTCTCGAGGCCTTTGGCTTCCATGGCGGCCGGGTGCTCGATGCCAACGATTATCTGGGACTCGGACGGTGGGAGAAGCGGCAGGGCCGGGGCGCAGTAGTAGTCTAGGAGGGCCAGGAACTCGGCGTGGGTGATTTCCATGAAGTAGCCCATGCGCCGGAGCGAGTCGAGCATCCCTTCTGTTTCTGCAACGACCCCTTCCGAGACCATCATGCCGAGATCAATAGAGACGGACTTTTCGCCCATGGCTGTTCGATAACGTGCCAAGGCGTCCTTGTAGGTATTTCCCGCGGAGTAGTTGGCTTGACTTGTTGCGCCGAGGATGCCGCCAATAGATGAGAGGAGGACGAAGAAGTCCATGCCATTAGGCAGCATCGAATGCAGATTCCACGATCCAACCACTTTGGGGCGCGTGCCGGTGGCGAAGTCGTCATAGGACATGTTATCGAATATGGCATCCTGCGACCTTAATTAGAGTAGCTCTGCAGACGTACAGTAGAAAAGCATACCCGGAGAACCATCGTGCACTGGATGCACCCACGAATCGGTGGCAGAGTCTGGGTGCATTCTGCGAGCACCTTTTTCAGGGACTCTGCTTGGGTAATATCGCACACCGGTGCTTCTACCCGAGCGCCCAGAGCGGCGACTTCACCCACAAGCTTCTTAGCAGAGTCACTGCGAGCCCCTGAACGAGAGAGGATGATCAAGTTTCGAGCTCCGCGGTCGACCATCCAGCGCGAGACACTGCGGCCCAATCCACCAAAGCCACCGGCAATCACATACGTCACGTTGGGATCAAAGTGGTAGGATGGCTTGTTCGCAACGAGGGCCTTGCACAGAGAGGTCAGCGTTTGAAGGTTGGGTTGCTGTATGGGAGACTTACAGTGACTGACTGCTTTGGGCTCAGGTCAATGACGACTTTGCCCATATTCTGAGCGTTCTGGAAAGATTGCAGCGCGTGTTCAAGATCGTCGGCTTGGAAAACTTTCAGCGGCTTCGCTGGTTGGATAACACCACTCTGGATCAATGAAGACGTCTGCTTGAACAGCTTCTGGAGCAACAAAGGGCGCTGACGTTGCATTTCGCAAAGATCTAAAGCAGTGTACGTGATGCATTTAGACGCTGCCCGTCGAGTCACCTTCGCGGATACCGCATCTGTGGCGAGTCCCAGATCAATCAATCGACCAAACGGAGCCAAGGCTTCTAGAGAGGAGTCGAAGTCATCGCCGGGCTCAAAATTCAGAACGACGTCCACACCGCGATAAGCAGTAACTTGCAAAATAGACTGTACCAAATGAGGATTCTTACTTGACAGAATATTGTGAAGGGGAAGATTGTAAGCCGCCCTTAACATCTCTGTTTTCTCCTCCGTACTCGTAGTAGCAATAACCTTGGCGCCGATGTGCCGTGCAATTTGGATTGCTGCTTGCCCAACCGCACCAGCCGCATGGTGTATTAGAACGACTTCACCCTCGAGGAGAGTTGCAACATTGACGAGAGCATGGAATGATATTAAGGTCGAGGTTGGTAGAGCCGCAGCATCACAGAATGACATCGATGGTGGAAAATATGCCGCGCACGACGCCCTGCATTTCAGCAACGTTCTGCACGCGCCAGGGCAGCTAACAAAAACCTTGTCACCAGGAGCGAATCCACTTTCTAGGCCAGCCTTCTTGATGACACCAGCACACTCGGAGAAAATTCTTTTGTCGTTCAGCTGCCCTGAGGCTATCTGATGATCTCGAGAGGTAATACCGGCAGCTCGAACTTCGATGACGACCTCATCAGATTCAAGTAGCTCGTCCTTGTCTGTGACTTCCTCGTAGACGATGCTGCTGATCATCCCAGGTCGCTTCAAGGTCGCTTTGAGAGGAACATGGTGATCCAGCTGCAGCGTTCGTTCTTGGTGCGAAGCTACGTTGGCCCCAATGAGCTTGTTCATACGCTGTGACTGTATGACTCGATTGATGTAGAGCACGCCATCTCTCTCCTCATATTCGGGCTCCATGTCATCCAAGGATGACTGCAGTGCATGCTTTATTACAGTAGACACAGCTGTGGGGCCATCCAGGCCTGTCTGGTAGTCGTCGTTGATGGTTAAACGACTGAACCTCAGCTTGGCGTTCTCGGACCGGAGGACGCGCGAAAGGCCATCTACCAAATGAAATTCTGGTCTGCGCGGCTTATGGGTATCTCTCACCACCCATACTATGTCTTTCGTCAACGACAATACCCCTTTGAGGAGGTCGAAGTCATCTCGGCCAAGAGTTGTAAGGAAGGAATCGTTGTATTCGACAAGGAAGACACAAAACGATCCACTTATAGCCCGATTCGATACAGCCTCGGCAAAGCTATAAATCATCGCCCGACAGTTCGGAACTGTCTCCAGCTGTTCTTTAAGGCGCTTGGCAAAATTCAATTGGGCTACTACAGAATTTGCGCCAATGACGATAGCCATCTCGGGAAATTTTAAGGCCTCCGGATCAGTCTGACCTGATGCCGTTGTAACAAGGATGCTCGTCTCGTGGCATTCAGGATCTTCAAAATCCCGAATCGAGAAGTCTATGCCGGTGAAACCATTATGGGTGAGAGACTTTGACAAGTCGTCCTCCAACCGATAAGGACTGAACGAGCCCGCCGAATCAGGATTGGTAGCTGACCACCAGCCAGGCAGGAGACCAAAGGCGAAATTCGTCCTCACATGATGTTGAACTGTGATTCCAAACAAGACTAGCTTGCCACCCCTATGTATTTCAGCACAATTCGTCATCGAATGTATTCACGTACGTTTTGAGAAGCCTCCTTATGTTCCGGAGCGCTTGCGTCAGATCAGAAGTCATATGAAGCACCTACAGTGGCAACAGTTAGCCCGGGAAAGAAACGTAGAGAAAGGAATACTCACATGCACCGCGACCACTAGATCATAAGAGAATTCCTCAAATCCTTGCGCTGCAGGTCCACTTGTGATATCCAGTATTTGGAAATGAATACGATGGCCGAAGCCAACGAGCTTCTCTTGGGCTTTAACTAGGAGGTCTGACGAAATATCGGTATAGTCATAGCGCAGCCATTGAGGATGTCCGTGAGCAGACAGGATGTTTGCGCATGTTAGAGTCGCATTTCCTCCATTTGCCCCAATCTCCAAGACTTTCATCGATGGGTTCTTGTAAGCGAGATTAGACAGAAAGACTTCAAATGGCTTCAGTGTATGCTGGCTTGCAAATTGATCATCGAAATAAGCGTTAACTAGCTCTCCACCGGATACCAGATCTTGCGGATCAGTTGCCCCAAGGATAAGGTGCAAAACATTCCGCCCTATAGTCACATAGAACTTGCCGATACCATTCGCGGTTTCTATTGCTTCCTCAAGGCCGGTTCTGTATTCCACCGACTCATATATTTTTAGCCATTCTGTCTGGGGGTTGGAGGGCTCTTCATTGTGAAAATGTCTAAGTTGTTGCCCCATCCATTCGATGTATTGTGTAATATGCGGTGTAATCGCTTCAACCGGGAATTGGCGCAAGGCCTCCAGTGTCTCTGTAATGTAATACCGTATTAGTAGTGAAAGTCGTCGATAGAAATGCACGGACGAATCGTCCTTAGGTCTTGCTTGTTCACAAAGTTGGGCTATTTGCTCATTGGTCAACAAGGAAATATCTGGCCGCCATACCATGTGACTCAATAAGGGCCTCTCTATAGCATCTAGATGCGGCAAAGCGCCTGAATAGGACACGAACGTGGTTTGATATCCTTCCATCACCGAAAACAACTCATTGCTGCCAGGTAATACAGCAATGACCGTAGATTCGGTTCCGCGGTACCCCTCGAAGCTCGATCTTGTAGTTGCCAGAAGGTGGGGCATCGAAGAAAACAAACTGTTGTTTGTATATACCAAAAGTTTTCTTATGTAGGAAGGTACCATGGTCGGAAGATCTTGGGTACCACCTCTGTTGAGCGCAGGGAAGACCAGTTGCATGAGACCGTCCAGAGCTGAAGGGTGTATGGTGTATGCCTCGACGTCGAGAGTTTTTGATCTGTCCCTAGAGCTACTTGGGAATGCTCGAATATCGGCGACAGCAGCTCCGGTCTTGCTAAACCGCACACGATCTAATGTCCGGAAAGTTGGTCCATAGTTGACACCATTGTCCCGTATGACATTGTAAAGTTGTTCCGTGCTAGCTTCTTCATTGCATGCTTCGATCACGCATGACAACTCCTGATGAAATGCTGAAGTAGGAGTCGAGGACACCTTTTCTGGATCCTCATTGCCGGTCTGCCGTTCACATTCAACTCTGATCTTGCCGTGGCAGTGCTCGACCCATTCTGAGCTGAACGAAAAAACTCTGAACTTATACCACGGCGCCGGACCCGCTTCTCTGTTCTTGGTGGTGGACAGAGACACTTGAGTTTCAACACCATTGCTACTGTCTGGAACTTGCAAGGCGTTGAGGAAGTATACGTCGCGTAAATCAAACTCAGCCACTTTGGTGCCACAGGCCGAAAGCTGTTTCACACCTTCGATAGCCATGGCCAGCATGGCTGCCCCTGGAAGTAGGCACTCCCCACTGATCTTCCTTGTTGTTAGTCCACAGAGCTTTACCGACAGGAGGCACCCCTTACTTGATGATCCTGCAACCATTGAAGCTTCTCTGAGCTAATGAAGTTGCGCCAACGCGCTTCAAAGGAATTTGAACTCGCAATCAAGCTTCCCAGCAGTTCGTGCCTGGCGTGCGATCGAAACCTAAATGCAGCGCTTGTTCTATCTTCGAACCAATGCTTCTGTGAGTGGTTAAATTGGTACTCTGGTAAATCAGTCATAACAGCTCGTTGCTTATCGCCAAGACCATTAGCTTTGAGCATGTCAATAGGGTGCCCTCGAGCCCACAGACGTCCAATGGCTTCCAGGATGCTTTTCGCCGCATCTTTTCGTCGGTGTAATGCCGAAAAGTAGCTTATACGATGCTCCGTACCAGTTTCTGCTAGGATCTCTTGCAGCGGGCGTTGGAGGGTCGAGTGTGGCCCTATCTCCATGAGCTCCTTGATGCCCGACAACGACTGTGACTTTGCGCCAAGATGTTTTCGAGCCGCTTTGCCCGATTGAACGCAAAGGAGTGATATAGCAGGGGCGAATTTGACCTGAGAGATCAGGTTATTCACCCAGTATTCAGAGTCACACAGCACACTTGGAGGAATAATGGTCCCAGTGACACTCGATATCATTGGCACTGAAGTATCCTTGCAGGGTTTCCTACCAAGATCCCTCAAGCTTTCGGAGTAGTCGGCCTTTATGGCGTCCATAAAAGTAGAATGATACGCGACATCGACGGGAAGCTTGTGAGCCAGATGTTGACTGTCCTTTAGCCATGAGTCAATGAGCTCGAGTTGATTTCTGTCGCCGGTTAGTGTGATGCTCTTTGGACTGTTGACACAACCAATCTGGACCTTGATTGTTGTAACATGGTCCTTTAGCCTGGTCAGGAATGGCTGAATATCGTCCTCACTCAAAGCCACAGCTAGCATTGCTTGGGAGGTCTGGTGCAATCTTGACAACCGTGCGGCCAAGCGCCCGCGATGAAACGCAAGCCTCATTGCTGTCTTGTCGCTTATTGCCCCTGCACAGTAACTGTTGCTATCAGTGGAGAATCTGTTACAGAAGTTGCCTGCACTTACGCAGCTGCTATTTCACCTGAAGAATGGCCCACCACAGCAGCCGGGACAACTCCAAATGTCCTGAGTAAGTCAACGATCGCAATTTGAAGCGCTGTTGAGAACGCCTGGCTATATTCCGGATCGTTAACGGTAGTGGCGGAATCGAATAGCAATTCTGAATGCGTTTAGCATTTCGAAGACATTGTGTCATGCCCTTGGTCACTTACCCTGGAGTGACCATCCACAACCTAAGTCATACAGGATCTGCTCGAGCCGAGCAAAGCGATCTCTGAAGAAAGCAAATGCGAGGAGCCCATTGCCCATTCTCGCGTATTGAGCACCTTGCCCAGTGAACACAAAAGCGATGGTCCCCGGCTCGCTTGAAGCTCTGATTGGTTTGGAGTGGGACCGTTCCAACGACTCGAGATCACGAGCGGATGTCGCAACGACGTAAGAACGCCAGGTATGTAGCGTACGCTTAGCTGCTAGAGTATAGACCATATCATCGAATGACGAATCCAGAGCACTTGGCCCTCGCTGTTTGAGAAACTGACTGTACGTGCCAAGCATATTCTTGATTCCAGCCTCATCAGCAGCGGACCAAATCAATACTCTTGGGATTGGTGGGTATTGACTTTGAGAAGCAAGCTGAATCGAGGACAGGTCTCCGTTTACTGCTCGCACGTGTCTCTCGGGAACTTGTCTTATGCTCTCGAGAGCCCCAGTTACCCCGCGGGCTTTTCCCTCTGCATTTTTATGATTCAATTTAGGGAAGGCGGTTGGTGGCTTCAGACGTATGTCTAAAGTCCGATGGTGGCCGTCGAGTCTGTGCTGTTCCAGATAATGCAATGCGTCGTCGACTATCACGACGGCGTTGGAGCCACCAAAACCAAATGAGTTGATCTTCTCCAGAGTCAGTACCCAGTGTTCCGGCAGACAGATGTCGACCTACACAAGCACGACGCAAACCGGGATCTGGCCATTGCATGGGTTGGGTGGGAAACTGGAGAAGCAGCGTGGTCAGCTATGTGCTTGTCAGAGGCTTTGGTATATGGCCTTACACAGATTCGAAGATGCCGAGTATCAATCATGGGATTAATCTTCTCGAGCCCAGTGTTGGGGAGGATGAGCCCTCTCTCCAGTGTCAAGATTGTCTTAATTAGGCCAGCTATCCCGCTACCTCCTTCCAGATGGCCGATGTTAGATTTTACAGCACCAACAAACAAGGGCTCTTCCTCAGAACGAAATGATCGAAAAGAATTTCCAATCGCCTTGGCTTCGGTCGGGTCACCAATTGCCGTCCCGGTTCCATGTGCCTCGAAGAATCTGACTGGACCCATTTCAAGTTTCGCTTTTGTAAAAGTATCTTGGATCAATGACTGTTGAGCCGCTCCGCTAGGCTGTGTAATTCCACCCGTTGTTCTGCCATCCTGATTTAAGCCAGTAGCTCGTATGACAGCTCTTATAGTGTCTCCATCTTTCAGCGCGTCCGATAGCTTCTTCAGTATCACAACGCCGAACCCATCGCCCCTGGCATAACCATTGGCTCTGTGATCGAAACTCCAACATCGGCTATCGGGAGATAAAAAACTCATATTCGACATTATAAGCATGAAGTTGGGGTGAAAGATGAGATTGCAACCGCCAACAAGAGCCTAAGGAGCGTAAGTTGAGCGGTACTGCAGAAGACTCCCGGTATCATACCATGCGAGAGGTACCATTCTGTAGATCCTGACAGGCAATATGCAGAGCGCTTAAGCTGCTAGAACAAGCGGAGTCCAGATTCATACTTGGGCCGCGGAAATCGAAAAACCAGCTAATGCGGTTTGCCAACATCGATCCTGACAAGCCCGTCGCTGCATACTGGGGAAGTTGCTCGGGATCCTGCAACAAAATGCTTTTGTAGTCATCCGTGAAAGTTGCAGTGTAAACAGATGTTTTACTGCCCGAGCACTTATCGATCGTGAGACCCGCTACACAGTATGAACCACCCGACCGTCCAAGCTGCCGAGTGCTCACTTACCATTCTCCAAGGCCCGATAAGACGTCTCCAACATTATTCGCTGCTGAGGATCCATGGCGGCGGCTTCGGCAGGTGTGACGGAGAAGAAGGTGGCATCGAATGCGCCTAGGTCCTCCTTTAAAAAGTGGCCACCTCGGAGAGGAAGCTAGAGGGATCGGTCAGTAAGGAACAGCCAGCATCTTGGGCGTACTCTTAGACAAGAGTAACCCAATGACCACAATACTTACCGTGCCAGGACCTGGGCTGTCACAATCATAGAACGCCTCTATGTTGAACCTGTCCTGCGGAAACTCGGTCATTGCGCATCGCCCTTCGTAGAGCATCTCCCAGAAAGAATCGGCCGATGTAGCTTCTTGGGGAAACTTGAGGGACAACCCAACGACAGCGATGGGCTCGGCCATGGTGTGCTCTGCATCATGCTTAGAACCATTGATCTCGCGCTTTGGAGTTTGGCTAGTCCGCTCTCCCACGTCATTCACGGCATGGCTGGCGCTGTTCTGAAAGTGTCCGATGGTCATAGCGATAGACCGGACAGCGTTCTCGCGATATCATGTACTCTCGAGGTAGACCGAGTCCATCAGTGATAACGGGCCAGACGAAGCAAAGCACCAAAGAGTAAGACTTGACATAGTTTACGGAACAGGCACCAGCACAATCGGACATGTCCTCTCTACACGGCCATGTTGGGACGGACGCGGTGTTTCACGGTGTTAAATCGGCCGAGATTTGTGATTTAGTACACTTGAGGAGTCAATTTTTCGAATAAATTGGTACAACCATACGGAGCGATTTCATTTAAGATTCTAATTATAAATAGTTAAATGAGTCAAGAACCTTCAACCAGTTTTATACATATTCTTGTTACAGAGACATGAATTATTATACTTTTGAACTGACTCGTATGTATCGTCCATCGTCAGTATCTATTACAAGAGCATTTCTATGCTGACAAACACTGCCGAAAGCTAGTGGTGCTAGTCAAAAGGACCAACTAGTAAGTAGTAGCACTATCACTAGTATTCTAGCCCAGCCACAATCAGGGATCTTGGCAGGTTGTTTGATGTTGGGAGAGCTTTACTAGCAGTCAATGACAATATGTGAGCCTCATATATAGTGGGGTTGGTTGTAATGGGTTCTGTTGTGATAGTTCTCAATGTAACAAGTGTATTTCTTTATCCCTTACTCCGACCACGTACGTGCTAGAGGATGTGGTCACAGGCGCAACCATGCTTACTGCGTGTCCCAGGCATGAATATTGTAGCTTGGCGCTGTATCTGGACTTCAACAAGGCAGCTGGTAGACGAGGAGCGCTAGACTTATAACGTTGTAGCTGTACCTTATCAAGTCGATTTTGTGGATGTCAACGGGAAAAGCTTCTGGAAAGTGTGATGGCGATCCACTAAATTTTAGTTGTTCTTAGCATCGAGCTACGGATACTCATTCCTGATACCGGATAGTATGACGCGTATCGCGGGGCTATATCACGGACATCATGCCACCGGGAAGGTGAGTCACCATGGCGTTTCTAGTCGAATTGGTCAACAACCCTGTCGTTGAGCCTTCCCTCCTGCGCACAAGTATAATCGACTACTCCTTTGCACAGCCCTCGTCCAGGATGCCAACCTTTGGTCTTAGAACAAGGTAGTTATTTAGGGATGCCGAGCCCTCCCTATTCGAACAAATATGCGTTTCCTCTGTTTGCATGGCCTGGGAACCAATACTGATGTACGTATCTGCGCTGAGTCAGTGTCCCAGCAATTGATTGCGAGCGCGGCTGATTCAACTCATGGAGGTTAGGTCCTCAAGGCTCAAACGGGTATGTGGGAACACACCAGAATAGGAAAAATTCGTTGGGGGCCCAGCATGCTAAGATGGGAGTTGCATAGCATCGCTCCGTTATCGTCTGGGCGATGACGAGCATGAATACGACTTTGTGGACGGCTCGCTGCCTTGGCCGCCGGCGCCTGGCATCCAGGAGGTCTTCGGCAAGCACGTGGACTGCTACTCCTATTTCGATGGTGAGGGGCGCTCTGCCTCCAGCATTCTGGACGCAGTAACCGACTTAGCGGATTATGTTACATCGAATGGACCATATGATGGAGTCATTGGCTTCTCGCAGGGTGCGGTCTTGGCAGCAACCCTTATTATCGCTGTCGAGTCAAACTTGACTATCAGAACAGCGGACACGGCTGTCGGACCATTGGGTCGCAGCCCACCCTTCCAGTGTGCTATTTTCCTGTGTGGTGGGCTTCCCTTCGATGTGTCTGCTTTGCAAGAGGGTACAGTCGTCCAGCTCACTCCACAGCCGGATAAAAAAGCTCTGATGCATCTCCCTGTGGTCAACTGCTGGGCGCACAACGACATGGACTATCCCGGGATGGGCCCACCACTGTCACAGCTCTGCTCGGCAGCGGATAATCTGGAAGTAGTGCATAGCGCTGGGCATGGCGTGCCCTCGGAAGGACCAGACCTGGAGAGATTGCTTGTAGCTGTTACTGCAATCCTAAACCGCGTGTCGAAAGGGGAATAAAGCCCGAGACAGGGTGAACTACGTACTACTACAGTATCAGGCGGAATTTTTGTATCCCCCTGGGTGAGAACGCTAGTATTCGTAAATAACTCACTACACCCAATTGAGTATAAACGTCCACCCATTGTCTCTGAATTTGAGTTTGCATTCCCTTGGCATCTATAACTGCTTGATATCTTGCCTGCATCGACTGAAGCAGCTCCTTAAGATTATCAGAAGGTACAGCATTTCACGCAGCTCTGACAGCTAGTCATAGCTTGTAGAACGTGCAGAACGCGTGGAATTCGCAAGATATTCGTATGACACGTGCAGGATGAGCGTGCCGAAATAGCGACAGGGATTCTGATAAGGATGTGTATGTAAAGAGGGCGTTCAGTAAGAAATTATGACTAGAGGGGATACCAAGAAGTCGGCTTGATACCGTAGTACGGTATCATGTTGAAGTATTTGTCCCTCAAAACAGCTACTTTACATAACTATTAAGAAGACCATGAGTTAGCTGTACTGAAATAAGCCAATCCTGTGGGTACTGACAAGAGAGCTTCGAGAAAATGTGGTGGCAGCGTAAATGTTACTAGGCATGCTTAACACCGTGCTACGGTGTAGGGCCTTGGCGCCTAGAGAGCTATTCGTCCGCACTTTTGCATCTTAAATTTCTAGTTAGCTACACACCACCAATTGAGATTTAGAGTCATAGCGCTCCAACGGATACTTCTGTCTACTATGATAGTAGTACACGTACCACGTAGTACAGGTCAGTGCATAAATACTGTTAGTCTGGCGCTAGCCGCTTGACAGATTATCTAATGATTTTACGTACCTCAATTCCTTCACCAAAAAGATCTCAAATCAGTTGACCTAAGAAGCGTCAACAGATTTCTATATTTATCAAAGCTTTCTTGCTAACTAGCCGGTTCATTTAATCAGATTTATTATTTTCACAAATATAGCAGTACACCAATGTCAACGAGACAGAGTCAAAGCCAGTCAGGGTATGTGGCACTGTATCACAACTAACCCCTACTAGGACCAGCCCCGCAATATTTCCATCCTAAGGCCGACTTGCTTTTGATCCCGATCCGCTTCGGTTTTCTATTGGTGTCATACCATGCACGTGTGATAACGGCGCGTAAACGGGGCTCGGAGCTCATACCTCCCACTCCAGTGCTCCGAAATCAGCACATTGGAATGGCTTGTTTACATATATGGGAGTGCGCTGTATCAGCCTCGCCGCATCCAAACTCGATCCATCGTCTTGAACAATGGCTCAGGTAAGGCCACTTGAAGTGCCCGTAGTGGCGTCACGGGCCGTCCCACTCATCACGGTGTCAACGGTTCTTCAGACTTTGGCCTCTATCACCGTCCTCCTTCGTTTTCTCTCGAAGCGCGCAAATCGGAGTATCGGCTTGGATGACTGGGTCGCCTTGGTTGCGCTGGTCTTTTCATTCGGACTGTACATCACCGGCATCTTGATTTGTACGGTTGGCTTCGCAGGCTTTCACATGGATATCCTCTTGCCGAATCAAATTGAAAAATTCCTCCTGGTATTTGGAGCCGAGTTTGCCAAAATTGGAAAGCAAAAATCAGACTCACAGTATTGCAGTTTGTCTATGTCGACAACATCTTCTACGCCCTAACCTTACCCACAATCAAGTTCTCGATCCTTCTCATGTACAGCCGCATCTTCCGCGTCAAGCCATTTCAATATGTAGCGGCTGCGGTCGGTCTCATTGTCGCGGGCTGGATGATTGGCGTTGTCTTCGCACAGATCTTCACCTGCACGCCAGTGGAGGGAGCTTGGAAGATCACTGTCGCGCGGCATTGCATCGACCAGATAAAATTCTACTATGGCAACGCCATCGCCAATCTGCTGACAGACGTCATCATTCTCTGTCTGCCCCTTCCGTTGATTTGGCGTTTGAATATGAGTACCCGCAAAAAGCGTGCTCTTTCAGGAGTTTTCTTGCTCGGGGGCTTGTATGACTCGCCTCCTTATAGATTTTCCGGCGCTGATTTGATTCCTACAGCGTTTGTATAAGCAGCCTCCTCCGTATCGTGAGTTTGCGCGACATAGACAACAACGACATTACCTGTAAGATCTCTCATCACCTGTTTACTTCTCACTAAGCCCGAGGCAGACACATTGGTGACTACCGGCGTCTGGACGTCGACTGAAACACCGTTGGCCATCGTCTGCGCCTGTCTTCCTACCCTGCCGGCATACTTCAAGTCCTGGCACCAGAAAATGTCCCTGAACCGAAGCAAAGGCACCGAAGACGCTTCCTCCCGGCGTTCCTTACGAACCCAACAACCTCAGCAGTGGACAGAAGACCATGAGGAGCTCGGAGGAAATATCACGCCACTGAGCAACCTCTCGCTTGGGAAGAAGGAGAGGACTGAAGCGGGTGATATGGACACGAACCAGATTCGCGTAACCTCTCAATTCACTGTTGAGAACAGGAATCATAGCTAGATGAAAGGGATATTTAGATCTCAAGCACCGAGAATAATTAATGGATTTTTCTAGCAGCGCAAAACTCTCTTCCTAATGTGTCCCAGCCTTTGGGGACCAAGAATGAGCAGCCATTGCATCTACCACTAGAATTCTCTTATTGTCGCTCTCATAACTTCAACTCAGCCCTCTATCACTCGTCCAACACCTTCGCACATCTGCGGCCCTAATGCAATCACCTCAGATTCCTCTCGTCCTCGGCCGCTCTGACCACCGCTTGCACCATCTCCTGCTGCTTCGTAATAAAAATACTATGACTCGTCTTGTAATCCTCTGTCCTTAGCTCCACTCCCTCCGTCCTTATTCTGTCAACCATGAGATCCTGATACACCCTGGGTACTGAGTAATCCTCTTGTGTGAATATGTATGTGACTGGTACGCTTCTCCAAGCACTTCCCTTCGTCTCCGAAGTAAAGGCTGACATAGGCGAACGTACAAGGTGTGATGACGCCTTATCCACTGTTTCCTTATCTACGTCACCAAAGAACAGCTGTACTGGATCCTTAGGGAAGGTGGAGCCATCAGGAGCGTTGTCCACAAACTGAGGCCAAAGATGGTCCATACCAGCTTCTTTCACGACGCCAAAGATGGTACTGCCCGGTAACAGAATGTACGCACACATATACAGCAAATGAATAACTCCTCCGGGCTGGCCAGAGGCTTTGCGGGCTGGGAAGGTCAACCCCTCCACCGCGTCGGTGCCTACCGCCCCACCGTAGGAATGTAAGAGCATTAGTACATGCTCGCCAGCTTCCACGAGGGGCCGAACAACGTCACGTACGCAGACGACGTCGTCAGAGAGAGAGGCAGTGGGAGGAGATGCGCCGTTGCAGCTAGGGAGGCGTGGGCAGTGGACGGTGAACCCGCGAGCTTCCAGAGCATCGATGTAGCTTTGGTAATTTGGTGGGGTGTGCCAGGCGCCGTGCACAAGGACAATTGTCGGCAAAGAGGTTGCCATAGTAAAAGCTGAAAGGAGGGAATAATTGGGGGTTGGAAAATCCTGCGAAAAGTTGGTGGACAACCCTCGAAATCCGCGAGACTGGAGATATCTGGCAGTGAAGACAGAGTATCTGAATGGCAAGCTTGCCGCCTGTGCAATCAGAGAATAGATGATGGAAGCCCGGGGCCCCCAGTTCACAATTTCATGTCGTTCTTGGCATTTCCCCCATTGCACCCACAAATCCTACTTGTTTGATAACACGTGTACATATGGGGGTGTGTCTTACAGATTTTCTTCGGTCTTGGCTCCTGGGGAGATTCGTCATTGTAATTCCTAAAGCGACCCATTGTATGTCCTATCTGCAGCAAGATCTGTTGGTAGGTACTGACAATTTGTGGGTGCGGTAGGGGTGCCAAACGCGACACGAATCATGAACATGGGCCTCGGCCCGTTTGAACACGATTGGTGGCCTCTTCGACCAATTCCGGTCCGCTCCGGGCTCTAGCCCGGGTAAGAAAATGTAACACAACCCCGTCGACTAATAGTTTTAGGGCTGATATTTCCACGCCTACCCAAGGTTTTCAGGCCACCCACAGAAGATATAACTAAAATATCAGCACTGTACGGAGTACGAAAAGGTTTGTTGGTACATAGCGCATACTTAAAAAGCAATCTCTACCCTATAACATAATTAAGCGTTCATCATAGCTGAGCTCCTCAACGCAATGAGCTTAAAAGTCGTTATTGCTTGTGCGCCCACCAGAGAAAAAGGCCTTTGTGTCTCGTAGATACCAACGACCATTGTGGGGACTACTTGTAAGCCAGTCATTGTGCACAATGCTCTGATGTAGCGGTGGAGAGGACTGGATCAGGCAAAGCGATCTTGCCAGCTCTTTACGAAGAAGAAAATCCCCACATATCTACCAGTAGGAAGGGTTGGACGGTTCGCAGAGTCTCGATAAACCTACGTTTTCATCTCCTAGTACGGGTAATCGATACCAAGTCCTGCCAAGCTTCTAATTATAGGAGGACGCTTCCTCATCTACGTAGTACTAACGTTAGTAGGTCAGGAAATTCATATGCAGAACTACTAGTCGCCTAGATTCGGATCGCGAAAGACGCTGTAAGCCCGAATAACCTGTAACGAAGAGGTGATGGCGACCCCAAGTGCGGCAGGTAGCGACTACCTCTTGAGCCGTGACTATGTCGACTGCACGAGGTGGGATTGCGATGAACACCCGAGATATGCAGCAGCTGCTGACGCCGCGTCATCCCTCCGCAGGCTCAATCTACAGCACTATCTTTGGACCCAGATGTTTGGCTATCTGTTGAACCCGATGGTTGATACTTCCAGCGACACGCTGAAGGTGGCTGACATCGGCACCGGCACGGGGTGAGCAGACACCCTCTATTGGGGGAAGTGCAATCGGACAAGCCAACCCGATCCCATATAGTGTATGGCTTACGGACCTTTCACGCCACCTCGCAACCAGCGCACAGCTCGACGGCTTCGACGTGGACACTTCCCAAGCCCCGCCGAGAGAGTGGCTCCCACCCAATGTGAATATCCGAACATGGGACATCTTCACCGATGTGCCGGACGAGCTGGTGGAGCAGTACGACGTCGTTCACGTCAAGCTCTTGGTCTTCGTGGTCAAAGGGGACCCAATACCCATTCTACGGAATCTGATCCGGATGTTAAGTACGGGCCACCCCGGGTTTTGACTGGCGGACATGCGGGCGGAGCCGGCGAAACACTCCCTTGGCTAACTAACGTCCCAACACAGAGCCTGGAGGATGGCTTCAGTGGGCCGAGCCGGACGTCCCTTCGATGCGTATTTCCAAGACCCAATCCTCGAAGGCTGACGATGCGCTGCAGCGCCTTTTCAACTTGACGGCGGCTCAGGATCCCCGTCTGGTGCCCAAATGGCCAAGTCAACTGCCAGGCCTGTTCCAGGGTCAAGGACTGGCACAGGTGGAAGCGCATCGAGTGGATGCCAACCCGCACCAGGAGTTTGCCATGCATCAGTGTAACCTGCTCATCTACGACATGATCGCGCAGCGAGGGGCAAGTAGTGCCCAGGCCAAGGAGATATCGAGCCTCGTGCCGGAAGCTGCGCACGAAACAAAAGGGGGCGCGATGTTTGCGTTCTCCCGGCTGACAGTGGTCGGTCGGAAAGCGCAAGATTGAGACAACATTGTCGTGGAGTAAAGTAAATTTTATGTGGAGGAACTTATCCCAAGACCAGTCAAGCCAGGAACCTGGGGTAGCGATGGTCAAATGAGAGTCTCTGGTAGCATTCAACAAGAAGCACCAATGTGAGCACTGTACTAGTATCGTGTAGAATGCTTCTATTGTGGATCTTCTTCGATCGTAATCTCTGCATTTCTAACTAAGGCTGTACAGCTCTCAACGTACTAAAAAGATACCACAACTGAGCCGAGCTCCTTCGGAGTGCTCCACGCCATGATTGTCGTCGCTGCGTGAGAAACAAGGTGCATTTGCTGGACAGATATCCCGCTAGCGGCGTCCGCTTCTATGAAGGATAACAGTCACATTGCCCGGATCAAGACCCACGGAAGAGGAATTGCATGTCTTCAGGCGTGAGTTTGTCCATGGCCACCTGGTCGTTGTTGATGGTCCCATTGATCATGTTTGCCTTCTTCTCCTGCAAAAGAACCATGCGTGACTCGACAGAATCCTCGATACACAACCGAGTGATCACACAGGGACGTCTTTGACCGATGCGATGGCATCGGTCAGCACTCTGCCATTCTGCTGCTGGATTCCACCATCTGTGATCCTTGTTAGTCAAAGCTCTATGGTGATCGCTTGCTCGGTGAAACTTACGGGTCAACGATGAAAACCCTAGACGCCTCCGTAAGGTTGAGAGCCACACCTCCAGCTTTGAGAGACACCAGGAATACCTCCACATCCACATTATTCATGAAATAATCAATACTTCGCTGTCTTTGCACGGGGCTCATACTGCCGTCGAGCATGACAGTGTTGAAACCAGCCCTCCGCAACCTCCACTCCACCAGCTGCAGCATGCTTGTGAATTGACTGAAGACGATGCTCTTGTGAGTGGTCTTCTTGCTTCTCAGCTTGTACAGATCATAGATCAACATTTCAATTTTGGTGGAGGATGTCCAATCTTCCATCTTAATACGGTTGATGATAGATGACTTTTTCACATGATCCTCTTCCTGTTCAATATCCGGCTGGTCAAAATCAATGGCCAATGGGATGTGGCAACGTGGACAGTCGGCATCGCCATCCACACCGTCAAACGACCGTACATAATTCTTGGCGCATTGGCGACAGAAGTCGTGGTGGCACCGAGATCTGATTGCCTCCTCAGCGGGCTCGTCGCAGATAGAGCAGACAAGAACGTTTTGACCCTCTTCAGCATGCTTCTTGAGGATCAGGTCAGGATGATTTGCAACTTGACGCATCTGCATGATGAGACCAAAGATGTTGGCGTAATTGTTGAGCATCACTCCACGCGAGACGTAGGTGTCAAATTTCCGCTGAGAGGTTCCCATGACACTTTGTGAGAAGTCCCGTTCGATCTCACCAAAGAATTCGTTGTGGATGATGACCTCTTTAGGCGGAAGCTCCATTGATGCTGTCTGGTCTCTTTTGATGCGACGCAGCATGATTCGATCCGTAATCAAGCGTAGCTTATCAAGGGCATCCCTTCTCAATTGAGGATTTTCATTCTGTGTGATTGGATTCAGGATCTCTTGGTTGAAGACCGAGACATGGTTGAAGCCGCTGTGATTGCAGTGCGTACACATCTTGTTCTCATTTTGCGACCAGTGAAGCTCCTTGCACTTACAGCTTTTGCAGAAGTAGCAAGCAAATGGAACCACATCCAGGAATCTAAGGAGCGAGAAAAACTCTCCGATGCGATTTTGGACCGGCGTACCAGAAAGACACCATTTGTATTCGGCTTTCAATGCGAAGCAAGCTCGTGCAACGGAGGTTGTGCGCTGCTTGATGCTGTGCGCCTCGTCAAGAATGAGACGGTGGAATTTTATTGCGTGAAGAACACTATCTTCTTTGACAATACCATCATTCCGGTTCCAGCCCTTGTTCTCCTTGCGATACATTGATTCAAGTCCAGAGTAAGATACCATGATGACGTTGTAAGCTCTCAGCTCTTTGACTTTCATGTGCTTGACCTTGGGATTCGTGTTGTGATA